CTCATTTTCACTATTTTTAAACGGACTATAGCGATGTGCACTACTAGCACGTTAAGCTCGCATTTAAAACTAATGTAAATTGCTAGCTTTTAACAGGAACTAACAACGCGTTGAAACATCCGTGCCACCAACACAAAAAAAAATTACTTATGTAAAATTCAGTAGTTGCTAAAATTATCAACGATTTTTTTACGACGACCTCTGGTATTTTCGTTGCATATTTTAATAAACGCATCTATAATTTAAATAATTTCTGGATGCCTCTGCAGATTCAGAAGTGTGTAAAATCATTTGCATACTGAAGTTAATTCGATTTAGAAGCACAGCAAATATCCAATGTAAAACATTTTTTTCCACTAGTGGTCGATAGTCACAGGAAACTTGGGAGTGACACGATATTAGAGAACAGTAGCAGGTTAATCAGTATGCTGTAATTCTAGATTCTCCAAAGTCCTTTCATTTTGGTATTATTCTCATTAATGTATATGACTGGCACCCGTAATGACAGAAGTCTCGTCTAAACGCCGCCCATTTCCGGGGTAGTGATAAGTCCTAAATAACAATGTCAGCGACAGATATTTGCATATTTCAAAAAATTGGTCTAAGATTATTCAGACGGAACTTCTTCCGCACCTAAAGTACAATAAATAAATCCAGTTTTTTGAGGAAACAAACAAATAAATTGTGATTAACGATTTAAGATAACTTTAAAACGTTTGATAGATTTCAGAACATTCGATTATACAATTTTGATCTTTTTTTTTTCGAAAATCTGAACGTCTAAGGTAAAAAATCAGAATGGACTCATAAACCACAAGTATATGACACCGAACTTCAAAATTTTGTTGTGTTTCGGTCTTTCACTTTCGTGTTGAAACATTTCTTGCGTATTTTATATGCCTTATATAAGACACTTACACTTACAACAAATAACAGTTATTGCTAAATAGAGTTAATTTTAAAATAAATCCTCAGTAACCATTTTTATCATAGTAAAAATTTTTTACATCATATGAATTATCCTATACAGGTGGTCCACCAGTAATAAAAAGCTTGAATAAATTTGAAGAGCAACAATTTATTGCATTAATAAAAAATAAAACGTGTTTTTATCTTTCAGTTTGAACAAGTGTTAAAGTTACTATGTTTAACGCTCCAACTGTAATCCTAATAATATCCAAGATAGTGGTGAAAATGTATTTTGGGTTGCGTTTCAAATTAATTCAGGCTCTTTATTACTCGTGGACCATCTTGTATATTTTGGTTCACTTTTTTTTTTATCTGAACGTATCGTTGCACGCTGTGTAGAATGAAGACAGTTAAATAATTTTTCTCATTTTTATAGCTACCCACTCAAAATAATGAGGTTTCTTTTCTATTTCGAGCAGTAACTAAGACAAATATTGTAATAAGGTTGTAAGGCACCACCACTAACTCAAGCACATTTTTGTCTCCAAAACACCGAAAATTACCAGCACCTATGCTGTCATCTAATTAAGTTTAGTCCGACAATGTGACAACACAGCTCATAAAACTTGTCAAAGCTGTTGAAATTTTCCGGTGTAGTGGGAATAACAACGTACCTACATGAGTAAATTAAATGTCGCATCACACATGTTAAATTTGAAAGTTCTTGTTTGCATTCGATAGAAAAAACATTCCATTCAAGCACTGTGTTCTCGCGCTACCACTTTGTCTAAAAATACAACTCAATTGTAATACGTTTATTTCGCAAAATTGTTTTGACATGGGATGCCTGTAGGTTGTTTGAAATAGAAACAATATACTGTTAAAAATCACCCATAAGGAACTAAAGTACAATAATTAGACACAAAACTTTCTGTAAATGAACGTAAATTTCAGTATCGTAATTTTTTAAAAATGTATCTAATCAAAGGAAATTTTTGTATACTTAATACGTATCAGATTTACAAATGCAAAATTTGTCAACCTTTTTGTACCATATAAAAATGTATGTAGTGATTTTAGGTATTGGTTTAACTGGTTGGGTCGCTCATAATTTATATTGGCAATCTTATTTTCTGAAAACAAAAGCAATTTAGTAGTAAATGATTATTATGTCAAATTTGTCTTAAATTAAATGAATGTAGTAGAAAACACATTTTCAGAATAATATCAGCAAGTCAGTCTAAAGTAGACGTAAACTTTTAAAAAGCTTTGATATTTCATTTATGAAAAGTGAGTATTATACAAGTGAAAGATCTAATACTGAATGAAATAATCTTGAGCTCTGACCTTTTGAGTACTTTATATTCTGTTTTTGTATAGCTCGCGTTCACATTTGAATCTTTTGGTAGAGGGAACTTTTCAAAAGCAAATGAATCTCGAATAAATGCCAGATCACAAATTTCAACAGAATTGTTTAATTTCGCCATTTCATACGTAATTATTCACCTCTACATACACTCTGAAATTGCCCTTCGAATAATAAAATTTTAACGTATTAAGCTTTTATTAAATTTGCCTGTTCATTTAAGTGATGGCTATCACGTAATTAAATGATTTTTATACTGTGAGTTACATTTGGCTGTTTTGTTTAGATTTTATTTTCAATTTCTTTTACAAGTACTAGGTGATACCGATTATTGCTTAAACAAACAGAAAAAATATTACGACGTCTAATAAATTTATCTGACGTAGCTATGAAACTATTGCTAGATATGCATTACAATGGATAGCTCGCCATTTTTTGTCTTAATACATACCTGTAGTTAAGTTTAAAATTTACTGGAATATAATTTTCACTTCTATAGAAACCGATTTTTTTTTTTATTGAAATTAATATTTTCAAACCATTTAAAATTAAACGTATGGAAATTTATGTACTTGATTTAGTAATCTGATTCTAGACAGGACAACTGTGTATTATCTTGAACATCAAAAACAGCTTGTAAATAACAAAAAACGATGTGAAGTCGTTGCGTGAATGTCTTTCTTTTCCTACGTCGTAACTATGCTCGTATACGCCTTGTCAAACTGAATTCAATTCACTATGTTTCAGCTTGACAAGCTGCATATCAGACTACTTACAAGTTACGAGGTACATTCAGGAAAACATTCAAGCGTCGAATAACGACTCACCGCCGTTTATTGTTATTATCTACCATTAAAACTGATCGATGATCATTTAAAAAAGGTCTAAAACGTCATAGAAATGCTAATTTTTTAAATGATTTGTCACAAACAACTGCCATGTCAGGAGTCCAAAACGTTAGCCTATTAACCCACCTATCGACAAAATTTTAGTATCTTTAGCGGTCCCCATAAAAGCAACCGTCGTTATTTATCTATCTATTCATCCCCCTCAAGAGCTTGAAAACTGTAAAAGATAAAGACAAACGCTTTTCCCCGGCATATTTTACAAATTAACTTCACTTTTACAGTTAGATTTCTCTCCAAATGTAGCTGCCCTAATTAGTACAAATTTAAGTAAATAAATATTGATCAAACAGCGTTCACAGTCAAGCTGCAACTTTTCTACAGATATAATTCTGTTCATATTTTAATGATTCGCCAACTGTTGATTAATACTGCTAGCGGAGTAAATACGACTCCTATCATCCGACAATTTAATTTCTGATTTAATTGTCATCAGCTGAAACAGACGTATGAAAAGCAAGATTACTGAAAGATGTCATCTTACTTACCTTTGAAGAATATTTAATTTTCTGTGTACTTGAATATAAGAGATTACACTACCACTTATGCTAAACTTGTAACTTCGCCGGTGGGTGCTTGACACAAAGCATAACCGAATCATCATTTACCCTAAAATGAGATTTCTGTAGCGTTGTCACGTACGTTTTATTTAGCCAAGCAAACCTAGTCGAATACAAAAAGAAATTTAGTACCCTCTGCCTTAAATTTCCAACCAGTCCTCCGACTAAAAAAAAAGAAAATCGGTCAATGGCCAACAGACTACAGATATATGAAAATGGGAGCCCCACTTTTGCCAATTCTAGAAACTACGATTACAACAATTTCCTGGCTTACACTCAGAAGTAACAAATGCTTTATAGGGTCATAAATACCGAAAGTCTTTATAATTAGGCAAATCTGAAGTTAACAAGTTTCAAGGCAGTTCACAAATCACCGAAACTGATGCTCTACTACACAAAGGAGAAGCTTTACCAGAAACACGACTAAACGCAGCCAGGCGCAATATCTGGCTTAAACTTCCAAAGCCCGCCGAAAATTTCCAGACGACTTCCTATATACCTGTCGAAAATTTATATACGAATGAATCCAAAATTCCGGAGCTAATTACCAAATAAGCGTTTCTACAAATTCGATAAATTTTGAAATAACACAGACCGGATAAAAACCATGACCTGACACCCACATGGCAAATGAATTTATTAAAAGACACTTTATTGTGGATAAAATTAATCAAAAATTTCGTAAAGAACTCAACACTAAGGAGAAAGCTGAATTACATGCATTACGAACATAATTTCTAGTCTCAGTGCGAAAAAAAAAGGTATTTGTTTATTTTCAAGTTTAGGTTTAGGTGACAGCGGGTAACGCCCAGAAGAAAAGCGTTTTCTACGAGATTTCGCGAGATGTCAATTGCTTCAAACTGCTCCCAATTCCGAATGAAACCTTGAGTCCTCCACAATTTGCAATAGAATTTTCGTTACCATTTCCTATATATTGGTATTCAAATTTTATTTCTTTTATTTAATTTATTCAAACACAAAGAAATATCAATTTTTTTGCAAAAATGATTCCAGGCTATAATCTACCTACAACGTTACGCTGATGGATTTGAAAATTCTCCATAACAAAAATATCGTGCGTGCTAAAGTTCTTTTCTAATCATTTTTTCCTTTTTTAATTATGAATATTTAATAACCTACAAAAAATCAATCATTTCTTACAAAAAAACAGTTCAATAACAATAATGAAAATGTTTGTCTTGAGCCAACGATACACTGAGAAAAAAATTTAGATACCTATGGTAAGTAAAACGAGTAGGGGATGTTTGAACAGTTTATCAATGAACAAAGTACAACACTCAATTGTAATATAATGAAGCAGTAGAGGGAGACCGCCAAGGGTGCTTCAAGGATTTACCACGTACCGGGGTGGTGTATCGTCGCAGGTGCGTCTACCGTAACCAGAGAACGTAGAGTGCGTGGCGGAACGCTTTAATACAAAGCCGCTACAAATGTTATTACAAAAATATCTTAATCACTGAAACTAGTACAGCAATTTAAATTGTTGATTTATTATTAAATAATCACAATAAATAAATATACACAATTTACATTTGTTAAAAAACAAAATATATCTTGAGTGTATTTTCTGGTGTACAATTTAGACAAAAGTACCTTCTCCATTACGTTACATACAGATAAACTATTTGCTGCCACTGCACTGAATAATATTAGATGGTCCACTAGGTATAATTTCAAATTTTGCCTGCAATTTAACGTTTAATAATACTCATAAACTAATTAATGAATTATATTTTTACATTTGTCATTTTTTCAGCAATAAAAATTGCAGTTTTTGTATGCATTGTTATTTCTCCTACTTTAGCACTAGAAGGTCCTTGCGCCAAAGCCATAAATACAATGATCTGATCCTGTGAATGTGAATCAACACAAGTTCCTTCCTCAAAAGATTTCGCTAAGTCTAACGCAGCTCTCCTTCCAGTTTCTTCTGAATTTTCGCCCCTTTTTCCAAGCGCAGAACCTCCCAAAAGACATCCTGTACTAGTTTCAGCTACCACACTAAAAATATGATAATGATTTGAAGAAATTAATTAACAAAAACACTTACATTATACCTGAACAGTTATCAGGAGCTATATTTCGATCTTCTTTATACCTTTCAATTTTTATGTTGTTACAAAAACGTTTTAACTCTCGTCCGACTGAATCTGCCATTGCATGACTTAATTTTATTGGAAGGGAACCAGCTACAAAACTCCACCCAAAAACGGAAGTAATTTGTCCTCTATCCACTATTTTAATAGGGTCTAATTTAGGTATAGGTTCAATATTAATAACAACTTCGCCTCCGCCTTTTGGAAAATAACCCCTTCTTATTAAATCAAAGTCAAATGTAGCTCCAAATTTCTCTAAAATCGGTCTAAAAACTTCTGTTGTGTAATCAATTTGGGGGGCCATTTCAGCATTTGTCCCCCCATGAAGCCTTAACGTAGTATTGGAATTAGCAAACAAAGTACATGGTAAAGCAGCTTGTAATAATAAACTTATACTGCCTGCAGTCTTCACTCGAGCTTCATAACTACCTCCTGTTATATTACCTGGCCAAAATTCGACTTCTGTTGAGCCAAATGATGCTCCCTTCACTTTAGCATTGCTAATATCTCGTAGCAGCTCAATACCTTAAAAAATTAAACAATTATCAGATGCATATTTTGGTTTATATTCATGATCACCTTTCAAGTGTTGTTCCATTAAACCTGGTTTGCTACGACCAGCACGAATCTTCATAATACGGACAGGTATCTTTCTAATAACGCTAAGAGTGAGAGCAATTCGTAAAATCTGTCCACCCTGCAGAATAAACAAATTACTATAAGCAGTTGCTCAATTAAAAAACTTACTCCTTCCAAAATTGATCCATCTATTTCTTTGACTTCACAGGCCATAATATTATAATAAATTATTACAAATGGGGCCAATTTACCTTAAATTTTACTCAGTGTTATCTGTTATCGCAAATGTAATAAATAGTTTTATTAAATAAATTTCGTTTATAGGTTAGATCAGTTGGTTACATGGGGGAGTTATATTACAATAATAACAAAAAGTCAAACGTCATTTTGTAAGTTTGGTATCAATGATTAATTGAAAATAGAAATTTCGATAGGATTTAAAAAACTCAGTTCTTTAACCAGTTGTTATTTAGTCTCACCAAAATTTTAATTCAAACTCAAATTTCATTTAAATGGACAATAACCGGCGCTGTAAGTAGTAAAATAAAAAAATAATTTTAACTTCTTGGTGATTTTTACAATTGTTTAGTAACTTTGAGTGTCATTGCGATGTCAAATATCAAAACATCACTAAAAGTCATGGTGGAAATAATAATAAATAATTTGTTAATTCAGAATGTTTCCGGATCTAGTGACAGCTTCTATTAACAAATTGTGTCAACAAAAATAATTCGATCCTTTATTATTGCCGGAAAGAGATTAACATTTCTTTCAATGAATAAATCTTATTAGACAACGGATAACCACTTTACAATGAATTCAGATGACACTGCGGAAAGTGAGGTTAATAAAGACAACTTACCATCAAGTAGTCAGATATCAAATCCAGACAGCAATGCCAATTTAAGCCTGACAACAGATGAAAGTAAAGGTGCTATACCCAAAACCAAGTTCCCAAAAGTTACTTCGAAGAAAACTAATAATAATGTGGAAGACGGTAACTTAGTGGACGTCGATACTGTAAAAATAAATGGTTTTTCGAAAGCCAATGCCACTTCTAGCAACTTTTTAAGTAATACATATGTGGAATGTACAGCTAGCAATTTACAATCGGAGAAAGGTGCAAATCAAGCAGCTACAATGTTTGAAAGAAGCTCTCTAAATATTCCAATTGAAAATGATTTTTTGGATGCACCATATGTGGCAGTCAGTCTTAAAAGTTTAAATGAAACGTGTACCACATATCAAGAGCAAAATGTGAAAGATGATAGTTCAAGTGATGACAACGAATTGTTATCAATATCAGACGATGGTTGCATCTACACCTATAAAGGAGACCATGTAGCTGATTTACCAAGTTCATTTTATAATTTAGAAATCCCGCCACTTGAAGAAACTGTTGGTGATGGCCGAGAAGGTATCTATATTTTTGTTTTGTTCAATAAACAATATTTTATTTGTGAAACACAATGCATAAAATAATTTCGTTATTTAGTTAGTTAACAATGGCTTCAAAAGTTTTTCTGAAATTCTAGGAACACAAAGAATATGATTATTACAAATTCTTACTAATAAATCTAATAAAATTTCACTTAAAACATATAACTCTCTAGTCTACTTGTGGATTAATAATGTACCTACATTTTGTGTAATAGAGTTCTTTAAATTGTTACTAAGACACCAACATATTCACAGAGAATATTACAACAATTTTTGTATTAATCACTTCAAAACAATTATGACGTTATCTCAGATTTTGAAGAGTAAATCTATTTTTTTTAATTGATTCGTCTTTATTTGTAATTTAGTAAATCACTCGTTATTTTTAACATTAATCGTAAGGGTTTAAAATATTTAACATGGTTCTACAAAATTTTGCAACTCATTTTAAAAAATACGAAGTAACGAACCGTTTCAGACGATAGTAAATCACTATTCGTATTAATAAATTTTAGTAAATACTTTTGCTGTAAAAAGGAAAATACAGAAATACATTGTCTGAAATTTTGTATAAACTTTGTATAATTCTGGTCCATTTTTTTTAATTTTTTTACCGTGACTAGTTTCTAAAATTCAGCTTTAAGGACAGTCGCTACGTTTTTTGAGTGGAATTTTCCGTCTATTTTCAGAATGCAATATCTCCGTTATAAGTAGACTTATGGTTTTCAAATTTTAAGTATATGTTGTCCATAACTTTTTGTATATAACGCAAGGGCAATTTTGTTAAAAACAATTTGTGATCATACTTTTCTCTTAATTTTAGTAAAATTTGTAAAAATAAATATCTCAATTATTAAAAGAAATTTCAGAACACAGTTTTCAACACTGTTTTCAGCTTGTAAAACTCCAAAAATCGTACCAATCTGGTATATGGTCGACTTTTTTTGTTAGAAACGATACACAGTAAAAAAAAATTGTATTGTAGAAGTTGCTAACTTTTACTATTACTATATCTCAATCCCAACAAATAAAGTCAAAAATGAACCTGGTACGATTTCCAAAGTTTTGCAAGCTAAAAACAGTGGTGAAAACTCTGTTCCAAAATTTCCATAAATAACTGAAATATTGATTTTTTAAAATACGTGATGCAAAAATATCAACGAAATTTAAAAAATATATGATAATAAGTTGTTAAAACAAAAACTACCCTCGCAGTTATGTAGTGAAAATTATGGACAAGTTATATTTAAAATTTCATAACAATAACTGTGTTAAAAATGGAGATATTACAGTCTGAAACGGCATCATATTTTCTTCAGAATTCAACGATATAGAATTTCTTGTATTTTTGTTGAATAAAAAATGTGTCTTAATCAATGATTTCAATTTGTTGGGTTAACAGAAATCAGATATTATTGGGGGATTATAAACAATTTGATTGGTGTTGCTATGTGGAAATTTAATTTGCGGTAACGCAGTCAACAAAAAATTGATCCTACTAAGTCGATAAATTTAATCTGTGAATAAATAACACGGTTAATTGTGCTTTTGATTAAGTAAAGTAAATAAATAATATCAAACAGTCAACATTAAAACCAAAAACAACTTTACGAGATTCACCATTTACTTTATAGCAGACATCAAAATTAAGTTAAGCTTTGCTAAAGACTCGGCACATTTTTCCCCATTTAAATTAGCAACTAAATCTGGATACTCATACTTTGTCTGTTTGATATCTGAGAGTTGTTTTGATTCTAGAGTATTATCATTATCAAAAAAATGCATTTAATAAGAATTATATACAAATCTTGTTCGTATATGTTTTTTAGGTAGTAGTAATTTCACATAAATTATTAGGAGTATTATATTTGTATTTATAGAGAAAAAATGTAAAAATTTATAGAATCTTGTATTTAAAAAATAAAGTTGAGATGCATTTCCAGCAAAACCTGAAACCACGGGCTGAACAAAAATAATAAATATGTTTTATAAATTTTAGTTTGAAGCCGTCAATAAATTTGGAAAAAATAGAGCGAGTCTGATAATGATGAAATAATGTTATATTTTTTTGCATTTAAACAAAAGATATAAGTTAAATAGACTTTCATTTTAGAAAACTCCAGTCCAGAAATGGATTTCTTGGAAATGGACTTCGATCCTGGTCCTTCTGGGGATGCCGATTCTGATTCCGTATCGAACGTAGAAATAGACAACGCAGTAAGCTTACCATTAGATCCTAAAGTTGAAATAATTGAAGAACCAAAACCCTGTTGCTCAAAAGATCTGAACAAAGAAGTCCAAAGTGACACCAGCAATATCAACAAAAGCGAGACTTTAGTGAAAAACAAATTTTTAAATTTGACCAAGACAATCCCAGAACCTGTTAAAGATCCGGTAAACATTCCCAAGCCCGAAATAAAAATGCCTTGGTCTTGTTCAATATCCGAAAGGACCCGAAGCGCAAAGTCCTTGCGAGTAATCAAGAAACACCATAGTTCAAGAGGAGAATTATCGTCACCAAGTGAAAGTGGTCTAAACGGTGACGTTAACATAACAAACCTGTCGTCTTTTCATAACGCTACGGGCAAAATTTTAATCGACGATAAAAATTCAGTGGCTAGTGATGTGGAAAAAAACATGATATGGACTCACCACGAAGCGTGTCTCAAGCAAATTACACAAGTGGGACCTTCAGCTTGCGGTGCCACGGCAGTTTTAAATGTTCTTCACGCTCTTCGATTTCCTATACCCACATTGGAAAGAGTACAAGAATGCGTCAACACAAAACTTAGAGCTAATTCCAGCCCGTTGTCAGAATACCTACTTTCCAGAAGCCAAGCTGGATGCACTCACCGAGATTTAATAGCGGGCTTGTATAGATTGTCAGATAAAAGAATTTATTCGAGATTTTTTGCGATGTACCCTGAACGACTAGTGAATTTACAGTCATGGTTAGGGTACTGGATTAAAAACGGTGCTGTACCAATAGCCACTTTGAATTTACAAAAATGCGAAGGAAGCATACCTGACAGCTGGCATCATCAAATGATTTTCGGCGTGGGGCCTGAAGGTATATACTTAACTAATCCCTTAGAATGTGTGGATCCTGAACAGTTATGGCCTCAACTCTCTTCAGAATCTGTTCTCTTAATAAGGACGGAAGATGTGATTTCGAGATGGAATCCTAAAATTGATCTACCCCAATTGATGAAGATTAACGATGTCCGGTGGAAGGAATTAAATGTTGTAGGTGAGTCCATGATTGGATGTCGGGATTTTGTGAACGACTAATATCAAAAAGCCTTGTAATCACAAGTGTTAATACTTAGTAACCCCTGATACAAAAAAATGAACCAGCAATTAGTTAAGTTTCGCTGCGTCGGTCGATGCGCAAGTCTGCCTTAATATAAAACAGTATTACGTAAAAAATTACTAACTAACAGGTAAGTAATAACTCCTCACTTTTCCTTTAAATAAGGAAAGATGTCCAAAAGAGCTGAAAATCGTTCTAGCCAAATATCGTACAATAACTTTAACGCCGTTAAGATTATTAATAAATTTAAAACTATCGTTTCTGAGTTTTCTACTTTACAAGAAGAAAAACTAGAGAACACATTTTTGACCACACATCCACTTGATCCTTTAGTCACTAAAGGATTGAAAACATTTTGCAAAGATCTCATCATGAAAGTGATTTAGAATTGCGAATCTAGTCTTCAAAGCCAGTTGAAAAGTCATAGGTCTACTGAGTTAATTTTTAAAAATCTATAATCAAAGACATTTGGACGAACGAATTGGTGTTTGTAGAATGTTCTTGTAAAGTCCATGTTATTCATTAATTAACATGAAAGAAAACTAATTTCAGCAGTGTCAGCAAAGTGAAAATTACAATTTGCATGAACTTATCAAACTGACATTTTTGTTTGCTAATCTTTTGATAATGTGTTGGAGGGATGAACGTCAAAACTGTGGCAGACACCGTTAAAAATAATTGGTTTTACTCAGTGTCGTATTTTTTTTCTGTAGTTTTTTGATCATCACGTATGCCGCTTGTGTATGCAGTGACTGTTTCTAATCATCGTGTGCGTTGTGTAATTTTTAACCTGTGGTGTGAATCTCCGCAAATAAACTTTTCGCCTCCCTCAAAATGAAACTTCTAATAACATTGCATGTTTATTTGTTCCAGGCCAAATTGCGAAAGTTGTACGAGAAAGCCGAAGGGAAGCTAGGGTTGATTATGTTTTTACTTCACATATTAAAATTCCCGCAGAATATAAAGCTGGTGTTACATTGGTGATTGACATAAATTCTCCCGCTTTTACATTATTACGGCAGTGCCCAGAACTACCTTTGCTGCAACCTGAAGCTGCAGCGAGTGCCTTTTAAACATGATATGCAGTGAATCTCCTTCAATTCGGAAGTGAAATAGTGTTCCTTGCAGCTGGATTCTTGATATCCTTTTTCGCGCTGAAGTGCCATAATACATTTTCAGACTAAAAATTTATATGATTAGACGCTCCATCATAAAATACTATCATCTCGTTTATTAGAAATTCCATTACAATGTGGCAGAAATGTATTTGGTGCGAAAGAGGCGTTCATTTTTGGAAATTGTTGTTTCGTACTTACATATCTTTTGACGCAGCTACAAGTAAAAAATCACTTTTATGATTCATTTTATTAATAAATTTACATACTCATATCATAGGTAGAATTGTTATCTTGTACAAACTAATTTTAATGCAATAATATTGTTAATGTAGTTGAATGTGATAAAAGTATTTTAATTTTGTATTTTTTGCGTAGTGCCATTGGGAATCAGTTTTTTTTACCAAAGATAAAAAGTAGCGTGACCGAGAGTTTCTTGTTTTGCTACTATGTTATGCGTTCAAGCGGTCAACGTGAAAAAAAATTATTTTTAAATTTCGTTCGTTGCTGCACTTTTTTTGCTATACATGTTGAAACAAAATAGCTACTTGGCGTTGCTTGAATTTCAGACCCATCAGAAGCAGAATAAAAGTTCATTTTGTCAGTCAAGTAAAAATTTCAGTGCAGCGTATTCTAGTCGTATCATTAAAACTTAATTTTGCTTCGACATTTTGTGTACACACAAATAAACAACAAATAACTTTATCAAATAAACTATGTAAGTATTCTTGTATATTTGATAATCAACAGTCTCATAAACCATTTAATAAAGAAACTTTTTAACAAAATTGTTTTTATTTCTTTTTTGATGTTTTTCGTTTTTATTGTTTAAATTTTTTCTTGTAAAACATCGATTCAGTCTGTGTTTTATGAAATTTCTCGAGCTTCTCTTGCAGCAGGTATAGACCCAGCACTGCTATTCACAGGACGACTTGCACGATCAGGGTCCTACCGTCAAAAGTATTTAATTTTTAGTAAAGACGTATCACCAGTGATGAATTTGGATACATTTCTTTCCTTGCTTCCTTGACCACTCTCGTTCACATTAAAAATATACCAAGGATCTGTTTTAATACCAGGAATTCTTATTCTAGCCTTAAGTGGTGCTAAAATCTTGTTTATTAGAGATTTGCACATCAAGGATACTTTCGGCTCCTTAGGAAATATCACTTTATTTGTCACTTGCTGTGAAGAAAAGAGCAATGAACGCAAAAGTGAATTCAGCGACGAGTTATACTTACCTTAACTAAGTCCCTGTAGTTGGTGTCATCAAACGGTAATCGACCATAAACCATAGCAAATAGTACAACTCCCATCGACCAAATGTCGGAATATTGGGGTTGATAAGGTATCCCTTTTAAAATTTCGGGTGAAGCATAAGCGTAACTCCCGCAGAAAGTTTCGCTTAGAGGAACTTGACCATTCTTGACTTTCATATGCCCTCTGGCAAAACCAAAATCCGATAACTTTATTTCAAAGTCACTATTAATTAGTAAATTTTCACATTTAATATCTCTGTGAACGACACCTCTTTCATGACAGTAGTCTACAGCATCTACGAGTTGTCTAAACCATCTTCTCGATCGTGTTTCATCAATATATGTATCTCGACGAATAATTTCCAAAAGGCTACCATTCTCTGCGTATTCCATAATGATGTAAACCCTTCAAAGAGAAGTTATAAGTCATCTTCGCAGCACTTAATTTGACAATTTCCAACCGATGAGTAGTCTCAATGGCTTGTAGAAAGCGAATCAAATTCGGATGTTTCAGCCCTTTTACAACTTCGATTTCTCTCGGAAGAAATTTCTTCAAGTAATCTGCCGGTGCTGAAAATTTGCTTACAATTTTGACGGCCACATTCATATTGTGTCGCTCGCTGTGTGCCATCTGATCATTAAAACGCATTAATGCAAATAATATAATAGGAATAGTTAATTTACTAAAAGTGCATACGAACCCGCACCGTAGCGTATGAACCAGATCCGATGGTTTTCCCCAAAACATAGCCATGTGATTCTAGAACTGTTTGCTTTTTACCTTCTTTAAGTATGGGCTGGCCTGCTACTACTTGAGTAGTAGTGAGCATGTCACTGTCTGTTTTTTGTGCAGAAGGATTGGACATAACTTGCAATAACAAATCATGTCATTGAAAACTAATAATGTGATTTATTCCATTTTTCACAAAAATTTGATTGACGCAAAAATCTGAATGACGTTACGTCATAAAACAAAAGCACTTTCAACAAAATCAGAAAATAGAAAGTATTAGTTGTAGTGTTTGTCCGGAAGTAGTGTTACTTTATTAAAATTTTCGTTCTTGTTCTAGGCTACACGGTTGGTCTACGAAAAAACACGTTGTTTGCGCTGCAGTAGGAGCTTAACTTTGCCTTTATTCAGATCACACATATTGAACTTACTATTGTCATGATGTGTGCTTTCTTCATGCTGCTACTTTTTTCTTATCTTGATATCTTAATAGTTTCCTTTCAGTTTACAGTTCGTTAAGTTTTTCTGCATCCTTTTCGTCCCTTCCACTAAAGCCTCAAGCTCATTGATTTTAGGTCGTAATATTCAAATTCATTGCACTTCTTTGCTGAGTTTCCTTTTTATCGTGCGCCCTTATCTGATATATCCGGCTAAAATGTATCTAAAAAACTTAATAGGGAATTTAAATATTTTATCTAATCAATAAATGCCGCCTGTGAGAAGACAAACCAAACCACCATGTATTACTTTTGTATCCTTTTTTATTTTGTTTGACAAAATAATCAGAGGTTGGACTATCAAAAATTATACACAAGCGACAAAAAATAAAATACAAATTCTTTTTATACTTAATACACATCTATCTATTACTCTTCCAAAAATATTTACCAACGAAAGACTAGTTTTATTGGTAACACAATAACATTTGAAAATTATATCCCTAGCACGGTATTCTGGCAGCTAGTGTAATTTAGACAGTTTGACTCAGTTATTACGGTGTTTAACTTCACAGGGCAAGTAAATTTTATTAGATACAAAAATAACGTTCTGAGAATACCTTTTAATTATGCAAGCCCCCTTCCGTCTACTTCACCTGTAGTACTTGAATACTTCATCACATGACCCAATGCATTGTTTACGAGGTAGTCATAATGAATTGCAAATGAAATTGTGTGATTGTCATATATTGAGCCAGTGAACTCAGCTTAAAGTGCTTACACGACAACATTCATATGTAGGCATATGTTAAAACTAAAGTAAATTTAATAAAAATGTTGAGAAAAAGTCAATTAACAACATATCCCTCCAAGAAATCTTGGGCACCATTTTTTTAAATGTTGTACCATTTATCATAGTCAAAAAAAATAATAATAATGTTATTTCTGGACAAACGTTGTACAGATTTGGATCTAATACAGCTCATATCTGTTACCTTTATTTTCTGAATGAAATATTGTACAATACTATTGCACAATTAGTTTATCAAAATTTGTTATTAGACAAATAAAGCAACAAACCTACGGCACCGAAATTTTTATTGTGCCGTGTGAAGTAGGTTACAGTGGAATGAACAGGAAATGATAAAAAATAAAGTGACAAAAAACTGACCGATAACTAATTGCTTGTCAAGTTTTGGTGCGCCAAATAATCCGCCGTGCGTTTTTAGACGATGAATGCGTTCTTTATCATCACCAAAAATTGATAACATATGTCAAAAGATATTAATAAGTCCTTCTTAAAAACAGTTTCTAAGACAGTTACTGTATTAGTTTCGTTTCAGCAGTCTTCTTTATTTTTCAATCTGCTTGTACAGACTTAAAAATAATTAATAAACTGATTTATTTTATAAAACACCGAAATTAAATTATCAGCATAGTATATATATATTTGTTAATTTCATCAGCTTAATTGTTTCGTCACGGTTTTCCTTAAAAAAAGACAGGTAATACAAGAATATTTACATTTTTTTTACTAACATGAAGAAAAATTGGTTTAAATTAACCGAGGGCAGCAACCTCATTACTCCAAATTATTCGGCTTCATGTTTCGTAATTTTTTAATCGAATGTGAGATGTAATTTAAAACGTCTGCTCTATGCGCACATGTTTTGCTACAAACAACTCAGCCGATACACATGATATAATTTACTTAAGTAGTGTTTCAGAGGCGTCTCATTTTGCTCTTAATGTACACAGTCATATCTAAATAATAATTCAATAATGTACCTACTAAAACTCAAAATTTAATGGCATTTTATGAATTTTTGTTTTTAAACTGATGTGGTGTATACCTGCTTTATTTTAATAAACTGAGATTTCTCAAGTTCAGCTTAGGATAATTCATTTTTCAGAAACTTTGCAACTGTATTTTACAGAAACAAGATTTTTGGCATTCTTAATCGATTTGAAATAATATTGGTTTTTGTAGTAAACACAGGACGTCGTAATAGTCTGATGATGGATAAGTAATTGTCTTTGGATAGATAGGATCCCAAGCAGCAGACTGTCGTCTAATTCACGTCAATTTTTGGTCATAACTCGTCGGCGACGTCATTCGCCCAAAAAATCACGTGATAATGACGAGATTTTTATGACTTACTTCTGACGTCAATTAATGACGTCAAAAGGCCGTCTTTTTTTCGTCATTTTTTATAGATTATATGATCAATTAGATGTGGGTGGTCGTATTCTTTAAAAAGTGGCCTTCATAATGCTTAATTATATTTAGAGCAAAAAATACAACGGCTTTATTAGACATACACCAAACACAAGTTTTTTCATTCTAATAATTTCTAATAAAATAATTAATTTCTGAAAATTTGTTTACTCTGGAAATGTTATTTTGTAAGTACCTGCTTGGCAAATTATAAATAGAACATCCGGGGTTGACCGTATAATAGTGAAAGGACCCTAGGAAATTCTTTGTCTATTGTCCCTACAACGGGACAAGATTTTGAAGAATTCCTTCGTCGAATTTTGATTTTATAAAGACGTTTATAAAGTGATGATGGTTACCAAAAAAATTAGAGAGTGATTTAATATTTAGTTTTATTAAATTTATTTCATCGCATGAAAAAATAATGCTTAACTTCCGTATTTACTATACAATACATCAGATGTTTGAGGCGTGCATTCGGACTTTCCCTTTTTTCGGTATTTATGTTTATTGCACTTCACAGTGACTCATTCCAATATTTCCAGTTGGGTCTCAACCACCGAAGCTTTCTTGTGTATCCGTTACTCACTTCATTTTTAACACAGTTTTGTGAAAATTTCTGCCATTCAGAGTCGGGTTGTACTTATTTACACTAGGTAAGTTAAAATCTAATAAAGTAATCATTTTAATTTTTACATGTTTCTGTTATTTTTGATAACTGTACGTAGATAACAAAAGCAGTTTTTTCAGATAAGCTGGAAAGACCACCATTAATCACTGAAGATACTCCCACTAATTATGAAGAACTTACGGTGATTGTTTTTGAAAATGAGGCGCCATAAAATATTGCAAAGGTATGTTACTGCAAATTTTTATGAACTAATGCTAATGAACATAATTTTATTCTAGATTTGAAACAAATACAAAACACATGTGCGAAACGAAAGAAATGCTAAAGGAAACGAGTGAAAAAATCTCTAACATGAAAACGTCATCAAATCTGACAATTGAAAAAGAAAACAAAAATAGAAGTTATGCCGCCAAGACCACACCTAAACAAATTTTGACGAATTACAAGATTATTTTTGCCTATTAGAACAAGCAGATTTCTTTGTAAGTTAAAAAAATACAATGAATTCATATATACATATATAACATATAACATTGGATATTATATACAGGTAGATGCCTGTAACACCACGATACTTTTTGGTAACTTACTATACATGGCACATTTCGCTTCATTGTAAAAAATTATTGACAACGAAATTTTCCTGATAGGGTATGCGTTTTTGTCAATGCAACCATTTTACGATTATCCGTTAAATTCAAGTAAATTTAGCATTTTTAAAACGCAGAATTTGTCTTCTGCTTTAAGCTGTAATCCTTTAAATTTAATAATAGCCAAATGCTTGCTGTTGCCCATAGACGAAAAAATTATTGCATTTCCATTAATCCATGTACTCTAACGGTTTTTTTTTTCAGTGCAATAAATTGAAGCAAACTTAAAAAACTTTGGTTATTAATATGATTGTTAAAACAGAATTAATTCTTAACGGTACTTTTTTGTGTGTTGGGGACAGTCAAGTCGTCGTGAATTAGAAAGTTTTACAGTGCATTTTCAAATCAAGTAAGTATAACAATGCGATTCAATTATCTTTTCCATTTATTCTAGTTTTTTTTTTAATATTTTTTGTAATTAGATTTGTTTGTGTTTTTAAGACTGATTTATAATTTATTATAGTTTTCTTTTAATATTCTTTGTAACTAAATAGATATCTTTGTGTTTTTAAAACTGATTTTTCTTTAAATAGCATATTTTATTGCAACGTTTATTTTTGATTGTATATTATATATTATCCTTTTTTTTTGTTTATACCAATTATACTCGTAATTACCTGTATGTAGATTTGTTTATGTTCTTAGGAGTGGTTTGTTTAATTGACATATATTTTTTTATTTGTTTATTGAAGTTCATTGTTGGTTGTACATACAGAATTGAAGTAAATTTAATTTTTTACACTAATTTGTTTTAACTTTAATTAACATATATTTTGTTTTGGGGTTTACCTGGTGATTATAACGAATTACAATATTTTATTTAAGATAAAAAATATAAAAATATAAAATTATATCAGCGTTTTATTTATTGCATATTTTTTTCTAAAAATCAAAATATAAAAAACGTCTTAAAATGGACAATAAATGCCGTCTCTAAGACGTCAGTGCATCACGTCAATAGTTCGTCACAAAATGACGACTCTAAGACGTCAGTACATCACGTCAATAGTTCGTTAGAAAATGACGTCATCTGGACGAGACATTTGACCGTCATTGGTACGTCAATATCACGTGAAGTCTTTGGTCACTATGACGTAATTGATGACCATTTATTCACGTGAAAAAGACGACATCATGTTGCCTGGGATATAAATTAGCGTAGTTGTAAATAATTCCACTTTATCTAAGTAAGTAGATATAATTAGTTCTACGGAAACATGGACAAATGTTAGATATACATCATAAACATATAGAATTAATGTGGACAGTACAGAGTTATTGCTGCTGTCAAGGAATAAAGTTGCCCTTGGAGAAAATTATCACACTTCTGTTGTAGAATTATATAAGACTCAATTAGAACAGTTGAGGGTTGTATGTAAACAAACTCACAAAAAGAAAAAATTCTGAAGAGATCAAACATCTAAGAATCGATCTCGCATGGCGTGGAACACAAAAACTGAAAAAGCACGCTTCTATGGTTGTGTCATAGAATGGTGTGAAGCTCTTATGACGCCAAAATTGTCGTTTTTAGATTTTGTAGCAAGAGATTCGGCTTCAGTTTGAATTCATATGTTCTTACCTACTTAATACCTTTTCACAAAAAACAACACGTCGATATATATTTATAAGTATTTTTTTTTTGTAAATTTGTTGAATAATATTATAATATAAATCCAAGTAAAAACTTGTCCTATAAAATATGCTTAATTCATTTAATTCTTTTTCGATCAAAATTTCCAAATACGTCCCTTCATTTTTTGGTATGTAGTAACCGGCAAGCTTAATGTTATTTATAGTTTTCCAAATTTTGTAAGATTATATGGCATTACTAAAACTAGTAATTTGAAACAATAATCCCTTTTGTGGGAGTCTACCTTTTTTTTTGTGTCAACATCTTACAGTACTTCTAAAGATATTTGGAAACAAAGTTAATCACTTAATGAGTGTCATTATAGTCCCTGGTCAACCTTCAACTGCCTGCTATTGAGCTTAATGCCCATAAAAGTATCCAAGTAACCCGTTTTCCGGGGTTGGTTTCCAGATTCCAATGCAGTGAAGTGCAGAATTCTGACCTGCGGCGCTGGGCTTTGAAATATTTATGGTAGGGGCATTTATGTCCGGCTGAGAGTGTAATAAAAGTATTTAAATCTGTTTCCAAATATCTTTAGAAACACTTTAACAAGCATGAGAATTCATATTTGCCAAAGACAGAGGAGAAAATTAAAAACTAATCAATTATTGCTGAAACATTAATGTTACTGTTTTGAATTAGTACTACAAACTAAGTAAATTAATATTTAAAAAAACCTCAACAATTAAAAGTTAAAAAGGCAAACGTAACTCTTTACGTATACCTACATCGTATTTATTGTTATTTTCTATTTAAAAAGTACCGTATTAATGTACGTACCGATATTGTTTAATTTTTAATATCTATATTCTTAGCGTTGCGAAATACAAAAATGCCGGTTTTCCATTGTCGTCTACGAGATATGCCTGATGGAAATTAAAAAAAATCATAACTACAGTGTGTACCAATCACTGTCGAAATCCTGAGATTATCGATGGAAAAATGGTGACCAAATTTTTTTTATCCATACCTTCCAAAAACTGATTAGTATTCGTCTCATATCAGAAATCAAATTTCTTTGAAATATATAGGTACCAGTATTTCAAATAAATTTGATTTCTGATGTGTTCAAAGCTTACGCTAATAATTATACACTAAAATTTATTTATTCATTCCATCTATAAAGTTAAAAAAGAATATGAATAAATCTTTAATGAAAAATACGTATTGAATACTGTGTTGAGTTTTATTAGACACGCAACAATTTAACAACGATACCTCAAATTTTAGCTTGATAAACATGATTTAAATTTTATAAAATGTACTTTCGGTTTATGGACCTACCTTGAATTTTTATCTTAGATATCCAAATGTTCCCATAAAAAGTCCAAATTACTTACATATTATACAGGGTAGTGGAAATCTCATCGAACTAATAACGTGCAGTTCGCCGATCCTCAGGGGACATTTTTTTGTTACACTATGACTGGCATTTTCTATATTTTTTAACTTACAGGGGTTATCATAAAATAAATAAAATTTCCCAAAATCAAATGTTAACATTTTCCGAAAATGCTGAATTTGTTGTGTTCTTCAGGGACTAGGGTAGTTCTATTTAAATAAACTTAGACAAATTTTTATTACTAATGAGTATCTTGAGTATCTTTTAATACGCGTAATGATTTATTATTATTTCAGAAATACACAAAATTTCATTTGTAAAATTCGGTTGTTAATTGTTCAAGTTTTCCACATCCATTTGGGTTAGGAAAAATGAAATTTTTCCTAACTAGAGCGGAAAAATAAAACAAAACAATATCAAACACCACTTCTCAAATTCCTTGTACGCCTTTTTATATTTTTTTTTTGATTTCTCGGCCAATAGTGAATTACTTGCCAGTGTGGCTGACTCTTCAACATCAAAAGATACTGATGAAACATCACCTTCCAACATTTTTACCTCAAGAAATACCCAAAACACTTCAAACGTTGAAAAATTGCAAAATGTTGCGTTGTTTGTTTGTATTTTCCATGACAACAAATTTATTGCATTAAAAGGGACTTGATACTTTATTATTCAATTAAATTTATAATGAAGAGTTTTTTTACCTAATTTTACAAAATCTTGTGTGGAATTTGATAGGAAAAGTGTCTTTCCACATTCACGACATGTTTTTGATCTCGACTTCGTCTCGATCAAAAATCTCATGTCTAGAATGTGGAAAAATGTCACTTTTCCTATCTTATTGCACAAATAGCTATTTCCTAAAATTCTGGAAACCCAAACTGCTTTGTGCATAGCAAAATTAAATTTAAAATAATAAAATTTAGGGTGCTGTTACATAAAAACACCTATAAATAACTATTTATAGAAAAAGTATGTACTTATTACCCTAATACCGGTTATAACAATAAGGTTGATGATTTTGATCGAAAAAATTAATTGATTGTAAATATTAGCACGTAACAGTGACTATCATAGTTTGCTTAATCACGAAAGCAGGAATAAATAAAATTCAATAGACTTGCATTGTTCTCCCGGCGCGGAAACACCCAACATATCTGCATTGTTGAAATATGTCGGACGTAAATAAAAAAAAAATTAAAATGGAGAGTATGGCACGTTCAAAACTTTTTCCATATGTTTATATTTTAACAAAAATATGAAAATATTATTATATAAATGGACGTAGAAACATTCCGTGTAAGTTTAAATAAAAATAAATAATCTCGTACGAAAGTCGATTTAAACATTGTTGCATTTTATTAATATTTGTTTACTTAAACTTAAGCTGCTAATTAAAAAATCGGTTGATTCATTAACAAACAGCATATTTAAAATATATATATCTCTAATTGTTTTATTAAATTTGATCCGTAATATTTTAACTATACAAAATCCAAATATCCGCCTAGGTATACCATAACATAAAATTTAGTTACTTGCGCTTCAGAAACGTGCGCTCAAGAATACCTCGTTATTTTTCGTCTTCCGCTTGGATGTAATCCGCATTGTTACTAAAAATAAGTACGCCACTGAACCAACCTTGCCCAACAGGCTCCGCAGGATCGTGAATGCCGAAGACTTCTAAGAATAACGACACAAATGCGATCCAAGACATGTGAGTCGTGTATCATGTCCCCTTCTCAAAGGTTTTACTCTTTTTAGACAGACACTTAACTATTATTCATTATGCGTTCTCCCTTACAATAACAGCAGTCTTCGTCATGACTTAAGAACTGCATGGCAACGTGTTCGGGACACACTTTAAAAATGGACGTAAATGAAGTACAAAATGAAAGCATAATAATTAGTGATAATATTACTAATGCTGGCAATGTTACAAACATTGGAAGACTATCGGAAGCACAGTGGGTTAATATTATTTATTTTGTTTTATTAGTTTGTGGCAGTGTTGTTAATCTAGTTCACATTTTGGCGTTAATAAGAAGCAAACGCAGTGGTATGTATGTATTCTTTATCGCTGTTTGAGTAATAAAAGAGAAAATTGATTTTATTCCTTTGTCTTTTAACAAGTGTTTATATGTGGGTTGGTCAATGAAATTAAACTGTTTACAGACGTTACTACAGCCGCAGTACCAATTGATACTTCCACTACGATAATTGATTCATTTAAAATAACAACATTTTAAATTTGAATGGAGGAATATAACATGAGATATTTTTTTTTTACTTTTAAAACTATATTAAAAAATTAATTTAATTATATAATTAACGAATTTTTTTCAATTTTTGTCTTGATGTCATTGAAAAAAAAAACAAAAATTCAATATCAAACCCCATATCTTTTTATTCTTATTTCATTTTATTTATTCAAGTTGGTTTGCATTTTTCTAAACATAGTCTACACAAAAATTGTTCAAAATATTCCACTGATTTGTTTCTTTATCACCAACACCTGTTTAACTCACCTTTAAGTAATCTCTGGACTAATTTTTATCCTGTTCAAATGTACACGTTTTAACAGAATGCAAAAATACATACATGTTGTAAGTCCAACAACATTGACTAGAAAATTTCAAATGTTTGTTTTTTTACTATAATCTATACAGGGTGTTATTGAAAGGTACGTACAAAAAAATTGACAGTTATTCGCGAAGTCGAAGAAGTCTGAAAAACTTATTTTGTGTTAACAAAATTATAAGGGGAAAATTAACCCTTATCCAACCTTTTTAGACGCAACTGAAGAATAAATAGGTAAAATTAATTTATTTTAGTAAATCCTAGCAACTGTAACAATAAAACTTTTGTCAAAACTAAATGTTGCTATAGAAACGAAAAATGATCTTTTTATCAGAGGCGTACAACAAATTTGGACATAAATTTTAGTAATTTTTATCTCTAAAAGGAGAACACTTTTACCTGAACTTTTTTTTAATTTTAGCACCCATACTTCGAGACAAATTGCCGATTTCATTTTGTACATACCTTTCAATAACACGCTGTATAGTTGCAATGTTAATAATTTATTTGTAATTTTGCAGGTATTTTATCTCTGGTACTGCAAATATCAGTAGTAGATATTTGTCTACTTTATGTGGCAGTCAACGAAGTCCTTGCACTCTATCATAAAAGCTGGTATTTTCCACCTGAATTTTGTCCATTCTTCAAGGGAGCAGAAGTACTGTTGAATACACTAACGATCTACCTGCTGATATGTTACAATTTCCATGTGATTTCACTCTGGAATCTTCATGAGCTGGAACTCAAGAAAAATAACAAAAATCCCCTCACATCGTGTAATGCCAACAGTGACGATTCCAACGAATGTCTTGTAACGAAACAAGAAAATCGTTTAGTGACTATCGATTATAGAAAACGGAAGGACGACATCTCCGTCATTTTCCCCACAATTTTTATATGGATTGTTAGTTTATCACTTAGTATTCCTAATTTTACATTATCATCAACGCTTAAACTTAAAAATAGTTATGTACTTTGTGCTGTTATAGATGTATATTATGGACAAGTGTTACAATATTCGTTACTTATTTTTAAAGTAGTTTTACCGATCGTACTCTTATTTCTTAGTCTGATTGTTCTGACCATAAAGTTAACCCAAACATCGAAAACTGATATTGACAATATTTTGACCAAAAAAATGAATGAGATTAGAAGGCTTGTAATTTTTGGAATAGTGGTGACAGTCTTGTATTTTTTAACTTCTTTCCAACGGCATTTTTTACATTTTGTTCATATTATTTCATGTTCATTTAATAAAAGCACTGTGAATAATTTTAAAATGCCACCACTGTCTAACATTTTTCTCAGTACGTCCAACATGATGTATCTTGCGATCTTACATTATAGTGGTACTGCCATTAGACCGTTATTGTGTCTTATAGTTTTGCCCAAATTCCCACATCTAGTTAGAACAAAAATCTTTCCTTGTTGTATACTTAAAAAATAAAACAATGTATAAATTAAGAACTGTTGTAATTAGTTTGTAAAGGTACAACAACATATTTAATATCTCGGTTCTGTGTCTTCCTTAACACCTCAGCAGCATGTTGAAGCTGCAGCGCACAATCAGGGTGAGCACTTCCCGGCAACTGCATGCACTCTTGCTCAAAGATATAAGCCAACCCATTTAAAAGATCCAAGAATCCTAACGAAATCGCAGCTTTCCTCAATCTATTCAACTCCTACAACATTTTATCACTTGATTTGGAACCAAAACTCAAAACCGCGGTCTACCTTATAGAATTGTTGTGTTTTTTCTGGTAATTTCCTAGCATGTCTCAAAATTTTCTGTATATCGCTTTGAAGTCCGGCTTGTCTAATCCACACGACACCGTTCTGGGAGTAGCTCCTTTTCTCTTGTGGACGCACGGGAAAAGAGCCCATTTGTTCTGTTGGTGAATCCGAAGGACCTAAGTTATTTAAATCACCCAACCATGGCACTACATCGGATCCCGGTGTTAATATCGTTAACATCAAGTTTGACTTTTTCTTTGAATCAGCCCAGGAATAAACAAATCCGAACCAGTTTTCGGCTAGCGTAACCACAGCCGCCATATTTTCAACCTTGAGTGCACCATGAAGAAGAACACAAAACGATGGAACTTTTCCTTCATCTGTTGCATCATCATCTGTTAAATCTATTTCTGCGGTTAGCGGTAGATGGTCTTTGTTGGAGCTGGCTGGTAATACTAAGTGGCGACTGACAGCCATAGGTGAACCTACATCAGTCACAGAAATAAATCCACACACTTCTATTAACTCTGATATGGTGTAACTCTGGTAATCAAAATCAGTTACTTTGGTGTAGGGCTGAAATATTACGTGTTAATAAAATTCGCACTTTGTCGGCGTAGACGAACTTACTACTGGTGCGGGAGATAAAATAATTTTTGATTCCAAATTGCCACATTTTAATGTACCTTTGAACGACGTGTACATATCTTCAGCTAATTTTTGAAACATATTAACTACAGTCGTCTCATTTAAAGGACTTTCCGGTATGCAGATTGAACCATCATATCCTGTTAGATCTACAAGTCTTTGATACAGCGGTTTCGCTAAAAATAATCTCATTAGATCGGGCTCTTTTTATTAGTTAATCAGCCGTACATTTTACTAAATTTGGATCATTGGGTGGCGCAACACAAACCACATGAAGCTTTGCTGGAAATGAAAACGGGATTGGAAAAGGATTAGTTGCGGAACGCTGGTTTACTGTAGCAAATGATTCTTTGAGGGACATGGGCCCTAAACCTGTACTTCCATCAGTAATAAGGATTACCTAAAATATCAAGGTTTCAAATGTCTTAAATGACGATATAAATAAGAATGTTATCATAAAAGTTAGAATGTGATAAACGAACCTGACAAGCAGTATTATTTCCCCACTCGCCCAATACCATCTGGTTAACGCCATGAAGTGCCGTTTCTATGCAAGTTTTGTCATAATCCTCAATATTTTGAAGTTCATTTTTGATAAGAGTATAGTCTCTAGTAAATGCGCATTTTTCTTCATAGAGTGAAGAAAATGCCATCTGCAAAAAACGGAGAAGTAATTAACTATAAAACTGTACTGTTACTACCTAGTTAAAATTATGTTGATATAAGTATACGATAGTATATGGTAAATTTAAATTTCCCACTCATCTGAGATAGACAACGTTAGATTACCGCACTCATAAATAAATTATATTATTATATTAGCCATTATGCCACTTGTATCGCAAATTAGCTATTATCTATGATAGTAGAATAAAATTTACTTAACCTCATTGGAATTAAATTACAAGTTATATTACCTCATTCATTAATACATACAAAGAACAATATTACTTCCCGAGCGTAAGCGAAGGAAGTATTGTAATCGAGTCCGTCGACCAACTCGTTTTCTCGACTTTTCATGACCCCTACAGTAAGAAGAAATAGGTCTCCCATCTCCGTCTGTCTGTCCGTCTGCCTGCTGTCCCGATTTTTATTAGACGTATAATCTACGAAAGTACTGGGCCCATTGTTGTCAAATTTTGAATTTATATTAAGAATATTATGTAGATGGTAAACCGTTGATCAAAATTTGTCTAATCATGCCCACCAATGTGATGACGTCACTTCAAAATTGCATAACATAACATAGTCCTACACATGTAGTTTATGACTCCGTGTTGAGTTTTTAATAAAAATTATAAAACAACATTGTACATTTTGCAGTTTAATGTTGCATCTGCAAACCCGAGTGCTTTTAAATCCTGCAGTGCAGATGTTTTAAAGTTATGATAAGCATAATAAATTTTTAATCAAAATATATTTGCTTATCCCCTCCAAAAAATTGATGACGTCAGCTGAAAACTTGGCCGAATAAATCCTATCTATCTAAAATGTCGAAGATATGATGAGTCTATACTTGTGATTTATCATTCCATTTATATTTTTTCGGTTTGCTTATACAGGGTGTTTCAAAAAAATTAATGATTGAGTCAATTTATTTTATTGATTAAGTCAAGAATTGCAAAACTGAATACTTTGAAATCTTGCAGACGTTTTGAAGTTATTGTAAGCATGATAACTTTTTAATCAAAATGTATCTGTTTATCAACTCCAAAAAATTAATTGCGTCATCTCAAAATTTTGCCGAATAAATCCTTCCGAAAATGTGCAAAATATGATCAGTCTATACTTGTAATTTACCATTGCATTAACATTTTTTACATTTGCATGAATAGATTAATTTATTTTATTAATTAAATCAAGAACGGTTCCTAAATTTTGGAAAGAGGGGGGGGGGGGGGGGGGCGCTTGTAACATAAACCTAAGTTGAAATATGTGTGTAAATGATGATTGACGTCATCACAAAAATTTTGTAAAGTAAAAACTTATTTACATTTACTTTAGCATTGATATACACCTATATTCTCAAAATAAAATTTTATAGTTTTTCGAAAATTCTGGATGTTTCCTTGCACTTCAGGGGCGAGGGAAGTTCTGTCGAAACAACTTTCGACCATTTTTTTTTTTATTTACGCGAAATTTAAACAACGTGTTTTCACTTTATGTGAAGCTTGAAACTTATTGAAAATACTGCCGGTAGTTCTGTTAGAGTTCCGCAAATTGCAAAAGATCCTTGACGCTTTGTACATCAGACAATCCAGTAATTATAGTCTAACTTTGGACAGACTGTTGACAAATTTTGGTTGCGTAAAATCGTCAAAGGTGTGAAACAGCTGATGCAGAATGGGGTTTATTAATAGCCTTAGCTTTACAAGAGTCTAAAGAATTTATAGAGCTAATATTAGCCCTAGTATCCAGACCGGGATATATGATAAAATCTAATATTTAAGGTTGTCTACATTTGCGTCTCTTCCACACAATAACATTTACTTTCAGCCCTAAACTAATACAGCAAGGCGAGAAAGTTAACATCTATTTTTGACATGACAATTACTTAGTTACCATTTGACTGTTGACATTAAGTGTCAAAATATCTGCAACTTATGGAGAAAAACCAGTTTTGTAAACAGTATTTTCAAATGTTGTAAAATTATGTCACTCATGTCCTGTATATTCAACGAAACATACAAACTATTTTTACTTTTTTTGTTGTAGTTAATTGTATTATCGGTGTGTTACTTTATTTCAGTTCCAATTTAACACCTTAGCTATTTGAAAAGGTAGATGTTTTAAATTTAGAACATTAATTAACACAAAGATATCCGTTGAAAAAAGTATTCTATTTAACCCACCTAAAAACGTACATTTCGAAGTTGTATTTTTTCAAATAAATGAGACATTAAACTGGACCGGAGAAATTCAGACAGCGATAACTCTATTCTGCTTGAAAAGAAAAGTTGATATCACCTCCGCAAAAAGTCATGGGTGATGTAATACTAATCAATATTCAATTTATAAAATTATTTGTGTTAATTAATCTAAACTTTTAAACTTCCATGTTTTCATAAACTGATAGATTAGTGGAACTGACATTTTGTATTTAAACCTCCTACTTTAATTGAAAAATTTAATTGTTGAAAATAAAATCTTATAAACCAGAACTGATCAAACAAGGATGTTTTTTGAAAAAATTAAAAAAGACACTAAATTGCAGAGCTGATTTTATTGACATTCTAAATATTAATAAAGGAAAGTACTAATTTATCAACTTTATTACAGATTTACAATTGGCATTATTGTTAAGTCATCAGGCTTCACAGAATCAAATAAATAAGTGAGATGGTGTATCTATGTTGCTATTTCGTGCTAACAGCTGCTTGTGCCGCTTTCTTCGCTTTCACAGTTTCAACAAGCTCCTTGTACCTTTTGATACATTCCTTTTTACTTCTATTTGGAATACACTCTGCAATTCTATCCCATCTTTCAGCAGTAGATGCAGGATAAGTCTTTAATGCTTGTTCCAGGAGTTGTTGCTCTGTGGTTGTCCAAGGCGTTTCTTGTTTTACTTTCACATCTCCATTGGTAATTTTTTTATCACCGTTAAGCGAGATACCATCCAACTTTTTGGAAATACTAGACTCATCAACATTTAACACAGTGCGCTTATCCTTTTTAAAATTGTCAAAGGCCTGCTTGTTAGCAACGTCTTTTAAATTATTTTTAGAAAAGTCTGTATTTTGTAAATCTTTTGCTTTTGCTAATACGAATTTTGCATTAAATCTTGCGCTGGTATTGAACGTTCCATGTTGATTAATGAAATTTGCTACCACTTCCCACCTCTGATTTGTGCCTGCAGGAAATAAGTTCACCGCTTTCACTAAAAGCTGTATATTTTCTTGATTCCAGTCTGGAACAGCTTTTGCCACTGCCTCTTTATTATTTTCACTGGATTTTTGTTTTGCGGCTTCGATTACTTCTTGCTTCTCTTTCTCCATGCGCTCGTTGATGTCTTTTAATGCTTTTTCAAATGCAGATTTTCCATTACTTTGCATGTTTTTATTCAACTCCTCCAACTCTTCCAAGGAAAACACTTCACATATTGTTTCAAGACCAGTCATATTATTTATATTTTGTTCGCTATTCTCGGCAAAGTAATTATTGGCTTTGCAAAAATCTCTCAATATTTTTCTTTCCTTTTTCAACGCTCTCTTCTGTACTTCTCGTTCTTGACGTTTAGCTTCGATTCTTGCACGTTCCGCAGCTTCAGCTTGCTCTTTCAGTAATTGCGCTTCCCTGAGTATTCTTTCTTCTTCTTCTTTTTTAGCTTGGGCTGCTGTTTGCTTCGCTCTCTTCGCCGCCAATTTCTTCTCTTTTTCTTCTTGTTTAATTTTCGCTATTCTAGGATCGTTATTGTAAGCTAAATCTACTAAACTTCGTACTCTTGACATTTCTTCTTTCTTCTTTCTAAGACGTTCAGCTTTGTTCAATTTATCGACATACCGACGTTCGTCTCGGTCTTGACATTTTTCTTTGTCTTCTTCATCCTCATAAGAATATTCGCGCCATGATTTGAAATCATACCAGAATGAATAAAATTTTTCAACTTCTTCTCGACTTGAATCCGGTCCTCCTAACTTTGGAACAACTGGCTTCTCAGACCAACGAGAATTTAAATCAAAATAATACTTAAAAGTTTCGTAGAAATCTTTTTTTAATTCTCCTCCACTTGGAATATTGTTGTCAAAGTCTGGATCCACCGAATCATATGATCGTCTCCTACTTGAATTACCTAATATTTCATATGCCATGGTTATGCATGTGAAATAATCGTCATCAGCTTTTACTTCTTCTCCTAAGGCTTTTCGTTTATCAGGATGGTGTTTCAAAACCTTTTTTCGATATGCTGTTTTAATAATTTCCTCGGTGGCTCTAAATCTAAGAGTTGGAATTCCCAGAACTTTGTAATGATCCTGACTCTTCCACTCTTTTGGATCTAAGCTTCTTAAATATTCAACATCATCTTCATACTCCACGTTTTCTGGTGTCAACTCTTCTTGCACTTCTTCTGGCAGTTCAACTTTCAATTTTCTAACTTGATGTGGAACAAACTTCACGCGTTGTTCTTCTCCAACAGTTTCCAGTACAAAACGATAACGTATTGCTATCGTTTTACACTGATTGCTGTTTTTTGCTAATTTTACTTCACCCATAGCGATTATAACCTCGTCACGTGTTTTTCATATAAAATTGCTTCTATGTGAATAATGCACTCAATTTTGCAAGAAATACAGTGTCGGTTTTTTAATAAATAACTAGGAAGCACAATTGTATAAAACTTTGCAGTAATAAAACACTCTACGGCAACAAATTTTCCCGCATGGTGTACCGTATACGTCAAAATTAAAGAGAGGAATTTTGTTCGTTGACAAGTGAAACAACCTAACCTCTCATATCGCAGCCAACATTGAAAAATTAAAACTAACGGTCCCACTACTTTTTATAAAAAAAACTTACCAAGGAAATAAATTCAAGCTTGGAATATACACTTAGGTGATCCAGAAAGGCTTTAATACCAAGAATCGCAAGATTTTTCCTTGTCGTTTCTGCATTTTCGCTGATTTGAACAGGCCGTGTCATGGACAACGATACATCCAACAACAACACTGTTGGCATTTTGTTTTTTGGATAAAATAAACAGCGGAACAGCGCACAGACAATAAAATAAAAACTGGCAGTTAATAAATGTGCCGCATTTGGACTTGTGTACTTGTTTGTTTACATTTATAAATAACTACTGTCAAAATATGGCAACGTCAATTGTCAAATTTAGTGGAACACGTGGTGAGGCGCGGCTTAAAAATCCCTAGTAGTCCGCACTAATTTGGGCAGGAAATTATGAAATGTTAGAACCAAATTAATCAAAAAAAGTGAATATATTATCAGTTTTTAAATTTCCAGTCCAACTGGAGTCTGCAAATTATATTTTAATGCGATTTTTGTACTTTTCATTTACGAATTAGTTTATTACTTCTGGGCGTCTCTAACCTCAAATTTTTACAACAAATATGTTTTTTATAATTGGTTTAGGGCTCGGAGACTGTAAGGATATTACAGTTAACGGTTTAGAAATAGTTAAAAAATGCGAAAGAGTGTATTTAGAAGCTTACACATCTATTCTAACTTGTGGAACAGCAGCCTTAGTAAGTGGCTGTCACAGTTGTAAATTCCCAAATAATTAAAATTTACGTTACAGGAAGAATTTTATGGGCGTAAATTAATTGTAGCTGATCGAGAACTCGTGGAACAAGGAGCTGATGCAATTCTGGAGGGAGCAGACAATACAGATGTGGCATTCCTTGTTGTAGGAGACCCTTTCGGTGCTACAACTCATACAGATTTGGTTTTAAGAGCTCAAGAAAAGAAAATTAAAGTAGAGGTCGTACACAATGCCTCAATTTTAAATGCAGTAGGTTGTTGTGGTTTACAGTTGTATAGTTTTGGAGAAACAGTGTCAATACCATATTGGACTGAAACTTGGCAACCTGATAGTTTTTTTGAAAAAATTGTTTCTAATTATAAGAACAAAGTACATACGTTGTGTTTACTAGGCGAGTTTCTGTCTACAATTATGTGAATATTCTTAGAATTTTTTGTTTGCAGATATTAAAGTTAAAGAACCGACATTAGAAAGTTTGACAAAAAAGAAAAAAGAATACATGCCGCCGCGTTTTATGTCTGTTAGTGAAGCAGCAGAACAGCTTTTACAAATTTTACAGAAAAGAGTGGAAGATGACGGTTTAGGTAAAGTTGAGTTTTTAACAAATGAAGACTAACTGTGAATTTTTAGTAACAGCTAATAGTTTATGTGTGGGATTAGCAAGGATTGGGTCACAAAATCAACAAATTGTAGCCTGCAGCCTTGAAGAAATGTCTAAAGTAAATTTAGGTGGACCTTTACATTCACTCATAATTGCTGGTCCAGTGTTACATCCCTTAGAATTAGAGTACCTTGAACAGTTCAGAACTAAATAAAATTTGAAATTTTTTTTGGGTTCATTTTTTCCAGAATTCAGATCTGTAACGACTGGTTTAGTCAAAATACGTATGTATTGAAAAAAACGTAAAGTTGGTCAGTGTGTATGATTTTTAATTCCAAGTATTTTTTTTGTAAATTGTGTATCGTGAATTTTGTTTTCTATACACGCAGTTTCGAAAATAAAAAATCGCAGAAGTGAAACACCTGCACCTATGTACATTTATTACATGTTTAAACAATTATAAATTTTTTCGTGTACCTACTTGTACATACAAGAAATTCAAGTACAAATAACGCTCAAGGAAAAACTTACAAACTTTTTTTGGGTTCAATATTATTGGATACATATCTTGCACTTTGCTACTTGAGGATATGCATAAAACCGCTTGCTTTACAAAAATAAAATTTCCAAAATATGCATATGAAGGAGAATTGTATTTATTCATTTTAAAACTTTTTTACTAAGTTTTCATCAAACTGGATGATAATGCGTTGTTTCTTTTATAAATGAATATCTTTGTAATAATTGTAACCTAAATACCTGACACGAAAGGTGTATTTTGGGTTGCGTAAGATGTCTGTCAAGCTCATGGAAGTAAAACCACAATGTGGAGATTAATGATCAATGATCTCTATACCGTGGTCATCACTGACCGTGGTAGAATGGTTAAACGGTTAAACTAAAGTTTAGAGAGAATTCAAAATATGTAAAAATGAATTTGAAAATATTTATTATTATTTAAAAATATACTGCAAAAAACTGGATTATCAATATCAATAACAAGTGTTAAATTAAAAAATACTAATATACAGTGACAAACAGATGGGTGCAATGTCAAGCGTAGTAAATATCTCGAAGGTATAGTCTCCGAAATACTACAAGGTTATATGGCCCCACTAAACTTAATAATGGGATGTTATCATTCCTTTTGTGCGGTTGGTTACCGACTCAAGCCTAGTGTCATAAATCAAGGATTTGTCTCAATATCTTGCCACCTCAATATCTACAATTTGTCTTTTACAACTGTGGGTTTGTTGTATTAACTGCTCCATTGTCGTCTTCACAATACCCTTTTTTTACGACAGCCATATAACCTTGTAGTATTTCGGAGACAATTTAGTATTTTGACCAACTTTGTCGTTTTCCTTAATTCAAAATATTTTACCGAGTATTAACCAGAGTATTAACGTGATATTAAGTTTATCAAAACTAATCCGACTCTAAATGGCGCTGGATAATATATCTCATCCTCTAAAGTCCTTAGATTACCGGTAATCTATTATCTTTATCATCCCCTTTGTGCAGGGTAGGCGATGAGAAAGACAAAGATATAAGTACTATTTGCCATTTCTATTGAAACACCACCTGTTGATAAATTGATTTTGCCTAAAATTTAGCAATTGTTAACAGTTTTCGGTTGATTGACAACGGCTTTTAGTTAGAAAATTGTCTGAATATGAACGTTGCTAAATTTACGATCAACAAGTGATGTTTCAATAGAAATGGCAAAGACTATATGTGCATTAGCAAATGGTGTTATTTTAATAGTTATTAGTAATACTAATAACAGCAGGCTGTATTCTTAGAATTCCGAGAAAATGAGATAAGCTGTGCTCGATTTTTTTTTTTTTTTGAGGTATATAAGTCATTAAAAAATAAAAGTTCATTGATAAATCACAAGTGGAGGTACATAATACTTTGCAAAAAAATACAAATAATTTTTGATTAGCAATGTACAGTTGAGGTCTTCCAAAAGTACACGATAATTTTCTCTATTGTAAATGTATGTTCAAATCATGGGCGTCCGAATAACAAAGTTTGTCAAATTTGACATTTTGTTTATTCAAAAATGCTACGACACTGGTAAGAGCCAAGCTTACATTAAGTTAAAAATTCAAAAAATTCCATGACAACGAAAAATCGTGCGCTTTTGGGGGACCGCAACAGTACCATGCGAAACTTTAAACTGGAAGATTCCAAAGTAGTCCATTTTGCTATTTTTAAATTGAATTGTGCAAAAATTTAGATCTTTTACGGTACAAGTAAGGGGCGATTTAATAAACCACAAGTATAGAGGCATATTATTTCATCAAATTTCTGAAATGGTTTTTTTTTAAGTTTTTTGATTAAGTCGCCGATTTATGTTTTTAGTGAGGACAAAGATATTAATTTTAATATTTTAAATTTTACTGTAAATTGTATCTTGGCCTCTATTAAAAGCACATGATTTTTTAATTCAACATTATGGGGGGTAATACACAACCACACGCAACTCTGTATGCAGCTCTGTATGTATATATAACACGCCCCTCTCCCCAAAAAAAACACTAGTGATAACACCACCGCGATGTGTGTATTGTGTACTAAGTACCAGAATATAAACGTTCTAAAAGATATTTTTTTTGTATTTTATATTATTATGTATAATCATCATGAAATATGTATTTAATAAATTTTTAAATGACGTCATTAACTTTGTGAAGAGGTGAATAAACAATTTTAATATATTTAGATATCGGTAAAAGATACAGATTTGTCGTAAAATTACACCTAGTTAATAGATCTAATTTTATGTTTTTTTAATCTTCAGCAAGACTTCTAAAATATGAAAATGCCGCTTTCCAGTTTCCGTCTGTTTGTCATCTGTTGATGAATTTATTGGGTAGATACCTTGGAGAACACCCAATAGATAACTTTTAAATTGTCCGTATGGATAAAAATTGTCATGCTATTTTACAATATCTCCAAAAAATTCATTATCTTAAAAAAATTGTAAATAAATCTTATGAAAAAATCCTCCCGGAGGTGCTTGAAAAGTCGACTTTTATATTTTATTACTCGTATAAAAAAATAATATGTAAATTGCCTCAGAAAATTGATATTTTTTTTTTTTACAAAAAATTACTAAAATTGATTTTCAACGTGAAATTTTCGAAATGCAGAAATAACGATCTAAAAAATTAAATGAGAATGAAGACTACATGCTTTCTTTTTCTTTCTAAAAAGTGATATTAACAATAAAAAAGTTGTATGAATTTGTAAAAGTACGTTGTAAAAGTAGTGTTCATCGTATATAGATGAAAAACATGTCAATAAAAAATAAACACGATTAAACAATACTTAAAAAAAAAAATAATTTATCATTTATTGAAAGAGGATTGGTGTCGTATTTTTAAGCCTCGCTGTTGTGTCAGGAACATGGTATAAGAAATTAAGTACATGTTTTTATTTTGTAAGCAAATGTGAAAATCAATAATACGGCGCAGTAAAATTATTGATCTTTAAGAACAACCTTATTTAGTCACAATTTATGTGCCTTTATAAAAGTGGCTAGTTATGTAAATAAGTTTTTTATGACCTTTATTGATTTTACGTAGAAAAATTCTATAGTTCTTGAGAACAACGATTCATTTTTATTGCTGTAGCGCCTTGAATATATACACTGTAAACCGCCGTCGTGGTATAATTTCGATCGTTGAAGGTGAATAATCTGTGAGTGTAGACTTTTTCAACAATATTTGATAACAGTCAGTGCTGGCTGTTGCGACATTACTAAAAAGATCTACAATTATTACACTAAACAGTAATCTTTAGGCTGTTGTAGTACGTACATTAATTTTTTTACTACTGGTATCTAAAAATTAGTGTTCACAGTGATCTGTTAACTAACGTTAAGAAAATAAATATGCAAATGGCGACTTCAATAGAAGCTGATAACGGTGAAATGATTGTGAAAAGAGTCAGTGTTCCGATAGGTCTAGAAGAACTAATGGAAGGATTAACCAAAGAAGTGATTTTAAAGAAACCTAAAGACATTTGTGTTTTTGCTTCCGAATATTTTACCAATTTGCTTAACCTCAGAGAAAAAGGATCGCTTAAAGGTAGGTACTCTTTAAATAAATCAGTTTTTATCATTCGACTCTCTTTTGGTAGTTTTTCTCAAAGATTCACCAATCAAAGCAATTTTATTTCAGTGCCTCCTAGTAAAAGAATTCAGTCAGTTACAAAGCAAATTTCTCCTGATACCGTCGCTAAACGATTGAAAATGAAAAGCAAATCTGTTGAGCCCGTCAAATCACTGTCTAGACAAAAAACTATTCAATCTGATTCTCCAACGAAAAAACCATTGACTGCTAAGAAGATCGTTTTAGGTTCAAAGGAGGACAAGAACGATAAAACAGATAAAACCAAATCATTCCTTGATAAACGAAGAGCTAGGAAGGATTCTAAGGAAGATAGTAGCAGCAAACAGCGAAAATCGTCAGACGGACAAAATGATAAAAGAGAAAAGAAAACTCCGTATCGTTTTGAGAGATCTGTAAGCAGAAGCACTGACGACAGTGTTAAAACACCTCGTAACCGAAGTGAATCGAAACAAAAATCTAGTGGTAAAGTTAACAATAAAGTCTCACCAAGAAAAGATGACAAGTTAAACAGTTTAAATAAAAATACAGCTGTAAATAAGGGATCAACGGCAATTGAATCTCTTGAAATTAAGAATGAAGATGCTGCAAAAGTTGAAAATAATGTTTCAAATAATAAAGACGAAATTGTTGAGGACATAAATAAAGATATGGAAATGCTAGAAAATAAAGAAAACGAAGAACCTAGTAACAAAGTGATAGTTGGTTGTACCATGAACAGCGATGTAGCTGTAGACAAAACTAACGAAAATATGCCGGAAAATATTTGTAGTACACCTAAAGATGTTGAACAAATTACAACTGATGAAAACGAAAACGAAAATTATGTAGCACCAATTAAACAAGAACAAATTGATACAGATACCAATCATTCCGTTGATGAAGTAGATCATAAAGCAGATTTAAATGCTGAAGACAAGACTCTTGACGAATCAAAAGAATTGAAAGACGAGAAAAAGTCACCTCCAAGCGACGTTGAGGAAATCATTAACAATGATTCAACATTAAACGAAGAAAAGTCTTTAACTGACTTCAGTAATTCTGAAATTAGTGTTCATGATAAAGATGACAAGAAAAGTGACGAGAAAGAAGACTTAGAAAGGGAAGCAAAAGTAGTGTCAGAAGTAGACGCGTCAGGAGATAAGTCAATAGAACAATCTTCTGCAGGCGATCAAGACGTCTTGAAAGTAACAGAAAAGAATCGCGAGAATGATAAAACAAAATTAATTAAAGGCGAAAGTACCACGAATAGTACGGAAATGGGCATGGAATCATTAGAAAATAAATCGCTGGAAGAAGAAGAAAGCAAGTTACCTGAAACCGAAAATAAAAATGTAGAGCTTGATGACAGAAACCTGGTTACTAAGGACTTCAATGAAGCTATGAATACAGAAAATATAAATCACAACATCTCACCCTCTGAAATGAAAGATAATAATACTGAGACAAAAGTATCCCTCGATGATCAAGAAAACAAAGAAAATATGCATGTAAATCACAAAGAAATAACTGGCAGCTTTACAGATACTATTGACAAAAAAAGCGAAGAATCCAAAGAAAAAGTTAAAATAAAAAATATTAGAGCTAAATCTCTCTCAGAAGAACGGTTAAAACTAAAAGAAAGTAACAAAGACAGGGATAGTAAAAAAACAAAACGAATCAAATCAGTTGATTCGAATAAAAATAATCTTAAAAAAATGGTATCTCAAACAAAAATTGATACAACTAGTAATGAAAAGGATAAACCAGATGGAGTAGTGGCTGAAAATAAAACTAGACCTAAAAGATCCCTTTCTGAAGACGCAGTTAAAGATAACACAAATACAGAAGAATCACGTGGAAGCTTCGATTCTTCAAAATTACGTGAAGAAATAGATACAGTTAATGAATTAAGTAAAACGACAAGTTTTAAAACGAGTTACAACCCTTACAAGTTGAGACAAGAAATTAAACAAGCTTCTGAAGACTCTAATAATAATAATAGCAGTATGGCTAAAGTAGCCAGTGAAATAGCAGCAGCTACTAAAATACAGTCCACCTGGAGAGCTTATGCCTGCAGAAAGAGCATAAAACAAATTCCAAAAGACACAACAAATGATTCAAAGAAGCACGAGGAAGAAGCACACATAAATGTAATAACAAATTCTTTAACAAAGAATAATGAAGATGTAGAAACAAAGGAAGATGAAGAGAAGAAAATTAAAGATGATTTAGATGGTGCGACTGAAAAATGTCAAGACACTTTAAAAACTGAAGCGGACTCGGTTACTGAAGATGTTATTGAAGAAAAAACTGAAAATTACCAAAACTCTGCAACAGTTGAAGATAATGCTAATAATAATTTAGTAGAAGACAAAGTGCTTGACGAAACTGCAGCAATCGTAGAGAAGTCTGACGAAGCAAGCAAACTTAAAGAAAATAAAGAAGATACGGAAAGTGAAAGTAAGATTGATGATAACGATAAAAAATCAACACTGCAGGAGAGTACAAAGTCAATGGCAGAACAGAATTCACCAGAAGATAAGTCAAATAATGAATCAGACGTTCCTGCGGAAAGTGAAAAAACAACAGAAGAAGAAAGTCATAAAACGGATAAATTAGAATCTATAGTTCATATGGAAACAGAAAATGAAAAAAGAGAAGACTCCAGTGACATAGTTTCTCAAGACATAAAAGCAACCGAAGGCACAGTAAGTGAAAGTAATGAAAACCATGACAAAATTGAATCAGCAAATGGTGTTAGTGAGAACGTTTTATCCACAGAAAATGGTAAAGAACTTGAAAACAACACCAACGCAGATATGACACAAGAAATGCAAAAGAGTACTGCAGATGATAAAGATATGTATATAAATTCTGAAGATAAAACCACTTCTAATACGATAATAACTGAGCAAACCACTGACAATAAGTCGCCGGTACAAAATCATGAACAACAAGAAGTGGTAAATGTGCCACCAGAGAAATGTAACGAAGATGAACAAAATGAGAATTCGATCAAGAAAAGTGAAGAAACAACTGAAGACGTATCTGCAAATGCTAAAGGTGACACCACTGTATCAAATTTACAACAGTCTGATAGTATTTTGCCAAATGATACAAATCAGGAAAAATCAGAACAAACTGACACAAAAGAAGTGGACACTAACACAAATACAGAAATTACTAAAGGAGATGGAAGTAAAGAAACATTGTCAAGTTCAGAAGAGCAAGAAAATGATAAAGCGGTGGAAGAAACTGTAACTAAAAAAGTTGACTCGGCACTAAATTCTGAAAATGTTAGTAAGTCCAATATTAATGAAAATGAAGACACCGTGAAAGAAGATCTTGACAAAATTAGTACAGATAAAGACAACAATGGAGATCAGAATAATCAACAAACTGAAGCTAAAGATTTACCGGTGGAAAAAGAAATTTTAAGTATGGCAGATGCTGTTATAAAAATTCAAGCCACGTGGCGGGGTTACAAAACGAGAAAACAAATTGAAGACGAGAAACTGTTTGGAGATTCAGTTGAGAAAGAAATTAAGCAAAAAGAGGATTTAGAACTTGCTAAAAAAATAGATAAACATGCAGCTATTTCAAAAATTCAAGCTGTTTGGAGAGGATATAAAGTAAGAAAAAATATTAAAGATGTTAATAACAGGGTAAGTTAAAAATAATTGACTAACAGTACTTCATTTTTTGTTTTTTTAGTTAGCGGAACTGCAGAAACCAACAGAATGTGATGAAATGCCCTCCCAGAGGGAATTAAGTGATGAAGATATTTTCAACGCGGCAACAAAAATTCAAGCTGGTGTTAGAGGTTACATGGTTCGTAAAAAGAGAAGTAACGTTTGTCACTTAAAAAGTATTACCGAAGAAAATACACCAGAGAATAAAATGGCAGATGAGGAGGTAATTGAATCACTTCAACAATTACAAGACATTCCTCGTCATTCTCCTGAAGTCAGTAATAAAAGCGATGATGGAAGCCAACAAGTGAAAAAAGAAGAATTAGCACATACTGATTCAGACACTGCCGAAGCTGCGATGCTTGAAAATTTACCAGATAACTCAAAAGAAAAACAAATGGACATTAATAGTAACACAGAAAATGTTAATAATTCACCTGAAGTCAATAAAAATTCCAACGATTTAATGCAACAAGCAGAGAAGGACGAACTCGTACAACCTGTTTCAGATACTGCTGAAAAATGTATGCCTGAGAATTTCGAAATGTTAAATAACACTAAATCAGATACCGCAAATGATAAATTAAACGAAAAAAAAATATACGTTGGCAGTAACACAAAAAGTGTTGATAATCAAATTACAGGAAATGAAGAAGCTAAAAATAATGAAATGAGAAATACCAAAGAGGATAATAAAAAAACCGAAAACGAAGTGAAATTTATTGCTCCGGAATTAAACTCCTCTACTACAAATAAACTCTCTAATTTAGATACAACTGCGTTAATTGATGATACTATTTCAAATAGCATTCTAAACAAAGATGAAGTTGACCCAGTTTCCTCCATAATTCATGATGAACCAGGTTATGAAGACGCTCCTACGCGACCAGTAACCTCAAACAAACCTCAGGAATCAATAAACAATCAAAATATTGAACCCGTAGCGGAAAAACGTACCGCAAATGAAGTTAATCAGAGTGTCGATAAGGCGCAACTCAACACTCTCAATGAAAAAAATATAATCAAATATCATGAATCAAATAAAACTGAAAATAACAAAAAAGACGAACAAAAATTTCTCGAAAGTCAGGAATCCACCACTTCTGCTGATTCCTGTACTACAGTTATATTTAACGAAACTGAGACACAACCTGCACATTTATCACATGATGAATGTCAAAAGATACCACATGATGATGAATCTCAAAAGATGTCATCTACAGATGAAAATACAGGCACAGATACAGTAGTTCAGGAAAGTGATAACAACAACGAGGAAAATAAAGTAATTAAAATTTCAGAAGATTTAAAAGTAGATAACTCGATTAATAACAATACTGAAAATATACATGAAGAAAATGTATGCGATTCTGTGTCACAGATAAATAACGATACTCCCACTGTAGAACCAGAAATTGAAAAGAAAATTACTCAAGAAAGTGAAACAGCCAATATAAGTGCACCCAGTTTACACGATACTGAAAACGATAATGTTATTAAAGAAATTCACCTTGAAGAAAACCAAAAACACATACTCCCTGAAACTAGAGAAACGATGAGTAATGAGAATGACAATATATCAGGAACTGAGAACAATTTGGAATCATCTGATGTGCAAAAAATTGAACCAACGGATCCCCAACTTGGTGATGATAAAGGCGACAAACCTGGTGACCATGACGTATCAATTGCAACCAGTAACGAAACAGACACGGAGAAAGAGAAGGAAAATAACGAACTAAATGACAATAAAGAATTAGAAAATTTGCATGCAAATGAAACTTCATGTTTAAAAAAAGTTGCTGATGCCGATTTTAGTGACTCGCAGGCAATAAGTGGAAGCAACAGTAGTGAAAGTGAAATGCATGCGTCTGAATCCAAAACGGACGATTCAAATATAAGTTCGGAAACAAATTTAAATGATACACCAGTCAGTCAGTCCTCTACTGAAAACAATAAACTAAACCTATCTGCTTTAGAAAGTGAAATAATAAATGCTAACAAGCAAATACAGAATATAGTTGCAAGAAATTCGGAAGAACGTAATGAACTTTCAGACAACGATAGAAAAGATTCGATTGCAGATAATAGTTCTGCTGATGAAACAAAAACAGAAACTTCTTTGTCAACATCCAGCAATAGTGAAACCGATAAACTAAAAAGTGAAGACAGTACAGCTGATATTTCTTCTGAAAAGGAAGATGAGAAAGAACCTGTTGTTAAGACAGATAAAGATGTTTTACGCATACATATTCCTTTGAGAGAATTGTCTGAAATAAAAGAAGAAGACGGAGATGCAAAATCTTCAGCTGATTCGGTGGAAGATTTAGATGATGAATCTAAATCCAGCAAAGATTACACCAATTCAACTGAAGATGAAAAGCAAACTGAAAAAGACAATAAAAAAACACAAGAAATAAAAGATGGCGATAATAACGTCATACCACATAGAGATTTAGAATCTAAGATGCAAGGTGAAAAGCAAGCAGAAGAAGAAAATGAAAAAACACAAGAAATAAAAGATGCCGATAATAAAATCATATCAAAAAGAGAATTAGAATCTAAGATGCAAGATGAAAAGCAAGCGGAAGAAGAAAATGAAAAAACACAAGAAATAAAAGATGTCGAGCATAACGTGATACCAAATAGAGAACTGGAATTGAAGACGCAAGATGAAAGGCAAACGGAAGAACATGAAAAAACACAAGAAATAAAAAATGCGGAAAATAATGCGACACAAAATATATCATCGGAATCTAAGATGCAAGATGTTGAAAATTGTAACAAAGACAATGTGAAAAGTGAAAATCTAATTACAGAAAATGACAAAGCGCAAAAAACGCAGGTGAATGATCTGGAAGGAACCAGAAAAAAGTCCGCGAGTCCGATAATCAGTTTGGTGCACACTGGCGAATTTCATGATACAATAACTGTCCCTATATCTGTAAGTCCGCCGACGACTTCTTCAAAAGAGGCAGAAAATCAATCCAACGTTCGACGAAGCTCGCCCCAAGGTCTAGTACATACAGGAGAACTTCACGATAATGTGTTGCCCTTATCAGTTCAGCTAAATGAAGCCCCACCAGGTCAAGTATTTGTTATAATAGTAAGTGGAGTTCACGCAAAAATTTCATTGTCAAGCACAGCCAAAAATCACTCATTACTTTACGTGTCAAAAATATTTTAAAATAACAATAACATTGACCAGGGAGAGATCGCATAAACTTTACATCTTTCAACAATTTTGCTTTATTGCCAACGTTCATTACGTCTGTGTTATTTGAAAGGAACAGATTTCTGGCATGACACAAATAAAACAAAACTAAAAATAAAGTATGTATATTCAGTCGTTAGTCTTGTAAACGTACGTAGTTCAAGATGAATACTTATCCGCTAGTAAAAATAGAAATTTTTATTTTTTGTACTTTTACTATCGTCACTTTAGACGTCACTTGTCAACCGAAAATTCTTTTATCCTCGTCAAGTTATTTATAATCGTAAACCTCTTGCGATAAATATTTTAATTAAAACGAAAGTCGTTACCACATCAATTTCCAGCGTAATAACAGTTAACCGTTAGTGGCTGGACAAATTTTACTTAGATCCAATATTGTTAAGCTATTACTTACTATTACTAGTGATAAATTCTACAGGATTAACTTAATTAATTTCCTTATCATATTGATTTCGAGTAGCACATTCAATTATTTTACAGACCTAAATATACCTCTGCTTATTTCCGTGTTTGTTTTGCCTGTCCATACATATTTACTGTTATGTTGTCGTTTTATCGATACGAATCTCATTAAGCATGATTAATATACCTTTACTCCCATTTTTCTCTAGCCAAACGACATTTAAAATGAAAAAAGAATAGTTACAAATTATTGTATAATTTATGACTTAATCTTAATGGTGAGGAGTCTTGACAAATTGCCACTTTAGCCCGTTACGTCAATCCTCAGTTTATATATAGTCGCTGTTTGATAGGTATCTATTATATAACTCATTTTATCATGAATGTTCATTCCAAAACGTACAGGAAACCTGCACCTCATACTGTCACATTCATCTAAAAATTGCCAAATAGTCTTAAATCAAAACACGTTGGTTTCTCGATATTTAGCAGGTGCTGAGATCTTGACGTCACAAGCGTCCGAGTCAATCGACACCGACGGTCAGAAAGGGGCGCAGGCGTCGAATAAAGACGCCTCAGCATGTGAGACTCAGCCAGACAACACAACGTCGTCGGCAGCTAGTATGGAAACTGAAAAACGGAACAACGCGACAACTATACCGAAGAAAAGTATGGAAGCTGAAGCCGCCACCAAGATCCAAGCCGGATTTCGGGGATACCAAGTCCGCAAGCAACTGAAAAACAAGGTAAAATTGCCTGCATTATTTCACAATTTTTTAATTACAGTTGCACATAACCCATTATTTTTACAAAAATGCTTCTTTGATTTTTATCTCAATGATTTGACTGAAGTGTCTGTAGTTTTTAAATGCCTTTCTTGATTGCAAAATACTTCAAAGAAAAAATTGTTGTCATAATTTTTTCCAGTAACTGCATGTGTTAATTGCACATCAGGTTCTATCAACAAACATAATTTATTTATGAGTTGGTGTAAACATCCCCGCTTAAGCCACTATTAATTAAATTCGTATTTACCACACAGAAAAAATCTTTTTTAACGCGTGCTTTGAACGTTTGTTTTTCTGTGGGTATTAACGCATTTATTTTAAAATAAATTTGAATAATTTATTTTTTCACAATTGTCAATTATTACAGTTCGAAGGTGCCAAAGAATGTTATTTATGCGAGGTTGCAGTCACATTCCAAACATTCCGATATATTTATATGTGGGTTAGATAATGTTCATTGATTGGATTATCTTCCAGATCGTGTGTTGAGGTGTACGTTTATAAACAACACGGGAAATCGTATCCCTCGCTTTATAACACAAATGTGGATACAAAATTTATTATACTTAGAAATAGGTTTAACAGAATTTTATAAGGAAGCTTCCCATTATGTCAAATTCTATTGGCAAATTGTTTTATTTCGTTTTTTAATTTTTTGTATAAATAGTTTTACATCTGCACTCCGATAAGCAAATAGTTGCAAAAAATAATGACACATATTTAAATCAATTAAACTTAACGAGAAGTCACGGTAATCTGAAATGATATGCGCTTCTTGCACAGCCCCGTAGCTAGAAAACTTATTCAGGGGGGGCAAGTTTGTCGACAGAGGGGGCTTCATGTAAATATATATATTTCAATAATGCACTCAGATAACTGCTTTATTTTTTCATTAAAATAATTGTAAACGTCGTTTTTTCCGCTATTAAATTTTCGTAAAAACCTGTCCAAGTCCAAAGAATTCGTACGGTACTTTTCAAAAGCCAGAAAAACCAAGTTTGCCAATCTTTGATGCGTCATTGCGATCGATTCAGAGAATGTAGATTTACAAACAGTTGTACTGCGTCTAAAAATTCGTATATATTGCCAAATAACATACCCTGTAAGAAAATAAAGGGTGGCCAGGTGGGGCTACTAAATATGCTTTAGCAATCAGCATTATATTGAAATTTTATTACTAATTTGAAATTTATAATGTCTAAGTATTCCGGGGGGGGGGGGGCAACCACAACTGCTAGGGGGGGCTCAGCCCCATCTTGCCCCCCCGTAGCTACGGGGCTGTTCTTGCATGCATACAAATCATGATCCAATAACATTCACAATGGAAATATGAATGAAAACAAAAATTCCACACGTGTTTTAAGATTATTACACAAAAAATATCGATGAATATAAATTCTAAGTAAATAAGTACGTAAATAAATAAATCAATAAACGTTTTCTGGGATGTTAAGTAATGCACCACATTCTCCATACATTTAAAAAATATCTTTGATATCGATTTATCGATCTTTAATTGCGACTTTATGAATAAGAGGAACTAACACTATGCAGCAAAATGACCAGTTTTCCAAATCTTTGAAGTTGTTGTTTTTGTCTATTATTATTAATAATGAACTATTCCACTGTTTTGTTATTCGTTCCTGCTGTATTTTTCCCAACATTTAAATAATCTTGTGAACAATGAACTGCATATAAAGTTATTTACATGAATCAAATTCAAATGAATTCAACAATGAAAAAATCTCCAACAAAAGGTTTCAAAGATCCTGTGAACCGGCATCATCACCGATATTTTACTCATTTTAAATGTTATTTTATTTTACATACAATGTAACACTACCTAGTTAGTTCATTATCCTGCTTTAAATAGCAACCATCACTCTTTTGTTTAACTTCGGTCAATTTTAAGACAGTTTTAAAGAAAATATTATTATTATCATTATTATACCAAGTAGGTACTAGAAAACACCTATATAGTTTGGATTCTTCATTTTAACACAATGTGCGTCGTACCTTGACCTAAATGTCAGTATTGACTCAAATAGAACTATATCTGAGAGAATAGAGGAAGCAGGTGTCTGATTTAGAAGTCAATTTTATTCAAAACTCGGAAGATGGTAATGAGGTCATCTCTCTTACGCTTCTCAGAAAGAGAACAAAGATTCATTCATACAAATCATTTTTACCATGGTGGCCGTTTTCTGCCATATGGAATTCTGGTTAGACAGGTTCCATATATCTCATGTCTTGTTGAAATACTGGAGTTTTATATAATTTTGAAAATACTACAGAAGTTGTCTTTGGGAATGTTTGCTTTGAAGAACAACATTCTGTTAGCCTTGACACGAAAAATGGGATCATTCAATTAATCCATTGGAGAAGATTTCCCGGTATACCTAGATGTTGAAGCTTATGTAGGAAACGATGCTTTAGAACTTTATCAAAAGATTTGGAAAAATCGAGATAGTTGATAACAGAAGACATTTGGAATATAAGTCCCTAGTCCAATCAGACAAACGATAAGAAGATTTGACTGACCTGATTTTCGAGGCAAAATCCCATTGGGTGGTGGTCTAACAAGAATTTACTTGTCATAAATTATGGACTTCATGACTTTAACTACAATCAACGCTGGTAGCTCAAGGTGTGAAATTTATCACCTTTGTTGGCTATCAGACGAGTCGGACGAATTTTTGCTTTATTCCGTAAAGATTAATCTATTTTTGTATTTGTCTACTATTAAACTTTACAAGTGTACAGGCTCCGTGCTTACATTATTTTTGAGTGAATTATAGGAACTTTTATAAAATCTGAAAATTAAAAACTCGCGTAATAATTTTTCATAAAAAGAAAAACTAGTCTTAATCGCGGCCGTCATAGTTTTTGTCTGTAAAAAAAAATTGTCTTTGTTTTTGATCACTGAAATAGTCACTATCCTGCCAAGAAATATTTTAATATTACTGCTGTACATTTACACTTATGCTACTTAAACTCACCCACTTTACAATATCAAACAGATTTATTTTCACACCTGCCTTGAATGAAGTTGCATCTACATGAATTAGTAGGTACAGATGCGAATCGTTCCAGTAGTGGTTTTGTATAGTGTGCCAAGGAATATAGTGGTTTTACTTTCGTTACATACTTAGTGGATTTGCTTCACCTAAACAGGTCCGACTTTTTGTAGCTGTTTGTTCACAAACAAGATCTTGGAAAAGTCAAAATCATAAAATCACTATTTTTTCAACTTTTTGTATAAGACATATCTAACTTTAATTGAATCTTTCCAAATGTATGCTTTTATTTTCCTTATTGTGACAAAATTAGAGGAGTGAGAAAAAGACAAATATCTTACCTTCGTCGACGTTTTTTCGATGTCCCCAATAATAATTAAATAGAGCAATATTTTTAACTTAAAGAAAATTTGGTTCAAACAAACTTTTTTGAGCCGTTCCTGAAGAAAGAAAGAATAGCATAACATCCGCTCCTCAAAAATTTTACTTATTATTGCAACACAAACAAAAATGAGTTTGACTTGTTTAAACTTTTTTGTTAAATTACTGTGGTTTTTTCGTTTGCCTCTGACTTCTTCTAATGTGTTGAAAGTTACTATTATAAAATCTCCTACGTTTAGAAAACATTGTTTCAACACATATAACATAAACAACCTGTTCACATATTTCGTCTTAAATTGCAATATACGCTTTGATGGATAGAACAACTATAGTGTTTTATTATTTCCTGATATATTCTTGTGTGTTATATATCTGCAGAGATCTATTTTAACAGACAATTTTTTTCTCATATATCGCTACGTATTTGGCTAACACGTTGAAACTCTTAAATCAGTTCTAGAGACCTAAACTAAATATTTAAAAGGAAATTTACAGTTATTTTAATCAAAAACATTGTCATATGTATTATTATTCAAGTGTCTCACAGGGTGCAAATTCTAGAATTACAGATCAAGACGATGTAGCTATTTACAAACAAAAACATAAATATTTAATAGCCAAGACATAATTATCTAGTAAATTTTGAATTGTTGCAAGTAAAGTGTATTTTATAGAATGTTCATGGTTTATTTGTTTTGGTCTGCAAATTCATCTAGTCAAGTATTCGTTGCCAAGAACGTATTTCATATTATTTCGAAATTAAACTGTTTACACCATTATTAAATTAATGTTATTATACATTCCAAGAAATTACAAAACTGATTCCAACAAGTGACGATTCTTTCTGTACTTTGTAAATGTTAAATATCAAAGACTATTATTTTATTTATAGACTATTTTTTAGACGAAAATTTAGAAATATTGACAACACTTGGCACTAATTGATGTTTTCGGCTTAAACTTAATTATGAAACCTTCAACTTTCTAGCAATGACTAAAATAGAATGCAGGCAGATGCGTTTGAAATAGTAGTTTATGTGCATCTTAAAATAGGTCAGTAAGATTCTGAAGTAATAACAGTATAAAAAATATCGCCAAGTTTTTAAACATTGTCAAATTATTTGCCTCTGAATTTGTAGAAAGAATTTTTCCACCAGTTTGAAACACACCCAAATTATGGAAGTTCCCGGCCCTGAAAACACTATTCATAAATAAAAAAAGTAAGTTCCTAAATAGACTCAGTGCTAGACTTCATTAAATGATTTATTAGACTGATTTATTACACTCATCTTAATCATGCTATTTAATGCGGAAATATAAACAGTTCGATTAAACGATTTCTTGGCAAGTAGTAAACACCCATGTAATTAGGACACACATGTTGAATCTGGGTTAAGAGCACCAAAATTTTGTATGACAATGAAAAGAAGGAAATTCCAGTCTTTCTCGACAACACTGGATTTCTCAAAAATGTATTTGCATTTGACAAGTTAAAATAACACAAAAGACTGGATTTGTGACACATTATTCGATCATTTTACTGAAATTGTACGTTTTCAGATCAGCTCTCCCGGTGACATTTCAAATCAGCGTCGTTCATCTAGACGCAAAAGTTCTGGGAGACTAACAGAGTCCGGGAGGATCATTCAGAAAAAATCAAAATCTCCATCTGATCTTGAAGAAAAGTCTGCTGTGAAAATTCAAGCTGGAATACGAGGATTTTTGGTCCGCAGGCGACAGAAGAAGCAGAAGCAAGGGAAAGAATCGTCATAAAATTCGTAAAAATAACTAATGCAACATTCTGTTATAAATTGAGCGTTTCACCATCTACAACCATGAAAAACTGGTGCAAGTTCAGTCTTATAAATATTTCCACTATGTAGAAATAATGTGATTTGGTTTATTTGCAATTGCAAGTTATTTTCGTTCGATGTTAACCTCGATTCGGCATATTTTTCATTTTAGTAACACCTCTAAAGATGGTCACTGTTTACTAAGATTCTACCGTCCACTCTTTGTATAACGACTGTTAACATTAAGTAAACAAAATAATAAACGATATTTTTTTAAATATAATAATTACAAATACTTAAAGCTCCACAAATGAATGATTATAATTTCATGATTCCAAGTATAACTAACTATATTGTTTAAGCACTTTCCAAATATTAGATAATTTAGAAATTACTTAGACATGTTTAAATACGTATACACGAATCGTACTACTTAGTTATTTATACTTAATTATTTTTATTATTTATTTAAATATATAGTGTCCTAGTGCAAATACTTCTTTAAAATGAAGACGTGTGTGACTATGTCTAGATTAAGCACAATTTTCTGTTTGTTATCAATTTAAAAACGTATCACGCCGTTCCATTCGTGTACACGTATTCCTGTTTTCAAAAACATTTATTGATAAAATGTATTTATATTTTCCTAGAGAATTATGTAATAATAATAAATAGAAAAAAGCATTATAATCATGACATTTTATTCCATCAGTCAGAATTTTTATACATTTATTAGTTTCTTTTCATCCTAGTGCATACTAAATGTCATGATCCGAATATTTTCAAGAGTGTAAAAGAGGGAGAGCTGTTTACCGTGGAAAATTTCCATTACTGCCATCCGGTAGGTATTATTTATTACTATGCAATACTGTAAAGTTTATGATCTGTCAGTTTAACTTTTTCAGTTTGACGCTGTATGATTGAACTGCAAACCTGAAAATAACCTAAACAAAAATAACTACCCAAGAACACAAACAATAATGTGGATTAAAACGTAAATATACAAATTTTAATGATGTATTTTGACTACAAAATCTAAGTTAAAAAATAATAATTGTGGAGATGAACTTGGGGAGAGGGTAAAGTGTGGACTATTTAATAACATTTTTCTCTCCTAAAAAGGAATAATTAAATCCAGTGTCTACGACAACTTCTCGAAACGCGTAGTGAAACCAAAACAAAATTCAAATAAAGTCACAACTACCTTAATACACTGACATTTGATACGTGGAAACTGCAACCAAAAATTTTGAAGCTAACCCTGTAGACTTTTATAACTATAATAAATTGTTATGTGTATTTAAAACTGAAACTATTCGAGTAGTTCACATTTGGGAATATCCAAGTATAACTACCAAACTCACTATTTTTGGGTCCTAATAAAATTACATGATCACTTGGGTTCTATTAGACAAACAATGCTTTAACAGCTCAGGCAAACGAAATCCTCATTAAAGTGATGACAGCATAAGCGTGCCGTTTTGAAATTTACAAGGGTATAATTTATGGCTTTAAATGCTGAGGGGTTGGAAATCTTTAACTTTAAAGTTGTAAAATTTCACAAAGACCCAAAAGTAATTGGTTTACTCAAACCTCATTTGACATACACCTGTTAAAACTTTTGACTTAAGCGGCTAAAGCCAAAGCCCCTTTATAAGTCAAACTGCCTATTGTAAGCTTTGCGGACCCGAACCGCAAGATTATTATTATGTTCATTGTTGGCATAATGTAGCTGTGAACTGAGTTAAGTAAAACAATAGCCAGTTTGACTTATAAGGATGGTTTGGCTTAAGCCGCTTAAGTCATAAAAGTTTTAACAGGTGTATCTCTAATGAGGTTACTTTAATATACAAATGTGCAATATTTGCTCATGTTTATTAGTTATTGAAGGAAATTAGACACACATTACTAACTGAATAGTGAACAAAATTAATGACCTGACGTCATTAACTTAAAATAATTTAAAAGAAAATATTTATGAACTTTCCCGGCAGGAAGAAATAATACAGTCCTCCCAATTTAAAGTGGTTTTTATGACAAGATAATAAACATTATCACCTCATTATTACCCCATGACAGTCTCCTGCATAAAGACACTAGTTGTAACAAATATCACTTCCGTAAAGGTATCGCAAATAGTGACAATCCTTCTACAACTTATTTAATGCCAAGAATTGCGACACCACTATTTTAAAGAAATCGGGATTTGGTTTCGTTTTTTTTTTATTTTTTCATTGTGGTGCATTTTTTTGAAGTGTAACGCGTTTGTTACCCGACTTGTAAACTGGAAATTGACTCAAATTTAGACTAAAACGACTAAAACAAGAATCCAAATCTATGCATGACATGAACCCAACTTCAGTCACATAAAGTCGACGTAAAATTCTAATGATTCATATAGAGGTATGTAAGTTTTGACTCCAAACAGAAAAGCAAAGAACAAACAAATACAGTCGTTTTGGTTATTTATTCATCCATACTGTCGAAATAAAGTTGTAAATTAAAATAAAACTCAGATATCAATGAATTCAGAAAAAGAGTCTGCTACAATCTCTAAAAAATATATAGGGTGTCGTTACAAAAACGTTAAACATTAATTTTTGAGATAGGATGGTAAATATTTATTATAAGTACATATAAACGATTTAATTTGACGTACACACAATTGTGTATTCGAAATTCCTTCAAAAATAAAACACAAGGGGCTCCAAAGATGCTCTCACATCTTTAAAAAAAATGATCCAAGGTTTTTTCGACAGAACTTCCCTCGCCCTTGAAGTACAATCCAACAAATTCCTCTTCTTTGAAAAAGTATAGAAAATTTGTGTTTTCTGATAACCTTTATACCTATAGTAAGTGGTGTAAATGACACCTCTGAGAAAAACGCTTGGAAAAATAGCCTTTTTTCCATAGCCGTACATTAGTACGGTAGATTTGTCGAGGTGTTGAGTATTCCTGTGTTTTCCCAGTTTTAGGATGTTTTTCGTCTGATTTAATTGCGAATTCCAGGCTCCTCTAGTGCATGATAGAGCTTCAGACCTCCTTGAGGGGTGGTGAGTTTGTCTGATCAACCTGAAGGGATTGATTTTTTATATATTTGCATGGATTGATTATAATTTTATCGATCGGTATATTCGAACTTCTTGTGAATTTTTTTTGCTCGGTTACTTTATTTAAGGTCGTCGCTCGAGTCGGTTCTAAGTCATCGCCTCCTAGTGGAGGTGGTGTTGTTACGGAAGGCTTGTTGATTCATTTACCTTCCTATTTATTTGGTTATAATCAAAATGACGATCAAGTGCACGAATTGTCAGCGTGGTATTAGAAGTGGTGATAATTACATTTCATATAGACAATGTTTATAATAACAGTTTTCACTTATCGTGTGTAAGTCTCACGGTTGAGACCCTCCATTTAATGAAGGAGGAAGGGATTCTTGTACGCTAGGCTTGCAAGTCCTGTAAGGAGAAAATGTCTTATACCATTGCTCCAGAAACTTTTAATCTGCCTGCTGACTAGCTTACGAATATTGTACAGTCAGTTGTTTGTCGGCAATTACAGCCTTTGGTTAACCAAATTGAATCTGTGCGCGTGGAAATTCAGAATCTCTGTATCTAAAATACACAACTTCGGTCTCAGCTTATTAAGGCCAACAATGATTCTCAATGTCGTACTGTTATTAATGAGAATACCCTTTTGTCAGGCGATATTATCACTAAAATATCCTACGCTGAATCAGTTGTAAAAAATCTCGGCAAGCTGTAATAATCAAACCTAAAGGTAAGAGCCAAACTGTGAATAAAACGAAATCTGACATTATGACCAACATAGACCCAATTGAGACTTCTCTTAATATCTGCAAGGTCAAGAATCTGAAGGAAGGTAGTGTTTTAGTGGGCTGCTAAGATATCAAAAAATTTAAATTACTTGTTAAGAATAAGTTGTCTTCTACATATGATATACATGAGGTCAAATCACTACGTCCTAAATTAAGAATTGCGGGTATTTTTGATTTAATTGATGAGGACAGTTTTCTAACTTACTTGGTCAAACAAAACGATTTTATATTTATTAAAGAATGTGATTATAATGTAATAAAATTTTATCCTGTGAAAAATTTGTGGCATTAATGCTTCGAGATGTTACAAATGTAATGGTTATAATCACTCATCGAAATTATGTAAAAACTATATTTCCTGTCCACGCTGTGCAGAAAGGCACCAATTAAAGGAGTGCAAAGCTGTGAATTTCAACTGTATTAACTGTTCAAATCTAAAATCTAGTGGCAAATTGGAAAATATTAGTGTAGATCACGCAGCTTGGGACTATAACAATTGCCGTGCCTACCTTCTCACCAAATCGTCTCATGGTCAACAAAATTAAACATGACTTGTTTGGCATAGCAGTATAGAAATCAACTTCACCAGCTAATGACATAATTATGTCCACCAATGGCAAATAATAAACTTATTAACTTTCTTAATGCTGCTCCAACACCTAATAATAATTCCGGCTCTGCAGGTGGACTTTCAAAATTATTTATCTATTATCAGAATGTCCGTGGTGTCAACTCTAAGTTAATTGAGCTGTATAATTCCTTAATTTCGTGTGGCTTCTCTGAAACATGGCTCAATGACTCGGTCGTTAACACTGAGTTTTGCCCTGATAGCTTTGAGGTTTTTAGATCTGATAGGAAATTTGAGCAATTAACTACAACAAGGGGTGATGATGTTGTAATTGCTGTTAGGAATGAGCTGTCAGCACTTAAACTTGATCTGTCCTCCAGAGGTTTTGATATGCTGAAAACGATTGATATTGTAGGAGTGAAATGTTGGGTCAACCATTCTTGTTTCTTTATATTTTTTATTTATGTCCAACCGAAAACTTTAGTCCATGATTATGCTCTACTGTTTAATCTATTAACTGACTTAAATGAACTGAATGATCAACATGTCCTAATAACAGGAGATTTTAACATTCCCGAATATGATGGTGAATTGGATTATCTTGCTATCGGCAACAACAAATTGTTTGAATTAAATACCATCCTCAAATTTTTTAACTTTGTCCAATTCAACAAGGTGGCTAATAACAATGGCAGATTCTTAGATTTAGTTATGTCTACCCAGCAATCTGTGGTAGAAAAATCTGAAGATTATCTTTTATCTGAAAACTTAAATCATCCCTCCCTCATAATTACTTTAAAATATCAGTCGCCTAAAACAAAAGTCATAGGGACTTTCAGAAATTTGTTGATGAGTCCTTTAATACGTCTTTCCATATCTCCGCTGTTAGTGAGTCGGAAGTACTTGATCCCTTAATGAAAATCAAATCGAACTTAACTTCTGGACATGACAACATTCCTGGCTTCTTACTATCAGACTGTGTCCACATTTTTACCTATCCTCTAACAATTATATTTAATTTAATATTAAACAAACGATCTTTTCGCGATGTGTGGAAACTCTCAATTATCGCACCTATTTTCAAAAAAGATAGAAGAGACCGAATTGATAATTATCGACCCATCTCACTACTATACAATTTCTCAAAGGTTTTTGAATACATCTTACATAAAATTCTCGCATTTAATCTACATATCGGAATCACATCACGGATTTTTAAGTAGTCGTTCGAAGATTACAAATTTATGTTGTTTCACTCAGTATGTTTCGAATAGTTTCGACAATAAGGAACAAGTTGACGTAATCTTCACAGACTTTTCCAAAGCATTTGACAGGCTTAACCATGATGATGATGATGATGATGATGATGATGAACCTCCATAATTACGGTTTATCTCGTCACTTAGTAAAATTAGATCAATCGTATTTGTCACCTAGATTTCAGTGCGTTAAATACCATGGATTTGAATCTGGTAAATTCCCCGTTTATTCGGGTGTTTCCCAAGGCTCAGTCTTAGGTCCGTTTTTCTTCGTAATCTTTATTGATGATATTATTAAGAACTTAAATTCTGAGGTATTGATATATGCTGCTGACCTGAAGATTTTCAAACGCGTTTCTAATATAAGTGACTGTGGTGAGTTACAAAAGGACATTGACAGCTTCCTCACTTGGAGTACATCTAACTACTTGCCAGTAAACTTTGACAAATGTAGTAACATATCAATGACGAACAAAAATCATAGAATAATGTACAATTACACAATTACCTCCTCGCCGTTGTCAAGAGTTGAGCCCTTTTGCGATCTAGGGATTACTTTTGACTACAAATTAACATTCGCTGATCATATTGGTAACCTAGCTTCGGAAACTTATAAGTGTCTTGGTTTTATTATTCGATGGAGTGGTTGTTTCAAGAACCCACTCTTTAGCTCTCGAAAAAATCCAGAGACGTTTTCTAAAATTTTTGGCATTCAAGGTTGATGGTAAGTAACCTGTGAGAGGGACACCTCATTCTGATCTTCTACAAAGTTTTAATTTTATTGACTTGAAAGCGAAACATGATAAAGTCACTTTTCTTTCTTAAGAAAATCATTCGGATTAATATTGACTGTGCATCGATTCTGGCTCAACTTTGGTTTGGTGTACCTAGACCTTCTGCTAGGTCCCAACATCTTTTTTATTTACCAACTCCACGTATTGATGTTCTTAAATACTCACCCATTTACGCAATGTGTTCGGAGTATCACAAACAGCAAAACGCTTTTGATTTACTCAGATAAGATTCATCTTCAGTTTTCCAATCCCTTTAGGGGGTAGCAGTAGTTATAGCTGCTGATTAGTTGGACAACTGTTTAAATTGTTCTTTTTCTTGTATGTTTCCATTCTGTTGATCTATAAATGCGCTAAACGACTGTTGATCAACTAATCAATAATAATAATAATTAGTTATACCTACTGCAAATAGCAAAATAGTAATTTTCAATATTTAAAAAATTATCCGGAAATTTGTGTCATAATTATCCAAACTAATTTTTTTATCTCACTCCACTTATATAAAATGTATCAAAACTTACATCCACTTACATCTAAAGATGTGTGTCTTGGATATGTGATATATTAGTGCTGATAAAAGCCGGGCACAGAGACCGAATCCTGGCTGATTTAGAAATTTTATTTACACCGTTGCCATGGAAACTACACGTCCTAGCCGCCTCATTCAACGGGACTGCGGTCCCATTCTGACAGTGCTCAGCAGGAGTAACTCAATCGCCGGTTTTAATTTTCATGCTGCGCGAGATAGACGTAACACAGGTAGAGACAAATAAACGCAGAATTAAATTTAATTTAACAAAATAACAGAAACAGACCAAGTACGATATTTTCTTAAAAAAAAAAAACAATAAAGGAGGCTATTGTTGTAAACAGTGTTTTTCATCATTTGATTATAAGTTCGGTAATTAATAAGCGTTTTCAAGCGAAAACAATTCCATTAACTCTCTCAAATTGTCGATCTGTTTCTGTTATTTTGTTAAATTAAATTTAATTCTGCGTTTATTTGTCTTCTTTTTTTTGCTAATTTATACATTGATGAGGTCATCAACTTTCCAGTGAGGACAAATTTCATGAATCTACAAACGCCAGAATGTGAAAAACTAACCCAAACGTCTCCTTTTGATCGAAGTCGAAATATAATTTAGAGCTCATAAAATAGACCAAAATATATGATTTCTAGCTAAAATTTGATGCTTTCCTTGTTGTTTTCGAGCCCGTTGGGTGTCTGATCTGCTTAAAACCACAAGAAAACGCTTTAAATGTAAATATCAATTTGCAGTGTGATACTAACAACAAGAGAATCACGTTTCCAGAATTTCAAGTAAGTAAGATAAAAAATTTTTATTTAGTCAATATGGCAAAACGTTCATTCATTTTTTTTAAAGAAATTTCCGGAAAATAGGTTTGAAAAAAAGCTTAATTTCCTAAACAGTACACACGAGATTAGATTGAGTTCGTAAAATTTTGACGTGACGTAATGTATTGAATTCTTGGTAGAGGTTACGAAACAAATTTTGATTTTATCATCTACCTAAGTCTACATGAGATTACTTTCGTTTAAGATTTCACCAGAATTTGCCCAGCAGTTTCAAAGATTATCTAATAATAATAATAATAATAATAGATGACAGACAGACGGAAGTGGGAGACTTCATTTTCTGGGAGCTATGAAGCCCCCAGAAAATACGAACATAAAATAAAATAGAACATACATCGCATTAAATTGTAAAATATAACTTATATCTACATATCTGATAAATTTTAGTACCTTCTATTTTCAACTAGACGTCCGTAACTTTTCCATAAAATATGGCAGTACTCATTCCAATCTCTTAGTTATAATGCCTTAAAATAATTAGAGATAATAATTACAGAATGTAAAGATACTGATTTAAAATCGGCGACAATTTATTTCTTACTAACTCAAATTTACACTACAACTCCACAGCGATTATGTACAAAATAATTTCGGCTCAACTTGATTGGACTTTGCCTTGATTGAACTAGCTGAATAATAATCGTTCCCGAAGGTTGTCTCTATTTAGAGCCATACTTCCCTTCTAGAAATTCCGCAGTCGAGGTCCTTCTGGAATACCCATCGCGACTTCCGCTTCCAGGTTTTTCTTTAGCGAACGCCGTCCGGCCGCCATCACCGACGATGAGTCATCATCGCCGTGCATACTAGAACCCATAGGTATCGTACCGGGGCGGCGTATGGGCTTACTCCGTAACAATAGTTTGTAAAATATGCTAACAAATTCTTATATACAAAGTGTCTATAAAATAAGCCATTCATACATCGCAATAGCTCTACAAAATAGAGATAGGTTGTGATTACAGTAATATGGGGTCCACTATCAACATTTTCTGTGACTTATTTAAATTTTAATTGTAAAAATCAAAAAGGTAGATTTTCTTACATGCCGCAAACTTCTTTGATCTAAAAATTTTTTTTTTTTTTTCAACGAGTGTCAAATACTGGTCTTCATTATCTTAATGAGGCCATTATTAAGCGATCATTTTACCATCATAAAATTATGTTTACATAGCTACTTATTTATGCCCATTACCACATTTAATGAAGAAATAAACAGACAACTTAAGGATAGGTTTTTCTTTTAATTTAGAATCATTCTAAAGGCAGTAATTAAGTAATTACACATACATAAACTTCACTTAAGTCATGATCGTCTTATATGTTATGTGGTGTTAAGCTAAGTAATACTGCGGTCACGTGCTAGACGGTTCCTATTAACAACTCCATTGAAACGTATATTTAAGGTTTTCACTCTTTTTTTTTTTATAGTAGGGTGCATAATTGAAAACGAAAATTAAACTCATATTTTTCTTATTAAAACCGAAATATTTTAATAAGAAATATAAACGTACACTTCATTGTTTACATTGAAATATATTTGTCATTAAATATATCTATCTTGCATAGTCAGTTTGAGATCTGTATCTTAATAAAATAAATACAAGCACGCATTTGTAGTACATACATGTCAGGTAGATAAACATTCAAAAAGCTAAATCTATAAACAATTTTTAAAAATTAAATAATACTGAGATGTCTTGAAAGTTGAGATCACATTAATCTTGAGGATAACAGGTCATTGTTGGCATGTAACATCCGTGGCATCTGTTGTCTTTGCTTGAGCACCATAATCCTTCTCCACAGGTTCCCAAAATATCAAATTTGTCTCCGCATTTTTCTCCAGGTCCCTGAACAATAAATAAATAAATAAATAAATATATTGTCTCCGTCAAAGACATAATGATGATTTACCTTCGAACAGACTCTTCTTTTACAGGCGTTTCTATTTTCCCCATAGACACACAACTGTGGAGGGTCGTCATTGCATTCTTCTACAGATGCGCATAGCTTGCAAGGCAGGTGATAGAGAGCGGTTCCTCTGTTAAAAACAGCCAATGTATTTAAATAATTAATTTTCTTTCATATTTTTTAATTACCTGTCACTACAAATAATAACTGAAATGGTGAGGGCTAAAACTACGGTGATGAAATTGTGGAAGGAAAGCATAGTCTTTGCTGCAGCCGTTGCTGTAGCTTCTGGAATGGTATAGAAGTTCTGTTCTGAAAAATAAAAAAAAAAATCAAATTTGGCCTACATGTGCTAATAACGCTTAACTACAAAAAGTTCAAATAGAATATTAGAACATTCTCACAAATTATTCCAAAGCATAGTTAATATTCGTAGCTAATACTTATTTATAAATCCGTATCAGCACTAATAATAAAACAAACATCAAATTTTAAGTTGAAGATGTTGTTTAAAGTTTATTTATGTATAATTAAGTAAATGGTTTACAAGAAGTTCTTAGAGGAAATCCCCGTTCTTTTGAATTATTGATAAATACTTTAAAAAATTACCTTGCTTTTGTTTTTGTCACTATGATAAAGTTGTATATGAAGAATATCCAAACGCACACACTTACGAAAAACAATTAAATTTATGCAACACATCTAAACAGTAACGTTAAGAAAACCAAATAAATTACGGGGTACACACAACTTTCGTTAACACTGATTTCTTTTTCGAGTGTAGAAAATTCTAGTTCTATGTTGACGATGGGCCGAAGGATGGCCGGACACTGAACATCTGTCTCATGTTGGCTTTCCCATCAAGACTTACTTATCTTAAGTCACCATAATGAGCGACAGTGATATTTACAATTTTTATTTATAATCTAATTGTTTCTAATTATAGAATTTGAATTGACTGACTGTCAATATTATTTACATCTGTTTCCGAACAACTTGTTTTTTGTCTTAATACCTATAGATTCTTATTTCTTATCACATGTTTTTCCGTAATGATAGCATTAAAAACAAACGTGATTCAAACGATACGAATAAATAAAACTAAAGCTACAAACAAATTCTAATTATTTAATAATCAGTTTATGGTGACAACACGCTAATAATTAACTAAAGAACCAAATTTTATTTTGTGATAGTAAAGATGTTATGTAAAAAGTCGTAATTGAAGATAAATCGAAAACACTTTGCTTTTATTTTAAACCACTCCGATTAAAATAAAGTTGCAACAATGAATTAATGAATTAACGATTAGTGGTTGGGATTTTTTAAAACATGCTTCTACTTATCAATGTTTAATGCAGATCTCTCGCAGATTTGTAAATATATTAAATACTATTGATTTGTTGTTTAAATTACAAATACAACTGTAGTAATTAACATCATTACCCTTTCTAAAATGATAAGCAATTTTTGTGTTTTTGAACCGTGAAAAAATAACTTCAAAAATATTTAACCGGAATGTGAAGTCAATGAAATAGTGCACATAATTACGAACAAGACGATAAAAAAATTGGGTCTTTGCCAGTGCTAAATTTGAAAATTGTAGCAAACGAACGTTTTAATTGAGACCCCCCACAAATTTGATTTTTTCGTACGACTAATGAAGTGCTCAATATTGACAAATAAATTTTACATCGCACGTCTACTTGTAAACTGTGTAGGCAATTAATAGACATGAAAAATTGGAACAAATATTGAAAACAATAACTAATAACAATAACCCCGAAAAACAGGACACAGTGCACCCTTATTATAATCTAAATTAACCAAAAAAATATATTCAGTTTTGTGACCCCACAAAAACACTAAACCAAGGTCGTTCTGATATGAATGTCGAAGTTCATAAGTCAGATAAACAACACTTACCGAGAATTATCAAAATTTTTCTAAAATAATTAGTTTACTGTTTAGAAATTATATAACGGCGTTATCTTCAATTTAGGTCAAAATATTTGTTAGGCACCACCCTCAAATATTCCATTTAATTCACGAGAACTTGTGTTTCCTATAATTCCTACGAAAACACTCAATATTTCTCCAAATAACCACGAGAATTCTTGTTACAGCACATAAATAGTCAATATTATTGAACATTGTCGTATTTAGAACACACTACTGTAGTAAACATAAGATCATAATATCTTGTTTATCCTCCGTACAGTAAACAGTACAAAAGTCCAAAAAGTGCATAAATGAGAAAAAATCCTAGATAATTCCTATGTAGTCTGTTGCTTGTGGGAAAGCATGGAAACCGAGCTAAGTTGTGTCACCCAGTTAAAATTAGCACTTAAATTCATTGATAAAATTTTAATTTCGCCTTCGTATTGTATGCCAAAAATCACGCAGAAAACACGAAAAACCGCTAGCAGCGAAACTTCTGGTCAATAGCCACTCCGACGTGGCTATGTTTAGGTCAAAGTAAAATAAAAGGACGTCACGAACTGAGGAGGTGGATTGCAGAAATAATCCTTAGTAACATAAATGTATCATGCGACATCTCGTTATACCCAAACAACCATTTCTCAGAACTTTTAGCCGTAAATCTATAAATTCTCAGCCGATGTGCTAAATACTTTTTACAAATTTGTAATGAAATACTGGAGCATAGTTGTTGTGGACAACGCCGAGAAATCACGATCATTCAGCGCGACAAATACGGAAAGAGAAATTGGTTCAGCTATTTAGGCGTCTGATTTTCTTGGATAATGCACTATATCTTTGTGGTGAGAATGTTTCTTTTCAGAAAAGATTCAGACATCTGCTGGCTTATTTATCTGTATGTAACTTTTACTTTATCCACCTATTTTAGCATAAGAAATCCGGCATGAGGAATATTATACAAATAGAAGTGAAAACATTACTTACATAAAATTATTGTTCTGAGTTTTGTTTTAGAATACGGTTTAGGAAAAAACAATTCCAAATTTTTAGAATTATTCGATCTATATTTTTTTCCAAATCTGGTAGAGGTTGTTAACAAAAAATGCCAATGCAATACAAGAAAGTACAACTTAACTTAAAGGATATTCTAAATTTTAATCGTGTGCGTAAACATTAAGATAAAATACTGTAATTTCAGGGACTACCTCGTTAATAACTTTTGTCTTTTTAAACAATTAATTTTAATTAGGATACCTGATCTAAAGATGGTGTGTTATTTTTATTTTTCTGATTTTTTAAACATACTACGTCTAGAATTCATTCAATTTTCCACTTGAAATCTGGCCAACAATACAGAAATTCTTTCGATTCCTATTTATGTGCATTCGAATCTAAATTTCGTACATCAAAGCGTCGCAAGCACTAAATTTTGCTTTGTTCTGTATACATGAGATTCACGTCTATTTATCTCTGCCAGTTTAATTCCAAAACCTTCAGTAACCCATGGAAAAAATAACCATTGTGCGGCTGATTTCAAATTAAAAGAAGAATAGTCCCACCGCTATACTTTATTTACTAAAATAGAAATTACCACAAATAGATAATATAATTTGTTGTTTGTGGTAAAATCCTTTAACACTGACCTGCGTGGTTCATGGAAACAATAAAGAAAAATTTTGAAAACGCAAAATGAATAAAAACAACCTTAGTCGTTTAGTGAAAATATGTTTACGTGTCTAAGCTTCAAAAATAATCCCCCGCATACGAACATGAGCTACACCACAACATTATAATAAAGACAGGTCGAGTTTGTGCCAAAAGGCACGGCGTCCTGACGCACAAGCGTAAAAGTGGGACATAAAAAAATTCACACAGGGTGGGGGCCGATCCAGAAACAAAAACATGAACAAACGTCGACGATCCCAATAAACAAATTTGCCAGTTAACACAAAGAACAGTCAGAGAGCTACAACGTAGCAACGCGTTTGGTCTATTTCAAGTTTGGATACGTAAATATAGTCAAGTCAGGCAGTCGTGTTCTAGAAGTTTTCTCAACTAGTTTCCGGCTTTATCAGACAAGGTAGAAAAACCAAGACTTTTTTTTTAATTTGGAAAAATGGGGATGATAATAAGAGTCCGTGGACGATTAAGGAGTTTCCACACAATACAGAAACTCAATCCTGAAGTGCGCGATGAGAAGATAGCCGAAACAGGTAAAAATGTTTTTAAAAAGTAACAACCGAAAGTAAATTTGGATTCTCAATTTTAGTGTGTTTGTTGTCTGTCCTGTTTCTTTTGCCTTACTGCTCTAGAGGGCATTCGCCCCTTTTGGTCAGCTTAGGGGGGTGGTGTGTTGCCACATATTCATGCCTTGTTCTCCCAGTACTAATTTCTGCAAACTACAAATATCCCGTAAGATGGCTGCGAAAGCTATTTTCCAAAATACCAGGTAAGCTATGAAGATGTACGTTTTAATTTGTTATGACTATTTTTTTAAAAGTTTGGAAACAATCAGAAACATAACATCTTCCGCGTCTGATAAAACTACGATTAAAATTCTATTATTATAAACGAAAATACATATTTTTCTTCGAGATAAAGACTTTATCAGTCGTAAAAAAACTTGCTTTTGGTCATAAACAGAAAGTCTAAAATAGCTGCTGAATGTAAATAAGTCATGTTCTCGTATTTTTAAACACGTAAATACGACGTAATGTTTACAGTCGCTAAAATTCGGTATTTTTCGAATAGTGTATACGATTTTTTGCAATTTGGCCTATGTCCAAAAATATTGTTAGAGCACAGGCAGATAGATCTAAATGAATTTCAATGGATGGACTTACCCTGTAATTCGGAAGACGTGCTGCTTGAAGGGACTGGGATCGTTGTGTGGTGGTTTGATGAAAATTTTCATTTTTATACTACTTTCTCGCCCTCGTTGCATCCTTAACGTGTTAGGTCTCATGTTAATTTGAAGGATTGACAGCAACGCAGTGGTGTCGGTAAAACCAATAAGTATTAAAATAATATTAATACAAAACTGAAACAATTAATAATTATAATTGCTATAAATCATTTTCTGATATCTTTATGTGGACTATTGTGTGAATAATAATTGTTATTACGAGTTCAATAGCAATAAATGATTTGTTTTGATTTCGAACGTTGCAACGTAATGTTTTATCTTTCGTCTGTAAGTCTAGCAGACAAAATCTTAGGTTAGCAAGTTCGTGACCTCCTCATGAACCATTAAATTAAATCTTTTTATTATTTCATGTTTTATAAACTCAAATATTTAGATTGTATTTCGAAAAATTAACGACGCCACTGTTCTCTTGTCACTTTGTGTTACGAGCTAACTTGAGATGATGGAACAAATTAAAACTTATAGACGTAATGATTTGCAAATTAGGTACTGGCCTGATTGGGGTTTTAAATTAAGAAGAAACTATAGACGATGGCAGGAAACAAATTAGAAAAGTGTCAACACAAACTCATATGCTATTTATAAGATAATTTCCAGTGTTGCCATCAACATCTTTACACGTTTTATCATTTTTGATTCACAGGAAACACCCCATCGTTTTATAATTTCTATTTTACTAATTAAATGGGTCTGGAAAGTTTTAGTTACAACAATTATTATTTCAGAGAACCACAATAAACTGTAAAAATTAAAAATTACGGCTTAATCAAATGATTTTTCTGTTCTATTGTTTAAAAAAATTACAACTAATTGTAGTGCAAATTTAAATGTTAAAAATATACTTACCTTTTCATTGTCATTTTTGAGTGGTGAATAGGATTTACCAAATGTTATACGGTGTTATATACAATAAGCAAACGTCCAAAATTTGTTTCTTCTGACAAATGTCTCGACGTTTTACTCTAAAATTTTATTGAGTCTTTCATCAGTTTCCTTCAGTTTGGTAAATGTAATCACGGAAATGGCGGTTCAATATCCAATACCCTTAACAAACGCGGTATGTCAAAACTACTTACCTAAAAATACGAGAATTTTTTTAATACATATTATTGTGAATTATATTTTAGAGAAAAAAACATGAATAATTTATAACAAAACCCAGTTAAATAATTGTTTTTAGAAAATAAATACATAAGTTGCAAGAATTTTGCGTTTTGTTTATTATTATTAGCATTGTTTTCTAAAATATATTTTATTCTTACGTAATTAATGACCTTGCACACATTTGTTTAATGTTCCACCTAGGTCAATTTAATAATTAGTTAATTCATCAACTGAAAAATTTTTTAATCTTTGATATAATGGCTATTCCCAGATCTTTTTTTAAATGTGTACTATGAAAAGCTCGCAGTCAACGTGTTTCAAAAATAACTTCCATTCTGAAATTGCAACAATCGTGAAAATATAAAAAAAACCGTGTTTACTGAAAACTTTTTACTGACCTTTGTTGACCTTGAGGATCCAAATTATGTGGGCAAAGTACAAATAAAATCAGTTGTTCTTATAACAGAAAATTTATTGGAAATAGGTAAATGATCTGGTTCTGCGTATCAGTGTATCGATATTGAACATACATACGTAAATATCGGTATATTATATAGTTCAATGTATCAAGTACGTTGGCACTATAATGTATCAAAATTGAACTCTCAAAATTGTAATCCGAAGCAACCGACTTTACAGGATGATATTTAGAACGTTATTACATTCTTTTACCACAATAAATCTCGCAAATATAATTAGACCTTATATAGTTCTTACTTGTTACAAAACTATGTATTTTTAACTCATTTATATATATTTTCTTTTTGAAAAATTTAGTCAAGTTCGAAATCACTTCACTACCTAAATTTTTGACAATACACAAAGAAACACTAACAAACGTTTAAGATTCGTGAAATTTTGAACATCCTATCCCTAGGTTGTGCGACTATTAAATTATTTTCAGTATATCGAATGAATATACAACTGCCAATGGACTACTCAGAATTCATTAAAAGCAAACAGTTTGGAGCCAGAGTATACTAGAGAAAGATTTCTGTATTTCTGACATGGTTTGATTACCGTGCACTCCAAAAGTTCAAGAGATCGCCAGTGTACTTATTTACGATGATCTATAAATGAAATAGTTCTTAAATGTTACACCAGGGTTACACATGTACTTACCTAAATGTTATCAAATGTTGAATAAGCTTATTTCTATTCTTGTTTTTGGCGTTTTTGCATTTTTGGGGTCACACAAATGTAATCAATTTCCTATAATTAAGCCACTAATTCAATTTAGTGGCAAACAGGTTTTTAATGTTGCTTTTGCTTTTATTTTAGACATTGTTTTATCTTTCTTGCGAAATGACAGTTTTCATTGTTAGATATTTCACTTTTTTTTTAGAAAACATGAACTGTGTTTACACAGAGGAAAAGTTTAATATTTTATTTATATTTCTTTTTCTCTAAATGAGGTGATCAGAATGAACTTGTTATCTGTCATAATTAAATAAATTAATCTTAAAATACCATTACTTTGTAAGTCAGTTTAATGTGTATTGATTTGTTATGGGTTGCATAAAATGATGTCGTTACTCCAATTTACGTAATTACGTTGGTTGTTAATTGGTTTGATATTACTACAGAAGTTTTACAATAATTAGTGTGAGAATATTTCAGTTTAACATTTTAAATTTTTATATTAATCAAAAATTATCATTTCCAGAACATGGTAATTTCATCGTTCATCTTTTTTTTGTGTTACCTTTATAACAAAAAAAAAAAAAAAAACACAATTGGTTACCACGAAGTTAACATTTTAATCGATCATCTTCATTAAAATTATCTTATGACTTTGTTGCTAAGTTAAAGTTCTATGACTTTCTAAGTATAACAAGTATAACTAATTATAAATACAATATTATCAAATTTATTTACTTATAATTCAATAAATATGATAGATGTAATAAATAACATATTTGAACCTATATTTTCCTTGTTTTGTTTGTTTTTTTGACACAGACGCGACTAAATTAACTTTAGATAATAATTATTAAAATTTGTTATTCAGTGATTTTTTATCAAAAAAATTATTAGTCTCCTGTCTGCACTTGCTTGTTAGATAAAATTCTTAAATACAATGTCGCTCTTGCATCATACAGTTTATTTTTACTTTGCGTTAATGAGTTGGATTATATAATTGTGTATACCACAAGCTAGCTGTTTATCATTAGCTTTAAAATGTGCAGTGGAGGTAATCCGTTTTATGTACAGAGTGCCAAACAACTGCGCAAAGATTATTGAATTATGAGAGATTTAAATTCGTCCAAGAAATATTTTTATTCTGAACTATTTATTTACAAATTCGTAGAAATCGTTTTAACACAGATTTTAAAGCGAACACCATTAAATTGTAAAGTTCGTAATTACATTAAAATTCCAATTGAAAAGAATAATACTCAGCAGACTAAAATAGACACAACTGTCAACTTTAGTTATAGTGCTAACACTTGGAACTCCTAAAAAATGTCTCCTTCGGTATATTTTTATAAAGATTATAAAGTTATCTACAACTTTAGGTACAATTTTTTTAACTATGTATTCCTAAAATAATGTTGAATATTTTCCAGCTCTACTTAGCGAATGGTCGGGTCCTGTTATGACTTTCCTTGGTAGAGTCTATTCACCTTTGGATAAATGCGAAAAAATATTTATGAAAATGACAAACTTATCGAATTTGGCAACACAAGTGAGTATTGAATCATAAATTTTGCAAAACAGCTAAAAACCGTTTTGTTATTTTAGTTAGTATTTTTCATGATGTGTGACCGAGTGCTGCTGTGTTCCTTTGGAGGTGGTAACTGCCCTCAGAAAAAAGTAACAGGACTGTATTCACTCATGTTCTACAATGTTATCGCCTATTGTGTTTCATATATCAAAGAATTAATAGAAAAAGAGGACTGGTCTGTAACCGTCAATATGACCCATCACAGCAATATCAAACATGTAGCAATGTCAGCAACGAAAATTGTTCTCGAATGGACTAAAGCCATAACCTTCATAATCACTGTCACCTTTATGCTGCTTGTTTTTGGCTTGGAACAAGGCCTAGAACATTATCAACCAACTGCTCTATATACATTTATAACCTGGAGCTATTACATGTGTACTGAAAAAGTTTTTATTGAACTGTTTCCACCACTTCTGGTGTTTCTTAAACTCAAGTATTTAGAAGCTTTAGAAGCTCTTTATGCTCCTGTAGTATTAAGATGCTACACTGTTAGTGTTGCAGCAGTTCTGGTAATATTTTTGTGTTTTTATGGTCAAGTTAGGTTTACTTGTATTGCGTGTTATTTAACTGTTTATTTACGAATTAAAGATATGGTTGCAAACTGTCTAAAAGCTTTAAGAAACGAACAAGCAATATTAGGACAGTTCAGACATGCGACTGCTGACGAAATTGAAAACTGTGATGACGTATGTGCTGTATGTTTAAGTCCAATGGAGAGAGCAAGAGTTACACCTTGCCATCACTTATTTCATGCTACTTGTCTCAGACAATGTTTGAGGGCTTCAGATAATTGTCCAATGTGTAAAAGAGAATACACTTTTGTACGTTAAATATTTGTAATTTATTATTTTTATTATTTGTTAACTCAAAAAGAAAATATTCTTATAGCTATTTTTTGTACGTAATTAGAAAAGATAATTTAGATTAGTTTTGCTACATTTATATTGTACTTATTTAGGTAATTTATATTTTATATGTGAATAAAATATTTTAACAATATAAATTTTACTCGAGGATATTATTTCTAAAAAATTTTCACTTATTTAAATTATCAGACTCTATGGTAACATTAAAATCGCGTGCACTTTTAATCATTATAAGATACATAAAATTTGACCATTTTATTCGTATAAAAATTGGTCTGAAGTTATTTAGACAGAACCTCCCTCGCCCCTAAAGTACAATTAAAAAATCTACGATAGTAGTTTCTTATATACATATATTATTGTAAAATATTATTTTGCAAATTATTTATAAACAATTTTAAAAATTATGAACACATTGAAAAGTCATAAATGTTGATTAAAAACATTTTGCGCATTTTAAATAGGATTTGCCCAGAAAAAAATTGAAATGATGTCATCAAGTTTTTGGAGGGGATAAACATAGAAATGATTCTAGTTTAATTCTTCCAAATCTTTTGCGTCCCTTGAACTTTAGTATTCCAACGAAAATACCTAATGGTTTTATTCGATTTCTTTACTTTTCAAATTAAACCGTTGCTGAAATTCATCATAAATGTGTTTATGTATTGTGATTCAGATGTTACAAACAATCAGAACGTCGCACGGGCACGACTATGTTCATCAATTTTTTTAACGTTTTTATGCAACAGATGACCTTCTGCTCTCAATTTTATCATTTCTTTGTCACATTTTGACTGTTCATAAAATCTTAACCACAAACAAAAACAAGTTGACTACGATATTAAATTTCTGCACAAACCTCGTATGTGATGGTGAGGATTTGGAATGGATATGGCAACACTCAGCACTCACAACACTGTTGTAACTCAAGTCTGGTGAACTCTGTCCTGTGATATGGTTTATCTGGCAAACAGCGCTGTCCGTTGTGAAGAAATTTCCTTAGGATTTTTATCTTTACTTTCGGAATGACCCTCGTATATATCTAAAAATTCAAGAACATATATAATGCATATTAGTTTAGTACTGGATATTTCGTTACAACTAACGTGTATTATCTCTCTTATCATATCCTAAAATGTAGAGTCGGACTATAACCACTACATGAAATACTGGAAAATTTTCAAGGCGGACAACCACAAAAATAAAAAATGTATTGTCATAAAAAATGCAATTAAAACAGAAAAGAAAAAACAAGAAAGGCATTCGAAGTCCCAAATGTGTCTAGTTAATTTATTCCAAGATATACACATACGTTTTTTAAATTTGGAAACCAAAAAATTAAATTACCGAGCCCCTAGTTCAGAAATGAGCAAATTTCTGCCATTGTACAGTTTCAAACTTTTAATACTTGAATTTCTTTATAAAAAGAGAATAAAAAAGAAACTAAGCGTAGCCTTATTACTATGCATTACTTTAAACATTTACGCTTAAAACTAACTTCGAAGTCTGACAAAGAAATTGTCATTTATGCAACTCACTGTGGCAAACTGACAAACACACTGTCAGTTATAAACATAAAATGTAGTCTAAAATATTTGTTTCCCTAATACTAAAATTCTATGGCATCTACAGACAACAATGATGAAAACGACGACCAGCACTTCATTCTAAGTAGTATTTGTAAAGCAGAAGACAAATTAATTTTTTTTTCTTTTGTAGGGTGCTTCCAGTTTATCTCTTATCCATTTGTGGTAGTAATAAATAGGCTAGTAAGTGATATACATTTTATGGAACAGTTTTACATAAAACTTTACAATATTTATGCTTTTGTGTCACAGGTAATTTGCTGCTTAATGTATTTTATGGAATACTTTAACATGTTTACGTTACAGATGTTTTTCTTCCTGTCATGTACACTGGCATTCAACGAGTATAACGCCAGTAAGAAAGAAGAGGAATTCATTTTAACTGGTTTAAAAACACTGCTATTTTACTCTGTTTTTACGTACTTTGCATCAAAGACCCGGGATATATTGTCACCAACACATCCATCACTATTCCACAACTGGAACTTGACGGAAGGACTTTGCAGAATAGTCATTGAATGGGCTAAAGCCATAATTGTTGTAATTTGTCTTCGCGAGCAAGGAATCTACTTTAAACCCAGTGTGCCTTACGCCATTTTCACCTTCAGTTACTACCTGTGTACTGAAAAGATATTTACTGAAATTTGTTTAAAATTATGTCAATATCTTGATTTTGATATTTTTGACGATTTGGAACACTTATACGTTCCACTGGTGTTGAATATGTATACAATGGCACTAAGTCTTATTATTAACTTATACTTACTTATAATCGCAGAATTTATGACGTTTACGTTTGTGTCCTGTTATTTTACAATATATATCCGCCTAAAAGACTCCTATTACAATTATTGGACAGTCGTTAAATTAGCGCGAAAAACATTTGAAAATTTTCGAACTGCGAGTCAAAAAGAACTGGAAGAGTTTGACGATGTTTGTGCAGTGTGCTTGAACAAGATGAGCAAAGCAAAAATAACTCCTTGCAACCACTTTTTTCACCCAAACTGTTTAAAAGAGTGCCTTAAAAGTTCATTATTGTGTCCTATCTGCAAAGTTAGCTTCTAAATAAAAACAACATATGAATTGTCATTTATTTTATTACTCAACTAATACAACAATTAAGGGATACAACAAGTTATACATTAAAGATTGTAAACCAACGAAAGGGCAAGTTTATCCTTATAACAATAAAATTGACAATTTGTTAATAGAAACTTTGTAAAGTGGTGGTTTAAAAAATATGACCGAGTGACTAGAAATACATTTTAGTGCCTAATAAAATCTATATTTTAAAGTTATGAAATGAGCTAATTATGATTGTTAATTTCGTAATAATTTTGAGCTATATCAACACTGAATTGATGGCAATCTAACAAATACAACCTTTCAGTTTTTATTTGGAAGTATCAGAGTTCAATTTTTTCAAATAAGACATTTTAAAAATAATTTAATATCAACAATTATTTGTCTTTCATTTTCAATACATCTTGTCTTTCACGATCTCCGAATCGATGCAAAAAAAATTCTAAAAAAATATTTATATTTAAAATAATTATAATAAATACTTATCACATATACAACAAGAAAACTTATAAATATTTACTGATCTTTCAACGAAACCACGTTCCATCCTAAAACTCTTCTATCAAAACCAGAAGTAAATAAACTGACGTTGCCGATGTTGTCATCCACCCACGCTGCGCTTGCTACCATTCTATTGTGTCCCTGTCTGCTAGAACGAGGTAATCTCGCTAATCTCTGCCCTGTCAAATCAAACAATCTAACATGTCTATTGTCATGCGGGATGGCAATAATTCCACTGGCGGAAACGCTCAGCCTATTTACAGCCGAGTCCACCCTGATTGTAGCTACGGGGTACCGCATATTTTTCAAATCCCAAACTTTCACACTCCGGTCGTCGGAACCGGAAATAACTTTATCCTCTCTGGTGAATACGGCCGATGTTACACTCCTGAAAGAAAAAAACAAAATTATAAGTGCATATTTCAGATGTGGCTAAAGATGCAGAAGCGATAAATTCTTATTTACAAAACTAATTTTTGAGTAGAATAGAAATTTAAAATGAGTGGCTAACGTTTTTTAAAAGAAATTTAAAGACACTAAAAAGATAAAAATTCCATTTCGTGCAGTGTACACGGTGAGTCATTACGGAATTGTCACAGAAACCTTGTAATGTGTTTTTACAATACTTCACTACCTTCATTGCACTCTTTGCCAAAACTTACTTAATTTTAAAATCTACAGTATAAGGTTTCCAGACAACCTATTTATTTAACGCCTTCATTATAAATAGCGAGCTCATTTTAAAATACAATTTGTTCTTTGTCTTAATGTTTATGTAATAGCATTTTTGGTGATTATGGTCACCGTATTATCATCTACACGATAATTTTAAAGTACACCTAAAATTTAATAGCAACCAATCCAGTAGTTTCAGAGATCATGTGGCTAATAAAATGGCGAACACACAAACAACTCTTTAGTTCACTTATTTTGTTTATTTATCTATCACAAGTTCGCAAGCGAATAGTTATAATTCTACAATTTCACCATCTACTAATCAAAACTTTCAAACGGATCCGCTGCAATCATCATGGTTAAGATTTTATTAAGATCAATAAATTATTTGAAAGAATCAAAATATTTGGCATACGTATGGACGTGTTTATATACTTTTAGATATTACCTGTTGTTACTGACACGGAAAACTCATGAATGGGATATCCCACGCGTGAAAACTTAAATATTTTCACTCATATTTCGTCTAAATATTTAAATTTCGTGAAAATACCTTCCTTTCATGTTGCTCGTGTCTCGTCAGTTCAAATCGCATAAGTAATGAAACACGCATCAAATCGATGCAGTAAAATAATATCGTTAAGGTACAAACCTACCATCTACTGCATCTACTGTAAAACACTTGCTTAGATCATTTATTTTAAGACAAGGTCATCGAGAGTTTTCAAGTTTTAGTTTTGAAAAAATAAATAAATTTTGATTTAGTCATCGCCTCAAGTTTATAGACGGTATTCATCACTAATTACCATATTTTGTTCAATAGTTCAACTTTCAAGTTTTTGTACTCAATAATCTCTATTACTGCTGAATATTAATACTACGCCGTCACTAAGACTTCTCTCGTAGAGTTACAGCGTCAAATTGGAATTTATCATTTACCATAATTTTTTTTCGCTTACTCTGTATGTCCTTGAAACACTGAGACAGAATGTACGTTCTCCCGGAAATCCCAGAGTCTAAACGTTGCATCTCGTGAGGATGTAACTGCCAGCCTCTGGTAGGGATGAGTTGCCGTATGAGTTAATTCTTGATCATGGCCTGTGGATAAGAAATATAGAGAGGTGACCGTTTAAACAAAAATATTTTTGTTACCTGAAAGAGTTGTTAATAATGAACCTGTTTCAACATCGAACAAAATTGCAGATCTATCCCAAGACGCTGTGATAACTTGATCGGCGCCGACTAGCCATTCGGCGGCAGAAATAGCACCACTGTGACCCAATAATTCTCTAATAGGCGTACGGAGCGTCGAAATTTTTGCATCTAATTTATCGTCGAGTTCGTCTCCTTCCAATTCTTCTTCAGAAGAGTGACCCTTCTAAGAATACCAGTTTTAAAATAATGAGTAATGTGTTTAAATAGAATAAGTAAACAAATGCACATTTACGACTTAAAAATTTTCCAATCAGAACTTGATTAAACATTAAATATTATTCCAAGAATGTTACAAATAATTGTTTGTCATCAACTTTACTGTCTGTTGGTGGAATTACAACAAAACGCAAATAACTTTGGCATGATTAAGATAAAATGGTTATTTATATCCATTTTGTCTTTTATAAGGTTTCAAGGTGAATAAATTCACGTAGAGCAAATATACAAAAGCGCTCAAATTTGCTTGGTCATTTGTTTGTACTATTTAAAAACCACTGTCATAATACATGTATATATTAAACTGTACATTAATTGCAACTTTCGTATCTAATCATACTAAAAAACATTTGTAAAGTCAGTTTTCATTAAATGATTACTAGTTTCAACGCTATCATTAAAAAATACATTGCAATTGCATTAACAAACTTACGTTATTTTTTAATGAATTTAAAGCCATATATTAAAACTAGTTGTATAATTACGGAATTTCGTCTACCTAACATGACTGACTAACTATGCAAGCAGCAATAGAAAAAATTACCGGTAAGTCCCAATTTAAGGCAGCCTGCCAAATATGAGCGGTGCAATCACCACTTCCAGTCAAAACCAGATCCTTGGAAGGATGAAATCGAATAGAATTAACGGATCCTGTGTGTCCTTGATACTGCAGTAAACAACGAGTGGTTTCTATACTCCATATGCATGCGCTGTGATCTAAAAATAAATAAATATTTTACCAGATGCTTTCCAAAAATGTGAGCATAAAAATATTTGACTGATGTGGTAAAAAATAAATTAGATTTACAAATTAAATTTTTATAGTTAACGTCAGAAGATTAATTAGAATACTGGAATCATTAAGCTTACTATATATTATTGAAACGCAAAAAAAGTATACTTTATAAAAATTTTTCTTATTCTGAATGATTAAAAAATTTCGTATGTACACGGTTCGTAATGTTACTGTAATTCTAAGTATATGATTATACCTATATATTACTAAAATATGACAAAAAAAAAAATGTATGCTCTCAGAGAACAAATTGGGCTACAGTTTGGATAGAATGTACTTTTTAATAAAGATTTATTTATTAATTTATTTGGTATTCCACAAGCAAAACACTTTAATTTTAATATGTATAGTATTCCATATTTTCTAAGGTTATACCTATAGCAGTAGAATAGAAAGAAATCACAATGGTTGTAAATAACATTGGGTTTACCGCTCGATATCTACCATGACGCAGAGGAGCGTGCTCGGAAATTTTCATGTAAAAAGAAAGTACTCGATTTTACTGAACAAAAATTTGTGTGTGAAAACATGTTTCGCCCGTGGGAAAATCAAGTACATTATGCTAATGCAGAAATTCATCAAGCCTGATCTGTTAGCCTTCAAACGTTGAACGCGTGCAAAGGATTTATGAAGGTAAGGGACGCTTCCGTAAGGTACTCCAGTATTAGTGGTCAAGAACTGTATCGCTGCCATATAACCTTAGAAAATATGGATTACTATAGTATATGTAATGTAAACAATGTTATATGTTATTCAGTTTTACGAATTTTAGGACACAAAAAAAACTAAAAATACCGTTTTTAAATACTATAGGTATACTAGTTGGAAAAGTTATTTTTAAAAAACTCCTATTCAAATATTTAAACAGGATATGCGTGCTGTTTACAATTCTCGATTAAAAATGTATTTTTCTCGGTTAATGATATATCAATATGAATAGATTATCCTGTAGATTATAAAATCAATAAAAAAATGTGTCATTAAAATTCAAAATTTCAAACCCAAAAATTCTGTTTTCTCTTAGAAATACGAGCATCTGTACATATATATATACACGTATTTTTCAATCAAGATTTGTTTAGAAGTGTTTTAATGACACTAAAAAAAATAAGTTGCATTTCCGGCGAAACCGAAGTACCAAACTCTTTTTTACTACGCCGAAGTGAAACAGAAGTATTTCTAGCACAGCAAATGAGTTGACGTTTTTCTGTTTAACGTCAAACACAAGCTTTTAAATATATTACTATCATCAAATAACTTTGGTGTTTTTGCATTTCATCATATTTATAAAAAATCATCTCTGAACTGATGCCGTTTATTGAAAGTCCAAACAAAAACATGTCGATTCTCTTATTCATCAAATAATAACTTGTATTTTCTAAAGCGCTTGCACTTATCGCCCTACTGCGTCACTACACATGTATCCGTTGAAAAGAGACATCTGACCATGACCTTTAATTTTATATTCCACATAATAAGTTAGCATGTCCAATATTCCATGTTTATAATTGCATAATTTATAACACAACTATTGATTGATAGCATGCTGGACTTTTGTAACAATTATCAAATCAATATCAGCCACATGTTAAGACCATCATATTGCAAATTGATTTTTAAGGGTCAAGGTCACAGTATTATAACCTTATTAATAAATAATGTATTTAATACCTGCAGAAGCTGTCCCAATGACAGGTACCCCAGGCCTTGCAACTGACACTTCCCAAACACCATCTTTGTGTCCAGCATAATCCTTGACTAACCCACAATTATACTGGGGAGCCTTAAAACTAGACACAATTTTACTAGTTTGCGCCTTCAGTTTATGAGCTGTTTTGGACTTTTGAGATGACGAGCTCACTGTAATCAAATTACAATAAGACATCTTACAACTCCACCACTAAATACTTACATTTTTTTGTTAAAACTTTTGATATGTTGTTTTCAAAATCAACGCAGTCTGATTTATCAAACGTATCTCGTTCAATTTTTTCGTTCAATACTTCTATTTTATCTTGTACTGAAAAAACTATTCACTATTGCACAGTGCAGGTTGTTGGTATAACTTACGTGTTTGATTTTCTTGGTACAAAATATCAAATTCTTTTTCAATAAGTCTAAACAAATTAAAGAGTTTCGTTTTGTAGGCTGGCGTAAGAGGGCAATCATTTTCTATATCCGAACGAAAGCCATAGAAAATGTCCCCATCGATGAGGCCACTTTGCGGTCGATTCATAGAGCCTCGTTTTCCCTTAGGTTGTACTTTACTGTTCGAAGTGTTTTGATTGACTGACATCCTAGACGCGGGAGAATACTTAAGTTGTTCGAAACTTTTGGTAGAACAGTGTAGTAGAATCAATAAACATGCTCATTATAATTTGTAATAATTACCTGTTGGAAGCTCACGTATTGGCCGGTTTGCAGTCCAACCACACCACTACAACCTACTCAAGGTCTGCAATTACGTTAAAACCGAAATATTACGTTTATAAACAAAACCAGCATGTTTATATAAATCCGTTTCGTTTGACTTTGATATCTGACATTTTGATGACAAGAAATTGACAGCTGTATCTTACATTTTTGTCTACAGAGGGCTCTGATTTCTCTTCCTTGACAGTTTTCTGCATTAAAATTTAAATAATAAAATTACTTATTCACCGCAAATTTACTAAACTGCGTCGTTCGAGTACATAATTCTTTTTTATTACTTAAAAGTCATCAATCTCCTTGACGTAAACAGTAAAAGTAAATATTTATATAAATTGGAAGCTCTCATTTTATTAGTTCAAAATTACAAAATAGCCAACACCAAGTTGCATCTTACAACTAAAATAAATTAAATAAAAAAACATGAATAAATAAATAAATAAAATCAATATCAACAACATTATGTCTATGGTAAAGTGCAAAAAGCTTAAGTACTTTGGTTTAATATCATTAGTAAAATACCACATTGTAATACTGAGCAGTCTTGTAAGTGGAGAAATTAGTTTGTAGTTGTTCCATTGGTCCTTACGTTTGCGTTTGCGTGCTGCTGAACATTTTCCGTCAGCTCCTTCCCAGTTGTTTCAAATGGTAATATTAAACAAGCCACTGCAGCCATTAATGCAGCTACAGTATAAATAGTGGTTGCAAATGAGATAGAACTCTTCAAAAGAACCTACAAGAGTAACTCACTTTATGGTTATTCTATATGGGCTATAGATGGTTTTATACCTGTGCCACATAAGGCGTAACCATAGCACCCAACCTAGCCATAGCGCTACAAGATCCTACCCCAACGGCCCTTAATGAAGTTGGGTACACTTCTGGAGTATAAACATAAGCTGCTTGAAATACTCCTGCAATAATTCCACGCGCCAAGAACAACATGACTGTCAGAAAAACACGTCTGAAAATCAAAACAATTGTAACCAGAACGTTTAATTGAGTTTTTAATAGCATACTTTTCTGAACAAACCATGAGAAAGCAACAACAAACTGCATATACCACGAACTGTACAGCCATCGTTTTTTTCCGTCCAAATCGCTCAATGGTAAATATTGTAATAAATATACCTATAAGAAGAAAATTGAAATAATTTCTGAATAAAACACAAAATTCTTAATGTTTAAGCAAACCTGGAAATTCTGCTAGTGTTGTCCATAACAGATCCATATAATCTGTAGTTTGCAGCTGTTTGCAATCAGCTGCACAAGTATCAAGAGTCTGAGAGGGTAATGGTGTTCTTGAACATAAAATACTTGAAGTTTCAAAAAGCTCAGTAGTCATTAAAACTAATCCATAGTAGCAAAAAGCACAAGCCATCCTAAAAAATAGCTCCAATGAAAAATAATTCTCAAAATTTAGAAAGAGTTACCAAATAAACCATAGTAAAAGAGATGTTCTTCTAAGAGATGGCACCAGTAAGTCTCTGAAACGCCCTCTATGTGGCGACGAAGTAGTAGCATCATCTACTACCAACCGTCCAAGCAGCATGGGTTTACCATTGTCTTTAGCAATTTTCTCCAATGTTTCTAAAGCTTTGTCAGTTTGCCCACTTGCAACATGAAACCTAGCTGATTCAGGTAACCACTAAGGAAAACAATTGATAAATTTAGCGCCACCAAAATACAATTACTTACAGGACAAACTAAAGCAAAAGCTAATAAAGGACCTGTGGAAAGTGCTAATAACCACTGCCAACCTAATGTGGGCATAACCACTAATGCAAGAGCAACTTCAAAACATGCGCCCAACGCCCAAAAACACTGTAATTCAAAATAAAATTATGCAACCCAAAAAACAACAGCCTAAACTTACATCAAGCAAAACAACACACTTTGCTCTCTGTTTTGTGGGTAAAAATTCTGCATAAAGCGTAACACTGAAAACAATAACAAATGCAAACACAAACAGACACACAACAGTACTTACGATTGAGGTGTGCATCCAATAGCAAAACCTACTAAACCCCTGAGTAGTAAAATCCACATAAAACTAGGAGCAATAGCACTTAATAAACCATAATAAAAAAGTAAAACTGCACATAATGTTAAAGCCTGCAATTGTCCAAAATGAGTTTTTTTGTTTTAAACAGTCATAAAATGTTATACGTGTTTACGTCCATATCGGTCACTTAAATTACCCCAAAAGGTTGATGATAACATCATTCCCAGAAAAACCACAGTAGTTGTTAAGGCTTGTTGGTACCTCGAAATATGCCAATCACAATGCAAAGCTGGGGATAAAATTGATAATATCGTCATTTCCATGCTGTCAGCCATCCAACACAAGCCAGTCCATAACGAAAGCTTGACTTGGAACCACCCAAATCCAAGTGCATTCACAGCTTGAGTCACCGTGAATGTATCTGTTGATTAATATTTCATTTTAAAGAAATGTCCACATAAAAATTACAAACTCCTGTTTACCATCAGGAACCACCGAAACTGATGCCATTTCAATATCTTGGGGTAACGAATTGTCGTCGTCATTAAGTTCATTTCTAGTAGTTGGAGCTGTACTTGTGCTACCGTCAATGTCTTGGTATCCTTTAGATCGACGTAAAACCATGTTTTATTACTAGCTTCAAGTATGTTTTTAAAAAAATATCAGTGACATCACTGAATAAATACGTGGATGCTATTTTGCAATAAAAATAACCTAAAAACTAACTGTCAAAATTGACAACCAACTGACACCTAACCACAGAACAGCACCTAACCAAAAGGTGTATGCAACATTAATGACTTTTTAATTACAGCTTTTTGTATGGTTTTTAATTAACATAATATAAAAGTTTTATTTTTACATTAACAAAAATAGTACATAAGTCTGTTTATGTTGGGTTACATATTTTTAAAATTTAACTTTATGTATCTTCCACCACTCATCAGTGTTTTAAAAATAAACATGCAAAAAGCAAACTTAGTGCTATTGAAAGTAAAAGTATACTTCGTTACTATTTGCATTTAGTTATTTGTTTTAATCTAAATATATGTGGAAAATTTTCTCTGCTTTGCAGATGGAAACTTTTATTATCTGTTGTTTCTGTGAGCACCGATTATATAAAAATACTTCAAATTAAATAACATTTGTTATCAACAAATAGATAACGAAAAAACAGAGTCATGAGTACATATTTTATACTAAATCGTGTTTGCTGCTGACGGTGTTTATACCTACTACAAAATCATGGTAAGTACTAATTAATTTTGATATGAATGAATATCAAGAAAAAAAATACTTATAGGTGAATTTTACATTTAGAGGTCTAATGGCACCGACCTTAACTGCATTCAAAGAGGACTTGTAAGTAATTATTTATGTAGAGTAATTATGAAATACTTTTGAAAAATAAAACTGATAAAAATTCATCTGTTTAATAGAAGCCCCTCAGTATAATTAAGAAATATACTTAATTGAAAAAAAAAATAGGTACCCAGTATGACAATACTACAGTTATTTAAGTTTTCTTCTATAAATTCTTAAAATGACAATTCAATTTACACATACCTACTCTGCTTATTAGATTGCTTGACCCACAGAGGCGTGAGTGGGCCTGACCTTCTATCAACTAACAATTTCTGAAATTTCAGTCAATGAGATCCTGCTTTTGCGCAAATTTCAATAGTGGGATCAAAAATCAGAAACAGCATTCGTGTGTGAACATTTGTGGTCACTTGAACCAAAATTCACTTACGGTTCTTCTCGAGAATTTTTTTTAGATTGCTTAATATTAATAATAGCTGTTACTACAAGATTATTATTTATTTTTTTACTGTTTTTAAAATCTGTAAAATAATACGTTATAGAATACTGTGTAGCAAGGAAATTTTATAGATTGAATTGATATTATGACACAACAATAACAATAATAACTGTGTGTTCAGTAGTTTTATTTTCCAAAAGTGTTTCGCAATCGACTGATGTATAGATCAATTTTCACAAGTGCTATATAATCTTTATACAGGTCAATAAATCTTGATGTTATACAGGACTATGCCAAATTTCTTGCTGATTCAAAAATAATGGGAGTTTTAGGTGAAACGTTCTCTTAAAAAAAACATTATTCTCAAATATATCATTTTATAGTGAACGGTACAAGTGGGGAAGGTATGTCAATGAATGTAGCAGAAAGAAAAAAAGTAACAGAAGAATGGGTAAAAGCGGTGAAAAAAACGAATCAACACTTAATGGTACAAATTGGTGGAGCACCGTTACCTGATGTTTTAGAACTTGTATAGTACAAACATACGTATCAATTTGTTGATTCACCTGTATCATTATAGGCAAAGCATGCCGAGTCAGTTGGTGTACATTCCCTCCTGTGTTTACCTGATTTATACAACAAACCCACAACTTCTACAGATCTGACTAGATATTTAAAAACTGTTGGTGCAGCTGCTCCAAATACACCACTTTTGTATTATCACATTCCAAGTTACACCAACGTGAATAGTACGCACGTTTAAAAACAAACTATCACAAACTTCTAAAAGATACTCTTTTTAGTTCATATGGGTCAATTTTTAAATGATGTCGTTGGAAAAATCCCTACTTTTCATGGAATAAAGTTTACTTCAACTGCTTTAGATGAAGGCATTGCAGCAGTTAAAGCCAATGGAGGAAAGTATGCCGTGTTTTTGGGAGCTGATCAATTGATGGCAGGCGCTTATACACTTGGATTTGATTCAGCAATTGCAACAACACTAAATATGTTTCCACAGTTGGGAATAACAATTCTTGATGCTGTTAAGCAGTCAAAGCTTGATAAGGCTAAAGAAACTCAAGATATTTTAACACAAGTTTGCTCTACTGTCACCAAAAATGGCTCCTGGGTGCCCACAATGAAAGTCGCTATGGACTTATACACTCCTGTTAAAGTTGGTAAAGCCAGAGAACCACTGGTAAATATTACAACGGACCATGTTAAACAAATGAAGGAAGAAATGAAGGGTATTAAATTGTAGAACTACGATTTATATATATGATGTATGTAAAACGAGTATACAAATAAAATGCTACTATTTTTTATTCATATGTAATGAAGGGTTTAAATGTTCTTTGACAGTGTTTATTTGACATGGAAATTACCAAAAACATCTTTTTTTAACAACAGCTTATTAACTACTAGTTTTCTTAAAACTATGAATCCTTGAAGTTGACAATTCTCTCTCTATTGTATAACATATGGTTGTTTTATATGAATTGGACTAGTTTTAAAAAATTATGTAAATTTAAGTATACCTGAGGGCTACGTAAAAATGGTGGATGCGCCGGGCACGATTAATTTACAGCTTTTTTACTAATAAGAAATTTTCTTCTTTTGTTAATAATAATACTATCATAGTGCATTACGTTTTCTATTTACAAATAATACCTTGTGTCCTTTATAACAATCTAATTATAAGAGATACATTTAGATGTAACAATTATAACATCCTAATAGTGAGACTCGAATGGAGACTACTATGGCATTATTTTTCTTTATTGCACAGATTTATGACTGCGATTATACTAAAAACCATATGATATATGAGAATTCTACTTGGCACGTTGCACTACAATATATAAAGCACCATTTATAGTTTATACATTATATATATTATTACAAATGAATTTTTCTCATTTATGAAAATTCTACAGAAAAAAGGAACTCTGAGTGGCATCCCTACTGTACATTTCAAAATCCACAAAAATCATTTTTATTAATACAGACGTGCTAAATCTAAACATGTAGTTCAAATTTTCCTTGAACATCTAATCTGTGCTGAAAGCTTGAAAATACTCCAGATTAAATCACACTTGTTATCAACAAGCTGATAAAGAGAACTCAAAGTCATGCATTGGTTAGTTGTACTGAATTATTTGTGCTACTGACTGAAAGTGTTTACCACAAGAATCATGGTACGGAAAACGGAGATTTATATTTTGATAAATTATTTACGAAAGGTTTTCAGGCTAATTTTAGATTTAGAGGTCTCATTGCACCCATTTTAAATGCATTCAAAGATGATTTGTAAGTAATTATTATGTATGCCGGGTGTTTCATCTCAATTGAATATTGAAGTTACTTGTACACTTATACCTACTATATTCGAACAAAAAATTAACTGTTACGGATTTAAATCTACTTATATTTTAAGTTATGTATCTACAATATGTCTATGAAAGGTTTTCGCACTCACAATGAATGAACGGATACTGTTACCGGTGATATGAAATGCGTGATCCTCGAGGTTACAATAATTTTTTTTTTTTTAAGTAATAAAATATAGCATATAGTTTAATTAAAAAAATAAAATAGTTTTTCTGTTGTGAATAATTTCATCACAATTTAATCAAGATGAAACACTTGTCGAACAATAATCATTTATTACTTTATGTGATGCAGATCAATAAACCTCAGTGTTATACAAGATTACGCAAAATTCCTCGCTGATTCCAAAATAATGGGAGTTTTAGGTAAAATATATTTATATCAAGAACTTTTACTATTCTATCCCATTACGTTATAGTTAACGGCACAAGTGGTGAAGGTATGTCAATGACTGTAACAGAAAGAAAAAAAGTAACTGAAGAATGGGTAAAAGCAGTGAAAAAAACTGATCAACATTTAATGGTACAAATTGGAGGGGCGCCTCTCCCTGATGTTTTGGAACTTGTACTTAATCAAATCATACTATTATGTTCTGATGTCTTTGATGTTCTTTTTAGGCAAAGCATGCTGATTCAGTTGGTGCGCACTCTCTTCTCTGTTTACCTGATCTCTATTACAAGCCTGCAACTTCTGCAGATCTTACTAGATACTTGAAAACTGTTAGTGCAGCTGCTCCAAATATACCTCTTTTGTATTATCATATTCCAAGATTCACCCACGTTAACAGTAAGTTAAAAAAAATAAAAAGAAAACTTTGTCATATCTAGGCTTTCATAGTTCACATGGGTCAGTTTCTAAACGATGTCGTTGGAAAAATACCTACTTTTCATGGTATAAAGTTTACTTCAAATGCTTTAGATGAGGGTATTGCGGCAGTTAAAGCCAATGGAGGAAAGTATGCCGTCTTTTTAGGAGCACCGCAACTTAAGGCAGGTGCTTACACACTCGGATTTGACTCAGCCATTGCAACACCATTGAACATGTTTCCGCAACTAGGAGTAACAATCCTAGAATCTGTTAAACAATCAAAACTTGACAAAGCTAAGCAAACTCAAGATGCCTTAACACAACTTTGTTCGATTCTTACCAAATACGCCAAATATGGTTCATGGGTGCCTACAATGAAAGTTGCTATGGAATTGTACACTCCAATTAAAGTTGGTAAAGCGAGAGCGCCATTAGTCAACATTACACCTGATGAGATTAAGCAAATGAAAGAAGAAATTGATACTCTTAATTATTTCTAGAACCACGTTTATTAAAAAAACAAATTTAATAAAATAAAACATTAATAAAATACTTCAAGCTTCAGCTTTTAATCCTGATGAGGCGAATAAAACTTTGAAGGCAACACTGGTGACACAGTATTACTTCCAAACATTTCCCTAAATGACATGTTCTGTGAGTGGTATCTCATTTCTATAACTTTATCATAAAATCGGGACAACTTAACAGCATTTGACGAACCGGCGGCAAGATATCTAGCTTGTCGACAATCTAAGACAATTTCGTCCACACCAAACTGACTTGCAAATGTTCCTATAACAGATTTCCTCTCATCAATCTGATCTACTTTTGTTCCAATAACAAGAATAGGCATTTGACTTGACCCAAAAAAATTCTCTGGATCATATTCATCCACCGATGCTGAGCTAACTACCGTGGAGTTAACATCACGGTTGATTAACTCTTGCAACCACTTGTGTAAATTCATTTCAGATTTTCGATTAGTTGAGTCATGTACTAAAATTACACCATGGCAAGGATTGTAGAACACATGTCTTGTATTTCGATGATTGTTACTGCCTCCCACGTCCCAAAATTCAATAAAATATGTTCTTTGTTCTTTTGTACCTTCTTTATATTCGTGTAACTTCACTTCGACTGAACAACCCACTGTCCAGCTTGGAGATCTTATGGGTTCGTTGTTTGCAGTTAGGTGTACAAATGAGGTTTTACCTACGCCAGAATCACCCAATACCATTATACGAACTCGATCGATAGCGGTCATTTTGCTAAAGTAGTATAAACTCCATATACAAGCAAACTTTACTGCAGTTTCGTGATACACATATTTTAAGGTTATCTAGACGATTTGACTACCTCTTATTCAATTTGTCAAGAGCGAATGACCTACCGAAGACGTGGCATTGAATCTGTACATAAAAATTTTGATCAAATAACACATACTTAACAGTAATTAGTGTGTTGTAACTGCTCAAAATTATAATAATTATGTAAAAATGCAGTTTCCTTTTGAAATTACCTCTACGTTTTGAAAAAACTTCGACACATTTGAACTACTGTCGAAGGTAAGCCTGTCAACAACGAAACTTCAGCATTTAAGGTTAGTTAGTTAGTTGCGGTTTTTTGCGCAAAGGATGCACGAGTAAACAATGCAAAACAATAAAGAATACTGTTTATCATGTAAAATAACATCAATATGTTGTTTGACAGGGATAGGTACATATCTTATTTACCATGGTAGACAACCACTTCAAAAACATAAATTCTCGCTGATTTTCCTAGGACTAGGTAACTTAAAAAAAATGCCCATACACATGCTTCTTTTTTTTATTATTTTAGGTTGCGTAGGATTAGGTATCGGAGAAATATTTGATAAATCGCCATTTCGTAATTATAAAGATATTCATGAGTAAATCAGAAATAAATAAATATATGTAATATAAATCTTAATCATTTTCCGACTTTTCCAAGCTTTGTATCAGTCTTGGGATTAGCTGTTACATTTTGAACAGCGACAACTAATTCATTTGCTCTTGTCTGTAATTCTCGTAAGTCATGAATGTATAAAATTCTCAGCACTTTAGCAGCTTGATTTAAAACTGGATCATGTAAATCAAAACCTAAATCAGCATCTTGGAATGGAAAGGGTGTTCCCTTGAATAAAGTTCCAATTACTAGAAGTAACAAAAAAAATTAAACACATACCTTGACAATTACTTCATTTGGATTTGCTTGCGCTTGAGGAGACAGTCTAGTTGTGACAAGTTTTGCTACTGCATTTAATGTTATAATGGGATCAGGGTGTGGTGTAACATTTAACAATTTTGCAACATTTGAAATCCCATCTGCAAAATCTTTACTATGGACTAAAACACAAACCAATAATTAAATCGAAAACGTTAATTTGAATATAATACAGTCTAATTTATCCAGAGGATTTTCAGTCACCACACTGGGAACATTGGTAACTTTTAAATGTTCTACTGCATGTTTTAAATATACATCTCCTACAAAAATATTTCATTATTTAAACCTTAACGTGGTTAGAATACTTTACTGTTGGTGTGTGTTTCAGCTTGCACAGCATAACCTAAAAGCCACTGCAGTTGTTCTTGTGAACTCTCCAAATTTGGTAATCCTATTTCATTTTTGTATTTGGCATAAACATTGGGCCAATCACCAGAGTTTATGTTTTTAAGCCCATTTTTTACATTTGGACTAGCTTTATTAATCTTATTGAGTTCTACCCAAGCAACGATTTTACGGAAAGTTACTTCATCTGAAACGAAAAGTTGGGTTATATTACACACGCCGGTAGCATGAACAATGCATTCACCATTAATATTAACCGAATCAGATTGTGGATACTCTAAAGCAGATAAGAGTCTCTTCACCATATCAAAATTAATATAAATATGTTGGTTGTGATATAAAATGAGATTACAATCAGAACCTCACGTTACGTCAAGAACAACTGTCACGACTGTCACCGTTGACAACTGAGAACTGACAACCACGCAAAACTACAAAAATGAACTACCCACTGTAGTAGACACTCCAACCTCCAATGAATTCCAGCGAAGGCTTGCAAATTATAAGTAATCTGAAGCACAGATTAAGTACAAGTATGTACTTATAATCAGTGGTCAGAAATAATTGAATTTATTGCTTGCACACACTTATTTTTTTCCTGCCTATTTCTATTTATATATATATATAAAATTAAAAAAAAAATCACGAGAAAGAGGCAGATTAAAAGATAAAAATTTAATACATAAGTGTTTATTAAAAATGCACATACAATACAATTAATAAAAATTTCTAATAGCTCGTGCTCAGTCTTTTGTAAAATAAATATTCCTATACTTAAATGCCGCCAGGGCTAATAAAAACCTACACATTATTCTTAATATTATGGTACATAGTAAGTGACCAAATATACATACTATTTTGTGTATAACACAACATTTAACACCTATAATAGTTAAATACAAAAATATGATAAACATTCTCTATCATTATCTCAAAAGAAAATTGCATCTATCTGAAACATTCTTAAATCAACTTAAAACAATCACATTTTTTGTAACTGATGGTTATTTTGTATGTAAAAAGATACACATATTGATGATAATTTCGGAAAAGAAAATGAAATTAGTACGAGTTTGTTTAAGACAAAGTCGCACTATTCAATAAAGAATAACATTCGGGACATTTTTTATCACAGGCAATTTGAGGCGTACCAATTCATAATTGCAAAGTAACAATGGGTGTAGTTAATTACATAATCGTTGGTCTTATGTTGATATTTATTAAAAAACTGTGGCACTTCCGATGTACGCAATCGATAATTAAAAATTATTTACAATGGAAGTATACCACTGATTAAAATCCATCAGTTATAAGTTCACTAGTGATAAATCAGATTAGTTTATATGAATATTGTTCAAACATTAAAATCGCTATCAAGACGTCTACAGATTATACTTTCACTTAGAAATGCGGTTGACTATATTTGCAATTATTCATTACTATTGAATATTACTATGTAATTTATTACTAAAGGTCAAGACGCATTAAATACAACTGATTTTAATAAAATAAATATCACTCAACGATTTCTGCTTAACTTCGTGAACAAAAAAACTACCAAAAATCAAAAATTTCATTAATGCGAGATGCGCTGTTATCATGCAATTGATAAATTAAACAACAACAACAACAACGTTCTAACGGAGTTATGTGTCTGCCTGACATAAATATTTCAAGATAATAAAAAGTTATTACGCCTAATGCTCTCACTAACTTACAACAGGGAAAAGCAGCACAACCCCGCATTTGCACACTAAACATAACATTATACTAATAGCACCCAATATATGTATTTAAATAACTTTTAAATATTAAACCTAACAATAACTTAGTTAAAATTATGAATTTTCACATAATCTAACTCGAAAATACAAGTAACTTTATCTTAAAAACCGAGATTTTTCATAGTTCTTATAAAAACCGCCCCTTAATGGCCCCAATACACCTAATGTAGATTAAAATGCACTATTTTTTGAATTCTCTTAAAAAATGTTGCAAAAACTTTTTGAGCACAATATCTACGCACAACATAGTTCCATTTACAGTAAGTACCTACTTACTTATCCTATAAAATCAAACTACTTTTCAATGTTTTTGAACATTTTTAACGTGTTGGCCGGAATCTCACAAAATAATTGTCTAATACCAATAAAAAATAAAATAAATTAAAATTTAATGTGAAAATTTTTCATTAATAGCTATATTGCGATGGAGATAATTTATAACCAAGTCATTCTTGATTTGGACAAATTTCACGTGGAAGGATGACTTCATTACGAACGATCTTCCCTACGACTGTTCAGAGAAGTGTATGTATGTGTGTCAGAACGCACGACTAGATCAAAATATGAGTAGTAGTCGTAGGCAAAGTTTAGTGGACAATAAAATTGCGTACTATTATTCGAAAAAGGCAAGTTCATGATTTATGCAATTTACTGTTACCAGACCGTATGGAGTTTAAAATTTGCAAGTTTTGACAAAAAACAATACAATTATTTTGCAAGAATTCCAATAATTTTAATACGTATTTAATTTAGTTCACGTGAAGCGCGTGCTGAACACATAGCATTATGACGGTGGCATATCATTGGAGCCAAGGGGGTCATTTTCTCATAGAATTACACAGCACCTACAGTACCTTTGTCGAGAACCTCCAGCAGATGGTGGTGGCGTTACAGGTGCAAAATAAGCATGAACTTTGATGTTAGGTAAATGGTTCTGTGGACACACATAAATATAAATTCAGATTATTTATCATTTCAGTAAGCTTACTCTTAATCTTCTAATACCAAGCCTGGTGATCAGCTGACAATCATATAATTCGACTCGTTGTAAATTATGGCATGAGGTTAAATGTTCCAAAGAAGCGTCGGTAACTAGAGGACAATTATCTAATTCTAAAACGGTGAGATTTTCTGCAGCACATGGAGATGTTGATAAATGCCTGATACCCTCATCTGTTATCAATTCGCAGTGAGAGAGAGTCTGGAAGAAATAGTAAATCGTGTTAATATTTTTATGAAATTGTAGCTTATTCAAATAAGTTTCTGATTAAATCATATCGTATTTGCTGGATATTCACCCCTGATGGGGGCAGATATTCACATTCGACAGTCACTAAACATTTCTAATTTTTTTCTCTGCGGAAGGTTTGTCCTCAATTCCGTATTTACGTAAACTCGATTTTACTGCTAGTTAAATTTTAGTGCTCCGTCATATTGCTGCACCTTAATATGAGGTAAACATATGTTCTTCCCGTGTGTGAAATAAACTAGTTTTACTGTCGCGTAAACTACAAAATTAAGTAATTTATATGTAGAAATTCCATTAGTTTTAATTTCAGTGTTTTGGTAATTGTTAATATGAAGTTTAAATATAATCCGTAGAAATTTAAACTGATGTAATTACATTTGTTTCTGATTGCATCGCTGATTTGCTGCACCATGTTCTAACAAAGAAAAAAACAGTTATAAAACTCAGTAGAATATTTACCTGACTATGTTTACCGTTTTGTGCACATTCTTTGAACTCTTAAACAAACATGTCATATTACTATAAGGATAATTTGAAAATCAGTTCACACTTGATAACATTCAAAATAATTGTTCTTAATATGAATTTAAAAGAAAATCGTATTAATTTATTCATTGTTAGAATAATCACGATAATTTCAATTATTTTATTTATTATCAATAATATTACTATTATACATAAATACTTTCATTTATTTATAATTTATTTACGATGATTAATTGAAAACATTTTACTAATTTAAAATATTGATGACGTCTACTCTCTACTTTTACGTTTTCTCGACCTTTCATGACCCCTAGAGTACGAAAAAATAGGTCTCCCGTTTTTGTCTGTCTCCGTCCGTCTGTCTGTCTGTCCGTCTGTTTGCCGTCTGTCCGGATTTTTATTAAACATAATCTCCGAAAGTATTGGGCCAACAACAAATTTACTTTAGCCTTTTAATAAAATTCCTCCTAACATTTGGCAACTTTATATCAGATAGTGGGATCCTAGGACAATATTGCTATTATTGTTCCTATTATAAATAATCTATGCATTTTCTGTGAAAAGGGAAATAGGATATACTTTTAAAAATAGAAGACAACTACAATAAATGGAAACAAATGATTTTTATCTTCACGTCATCAACATTTTTTCAAGGACACGTATATCAACCTGGATTGGTGCAGTGGACTACTAAAAATAACAGTATTGTATTCCCAAAATTTACTGGAAAAATAGAGTGAGTCCTTCCTGATTTAATGAATAAAATAAATTGATCCGTTCATTAATTTTTTGAGTCACCCTCTATAACCAAATTTAAAAAATATTAATGCAGTGATAAATCACAAGTATAGACTCATGATATTTTGGACACTTTAGATAGGATTTTTTCGGCAAAATTTTGAGTTGACGTCATCAATTTTTTGGAGGGGATAAGCAAATATATTTTGATTAAAAATTTATTATGCTTATCATAACTTTAAAACATCTGCAAGATTTCAAAGCATTCGGTTTTGCAAATTCAAAATTAAATTGCAAAATGTTCTTTTATAATTTTGATTTTTTCCCCAAAAATTTAGTATAAACTCAACACGGAGTCATAAACTGCATGTGTATAATTATTTTAACAAACAATTTAAAACCCGTTTACAATGTACAATTTTGAAGTGACGTCATCACATTATTGGTGGGGATGATTAGACAAATTTCGGTTAGCATTTTACCATCTACAAGATGTTCCTAATATAAATACAAAATTTGACAACAATCGGCCCAGTACTTTCGGAGATTATGTTTAATAAAAATCCGGACAGACGGCAAACAGACGGACAGACAGACAGACAGACGGACGGAGACAGACAACAACGGGAGACCTATTTTTTCGTACTCTAGGGGTCATGAAAGGTCGAGAAAACGTAAAAGTAGAGAGTAGACGTCATCAAAATTTTTGCGAGGACACGTATATCAATTTGGATAGGTGCAATGTAATACATACTACTAATAATTGTATTGCATTTCCAAATTTTCATGAAAATAGAGTGAATCGTTCTTCATTTAATCAATAAAATAAACTGACTCATTTATTAATATTTTTAACTCACTCTGTACAAATAATTGTACATACAAAATATGAAAGCAATGGTAAATCACAAGCATAGACTCATCATATTTTGCACATTTTAGATAAAAGCCTAATAAATCTCAAAAGATTAAAACATATTTTGGTTAGCGCTTTACCATCTACATAAGATTCATAATACACGTGTAAAATGTGGCAACAATCGGTCCAGGAGTTTAGAGATTATTTGTCTAACAAAAATTGACACAGATGGCGGACAGACGTACAGACAGACGGACGGACGGAGACGGAAGACGATACAAAGTAAAAAAAAACTTGTGTCATAGAAGTTGCTAACTTTTATTTTTACTATATCTGAGTCCCAACAAATAAAGTCAAAAATAGACCTAGTATGATTTCGAAAGTTTTGAAAGCTGAAAACAGTGGTGACAACCCCGTTCCAAAATTTCCATCAATAACTGAAATAGTGATCCAAAAATTTCAAAAAATTTTTAAAAATATTTGATAATAAATTGTTTAAAAAAAACTGCCCTCGCAGTTATGTAGTGAAGTTTGTGGACAAGTTACATTCAAAATTTCATAACTATAGGTGTGTTAATAATGGAGATATTACATTCTGAAAATATGTTGACAACACCATGAGAGCCAAACGGAGCGACTCGTCTTAAGGGAATTTTGAAGATGTTTATGCCCTTTGATACAACTTTCAATTAATTTTTTTTTTTATTCTCAGTTTATGGAAAGAAGGAATGAAAATAAGGTTAGTGACGTTTCAGAAATTTTTTTACATTTCTGTTCATTCATTTTATAATACACTATATCTATGATAAGAGTTTCTTTAAAATTTGTTTCATATTTCCAGTTGTAACTTGTGGTTAAGAAGTTTTGGAAATAAAGTGGTTATCTTTCATTATTGTAATTGGTCGTAGAAAAAATAGTCTATTCAAAAATTAAATGAACAGTAAAACTCGCGAAGACTCGTGTCCCAGTGGCTATCATTAATTAAATGGCCAAGAATGTACAAGATACCATTAAGAAACTACTACGGGAGTATTAAAACAGGTAAGAATAAAATAAAAACAAGAATAACTAATGCCAAATTATTGTAAGGAAAAAGGCCTCGATATCAAGACCGATTAAGTTGCGAGTTGAGTTGAGATTGAGTTGCTATTGAAATTTCTTTTATGAAAATGGTGGATGCGCCGGGCATAGTCAATAATCACACTGCCAAAGCTAGTTCCATTTTAAAGATCTTTTGCCTACGATTTCCAAAAAATGGCAACTTTGTTCTATTGCAAAATTAACAATAAAACAACTTTTGTCATTTTTCCTTGTCATGATGAAAACTACTTACCAAATATTCTATACGGGGGCAACCCATGGCTAAGTGTATGAGTGTATTATCCGTAATCAAAACACATTCGTCTAAGTCCATTTTCTCGAGGTAGCGGCAACTCTAACAACCGTTCAATTTTATTAGCAATTTTCGTTCGTAAAGCGAAAACTTACTCTGGCAAGTGCTTGGAAGGCTGCATCTGTAAATAGGGAACATCCGGCAACTTCGAGTGTAGATAAAAGTGGGCATTTTTGGGCCAGTGCTATAAGCGCTGCATCTGTCAGTGCCGAGCATCCTGAGAGACAAAGATAATGCAGCTTTGGGCATTTTTCAGCTAAAGCTTGCACCGCTTCATCCCGTATATTCTGAAAAAACGCCAGATTAGCTTTTTAATTAAAACAGCAAATTCTACCTACACTACAGCCAAGTAAATTAACAACTTCTAATTGATCGCAAAACCTAGCCAGACAAATAACAGCACGTGATGTAATCTGTTTACATCCTTTGCTAATGAAACTTTTCAGCTTTCGACATCCTCGTGCTAGTGCTTCGACGCCGTTTTCTGTTATATTACTACACCAGCTAATGTTAATGTGAGTTAAGTTTGGGCAACCATCACTCAAAGCTTTTAAAGAATTGTCTGTTATGGCCGAACAACTGTCTAGGTTAAGTTTCTGAAGTTTAGAGCAATGCTTCGAAAAAGCAGTGCATGATGCGTCAGTCAGTTTTTTGCAGCCGTTAAGATTTAAATCTTCTACGTTTGGACACAGTTGAGCTAACGTTTTCATTGAGCCGTCGGCAATAGACTGACAACCTCTCAAAGATAACTGACGTAGAAAGCCGCCACATCTTCTAGATATATTTTCTATAATAGGACCCTAAAATCAGTTATCTTAAGGTTACCACAACATAAGAACGGCACGATACTACCTCTACATCTTTCTGAAAATCAAATAGGTCGATTCGCTGCCAATTTGACCCATCCAAAGCTAAAATGTTCCATGCTTTGGATACTTGGGCACAACGACAAAGAGACACTACATCTATATATGAGAATATCCGAAGTAGAAGCTCCTTTGGCAATTTCTTGTTTATGAGGGCTTCGTCGTCTGATAAAACCTTCGTTAACTACAAGACAGAATTAATCATAAGGTGTGGATTAATATTCATCATATAAAGACGAACAACACGAAAAGTGTACCACCACACAAAACTTCTACATTTATTCTAACAGACATAGACATTCCGTTTGATTAATTATTTACAACGTTTTCTCGGAAAAACAAATGGAAGTTTTACTGAGAAAACATTATTGGGTACACGCAATTATGGTGGTACAATTGTGTTGCACTGTTAACAACATATACGACAACTGTGTACTGTTTATTAAACTGATTAATTTTACTCTATAACAAAAATCTACACAGTCATCTGTCGACAATTATACTACATGCAACACAGCACATACATATTACAAACCTGTTGTTTCATCGTATCTACAGCCATTAGTGAATTGGTTTCTTTATTAGAGCCTTTAGAATGTTTTTTACTTCGCCACCAACGGCGTGCTAGATTAGAAACAGTTGCACTTAGTTCATTATTTCCTTCCTCACGTGTTGTGCGAGCAGACTAACATGCAAAATAAAAACATTCAAAAGAAAAAACTCAAAAAATATAAAATAAAGTCTTACAACGAAAGTATAAAAAATTCTTAGTTGTGTGTGCCGTCATCGTGTATTGTACCAAATAAATATAAATAAATTAAATTTATTAAGATGAAATAAACTGATTGTCTTTTAGCTTGTTCTCTTTGACTTAAGAAATTAACTTCCTAAAATATACATGTAAATGAAAATATTGCGGATTACAACCTACTACATTAAAAATTAATATCTATTCGTATATCCCTAACCTCCTCTAGATTAAAGGCTCAAAAGTGCGACAAGAGAATGGCATATTTAATTATTTACTTAAAACATAGTTGAATTGGTCAACCACATAGTAGTAGTACACCGGTGATTATAAAACATAATAAGTATATCAAGTTGGCTTTGGAAAATCTACCACTGCATTTTTAGCTTTAGCTTAAGAAAGATAAGTAATGATTGACATTTGTGACGGGCGACGACGAGTCACAAATCATCACAACGAGGCGGCAAAATTTGCCCAATTTCAAAGCCAACTGGATGTACAATTTTTTATATTCACCTTGCAGATACATACTTAATTATTAGCGCACTTTTAAGTACCTAAACGAACAGATTTAACATGAGTGTGTACAATATTTTTTAATTACGATTGTTTTAAAATTACCAATACCAAGTGACTAAACCCCACATTTCACAATTTATATAAATAAACTTTTGATGTAAGGTGCGTGTTTTAAATTTAAAATATTGTTTTACCTTACAGAACATGTGGGAGACCCATCATTTCAGCCAAATTCAGAAAAGACTAAAGATTGCTAAGTGGCCTCTGATCGTTTAAATTCCCTGAAATAATTTATTTAGGTAGTAAAATTTTATAAAACTAAACTTAAACAATGAATGCGTATATAAACTTGTAGTCAAAATGTACTAATTTTGATAGTTATTAAGATGAAAACGGTGTTAAACCTAGCATGAGCTACATTTTGATTAATAACTATAGAAAGGAGACTGTACGAAAAATGAAAACAATTGTCAAGAGTTTTTAATGTTTTTTTTTAAAGGTAGAACTAAAACAGAAACTGTTATTAGAAAGAAATAAAGTCAAATTCTCGCACAAAGTAAAATGAAAATAAAAATCTTACCATGATTTCACTGTTTACAGTGTTGATAAACATATATATGTACATTCTTAATATATCCGTATATTATTATCTAATAATTCTATTCAGGCGCATATCTTGTACACATAACCACACAGCCCCTCCAAGCATGGGGACGCCGTTGTTAATACGATTAAAAGCAATATCAAATAAAACTGGAAAATACTAGTAGATATCGTGGTATAACATTTATATTATACATTTTTAATATTTAACAAGCGATTAACTTGATACAATAAATTCTCTTAAAAATTACTTTCCGTTATTTTTGTAGAAATTCCACCAAATTAAGTTTTATTATTCGCAAATTCTGATATTATACTTAATTGAAATTTTTAGATTAATACTACAAACAAGAATTATTAATAAATTTTATCCCAACTTTTTTATTTATATGAAATGCCATTTTTATATCCACACCAGTCTTAAAACTAATTATTCATAATCGTGAAGACATATCTAATTTTGAGATTTTTTTCCCAAGCTCTATCAATCTAGCCAAAACCTATATTGCTGCGAATCATGTAGATTCGAAATGGGAACAGAATTTCATGGGTTTTGTTTACTGATGGTGGGTCAGTTCGAAAATAATTGGAAGAAACCATTTAATGTGGAAAAAATATGTCTTCCTCATAAATATCTGCTACTATATAGCAAATGAATATTTGATTTCCGTACATAATTAGGCAACCTTGTATAATAACAATCACTAAAAAGAATTTGCTTACACATACAAAAGTGTACTTCTCTGATTTTGTTTCTTCTATCAGTACTAGATAGTGTCTTACTTCTCCAGTAATAGTATTTTTGCTTTATTATTTTAATGTCAATTTCATTTTCTTTTAAAAGTTGACGTTCCGTTAATTCAAACCACAATATTAAGTGTTTAGACAAACTTTACGGTTGCGATGAATTGCTAATTAGCACGGTGTTGGAAATTCGATAACAAATTTGTACTATGGAGTTAAAAACTGCAAACGTCTTCTTATAAATTAATGCATTATAAAAACGCTAAAGTAACGACCAGGTATATTGATTCAGCATCAAACAAAAGTTAAACAGGTGAAATGCTTACTTAAAATATCTTAAGAAACATTTCAACATGCCTCGACGCGTTTCAATAAAGTTTAGTTTAGTTGGAGAAGTGTTACAATTTTTTTTATGTTGCGGGGATAATAACGTCGGATTAATCTAAAGAAATGCTGATAAGGTTTACACAAAAATAAAGCTATTTCGCATAAACGATATTAACATCAGAATACAATTAGAATAATTGTAGTTTTGCACCAAAAATAAGCTTCAAGCACAGGTAGCATTGTCATATTAGCAGGTAAAATATTAAATTCATAACCTTTATTTAAAGATACAAAATTATTCAAACTAAATATAAAGTTCCTGGCTTATAAACATGTAACATGTATTCAACACCACTGAAAACATACTGGTAACTTATAGACACAATGGAGAAGTTATTCTTGTGATAAATTCGCAAAGTATACTTTACTTTTTGAGTCACTAATACTAATTAACAAAGTAATTTGAATTTTCTGGATTGCTGTTTTTGTCTACTGTGGGTATTTCTCCGTTCATTTGGTGGCCACCTCAATTTGCACGTGAAATATACCACAAGGCTGGCATATGAATAATCATCGAGAAGTTATTCGACCGTACGTAACTTACAGTAGAGGCATAAATTAACACACTTAAAAAATACCATGGTTTTAAAACAAAAGGGTCAAACTGAAAAACTCGAGTCAATTGACATATTATATGAGTTTATGTGAGGTTTTCATCTTTGAACATGTTCTGAAAGTTTTTAATAGTGTTAAAATGACAGAATATGTGCCCAAAATCGATGATTATGCAACCAACATTACCAGCGTGGCCAATTCAATCGTTTAAAAAAATGACAAATGCATTGTTTTATCATAAACGTCAAAATTCTTGTCACAAATGTAAACAAAAAAATTAATTTTGTCAACAATGTTTCATTCCCTAACTTCACATTTAAAACAACATAACATAACAAGGGAAATTTGGGAATTGATTATTCTGTATGTTTAGAGATTAAAAAAAACAGGTATATATGCAAATGCTACATTATAATAATAATTTTTCAAACATTAACAAAAAAAAAGTACTAACTTTAGGCCGCACTAACTTTTCAAAACCTTTAATATTTTTTTATCTCCGAAGTCTTGGTCATTTTGTACCAAAATCTAATGCTGCGGTACTGTATATGGTATTCAAATTCAAACGGTAAAATCATAAATGTTCGGCAGTTGGATGGCTATGACTATGAAACAATTTTGATTGTACCATGATAGCATCTCCTAGTTAAAATTAGTGATTAGTGTTCAATGGTTTATTATTAATATATGCATCAGACACCATTGATTTATCTCTTTGGAGTACAAGCTAATATCTGGTCATTATAAATGATCTCCAGATGTTCACAACGTATGTATGAGTAAGCTCTAGTCTGAGTGAAGGAATAAGTCTGAACTACAATGATTATAATTTCAAATTTGAAACTATCCGTAATACCACCGAATATTTTGAGTTCTGAGGTGGTTAAATGATTTTGTTTTTAGTTAATATAATACAGATGTGTAGATTTAAGTGTAATTGATTTTGATTAAAATTTTTCGTAAAAAAATGGTTCAATGTTATGCTTTTTAATACATGCTACGTAATTGTCTTAAAGTTAGTGACCACAATTCTTCTATTGTTCATTTTTTCAAGGCTTTTGAATACTGAGTAATTTTAACTGTTCACTAATATTATATTGACCCCGCATCTACGTACGTGCAATTTGTAGTGGACACCTAATTATTTGAACAAGATAATTGACTATATATAGCAGTTGAGTGTGAAAAAATCAATGTTTTTAATTCAAAATACGGTTGTCTTTGTTTAATAAACGGCTACACGAAGTGAAATACTTAATCCAAAAATAAAACTTATCGACGACGTTGCAGCTGAACAAAATGAAACCTCTCTCTAACACAAAGTCCATGATAATTTTACATGGTCAAGAATGACCATATTAGCCCAACGACTGCCGATAGAGAACCGTGAACGTCGCTTGCAAAAATTTTAAGACGTAGAATTTGAGAAATGTCATTAAACGGCGGACATGTTTGCGACGAGTAGTACTAAACGAATTCACGAACAAAGACAAGAAAAAATAAACAAAACGTTATTTCTGCTAGCAACACATCAAATAATAGAAAAAAAAAATGCAAAACACAAAGTCGAAAAATAACGAAACGACGTGCTCATGCTGTGACAGAAAAAATCGAAAACTCAATACCCAAAGTTGACGTTTACAATCAGCTGATTTACATCAAACAATAGAACGTCAATAAAAACAAAGCGAAAAATCCGTAACAGAAAACGTATACACAGTTGTCAATGTTGGACATACCTCAAGCTTGTTCCTACCCGCATAAATCATATTAATGGCGAAAAGTGTGCGAAAATGTGCCTTTTCGCTGGAGCAACTCACAGTGAACGTGCACTTTGGGTGTACTGTTGCGGGACTGCTAATACAGACGTCCTTGGCTAGAGCATTCCACTGGCGAATGGGAATCCGTGGATTTGTTTATGCCCCCACCACCCCCACCGCCGGTGCCGGCACTGATCAAAACAAAAACAAGCCACCAACCCGTCTGGTGCTGCTTTCGCGGGACGGCGAGACTGCCACTGAGGGGTCGATGGACAGAGGCATAGACTCGGCCGCCTCCAAAACGGCGGCGGGACTCTCGGATGCGAACGCCGCCGCCAGCCGCCACCGATGACACTACAACACCCACCGCCGTGTATCGATCCACGGCCATAAAACAGACGATCGACGAGATTGCATGTGCACCTGTTATATTGCTCCTCGCTATCGTTTATTTTTATACTTTGTCTTTCTGTCTTGTCGAAAATCAATTTCGTGATGACTACTACCGAGGTCAAAGGACAGGTTCCAACGTTACGTTGAACCGGTGAGAGGAAGTGTTGCATTTATATTATACAGACGAGGTTTAATCAAGCCTGACGTGAATGCTAGTGGACGTCCACGCTACTTATATGTTTTACATTAGTCATGACTTCACGCCAAAACGACAAATAAGCGATTTTAATGGCCCAAAAGTTTTCCTTATTTTCTTAAAAGGTAAAGTAAAAGTGATACTAAATAATTCATAAAGAAAAAAATATGTTCATTGTGCTGTGTTATCGTCACCTTGTCAACAAAGATAAGAACTGTCAGAACAAATTTCTACCACTACGGCCATTTGTAGGTAAATGTTTTGAATGTACAATTTACAACTGCTGCAGATTTGCCACTTCTCAGTAATAGTAGGTATTTTTTAAATTTTAAACCATCTGGCAGAATAATCATTAATGAAATTATGATATTTGAATGTACCCACCTGTTCTGTTGTAATTTGGCGCGTACCTATTTTTACAAATGGTTTAGTGTGAGTTGAAAAAAAATCCATGTGAATAACTTTCAGATATTGACTTATAATTTTATCAGGTTGTTCTCCACATACCTTTTATTTCTGTAACACACTTCTACATTCGAACTGTATAAATTATTTTTTAATTATCCGTACGTCAGATTTATGAATACTGATAAAATTTTAAGCGTACCTACCCTAAGTTATCATGGAAATGTAGAACGCCAACCATCATTGTATGTACATACCTGTCGATTTTTTTTTATATTTCTCCCTTTAAAAACTTGACGACGTCATCTCACAGATTTACTGAATAGCTATATCTATTGCACAACTGTGCCCATTCGGTTTTTGGTTTTATGTTATGCTAGGACGAGTAAAATTAAGTATTAATGAATTGTGGGCTTTTTTAATATCGACCTTACCTTTTAGTGTACAATTTTTAAAAAATTATAAACCAAAATACACAGTGCGATCTAAAATCACGTGGATAAAGTCACTTATTTGCCTCATGGTTTTCTTATACCTAATACTACTATCGGTTAATGATATATTTATTTTTCTCCTATAGATAATCGTTCATGATTAAAATTACTTTTTAGATAAGATAATCAAAAACAGGTAGCGTTTATTATTATTATTATTATTAGATTTGAATTAGAATACTTTTCGGTTACCTGTAAAATATTTTTGAACTAAACAACTAACTAAATGATATCTAATCATTTAGAAATACTAATTCATAAATACCCAAGCACTAAAGAATAAGGGGAGGATTTTAATACGTCCATTTTGACAAATGTCTAATTTCATGTTTTATTAGCGTTTTATAGGTCGTAAAATACGAAACTATTTGTTAGTGATTTTATTATTAGATAAATAGCCTCTGAGACTACCCAACCTATTACACTAAAGTTTTAAGTAGATCTTGTGTAATTAAACTTGAGCCCTGTCGCTAGCTTTGGCGCTTTTGGAGTTTTCAATACGTTTTGAAAATGTAATCTCTCGCGTGGTACAATATCTCCATTATTAACATATTATTGTTACTGATTTCAACTTTCTCTTTATAAATAACACAGGGGCAGTTTTTTATCAGTTTATCATTATCATTCTTTTTAAATTTTTGGTGAAATTTTTCATGGCGTATTTTTAAAAATCAGTATCTCACTTATTACCAATTTATGAAAATTTCAGAACACGCTTTCCACCACTGTTGTCAGCTTACCAACTTCTAAAAATCACAGAAAAAACATTGTCGATCTTTTTTATTGGAAATAAACGTATTCCCAAGCGCATGCTAAGTAAATATTGTAGGGTCCATACAGTGAATGGCGACTTTCATGTTTCCCGACATCTCATAACTCCTACAGAACAAAAACATAGGTCTCCCCTTTCTGGCTGCCTATTTGTCGGTCTGGCTGTGTCTATTTAGTTTTATTAGGTACATAATCTCCGAAACTACCGGACCGGTTGTTGTCAAATTTTATATGTGTATTAGGAATAGTATGTATTTTGTGTGATCATCCCCACTAACAATGCGATGACCTCACCTCAAAATAATAAATATTATATTAATTTTGTAAAATAACATACTCCTCCAATGTAATTCTTTATTTTTTGAAAATTACAGCATTAGATGGGACAACAGTTTTCAGAATCAACACGTGCTTTTTTCTTGATGCTTTCTACATCCACTATACATCTAACAGAAGGACCTCCGATATTACAATATTCGGTACAGTACATTCCCGGTGGTGATAAATTTTGCCAGCGATTTTCTTCAGGTAACGAATCCTCGAATTCAATGCAAAGATCTTCCAAATATGGATACAAATATGAAAATGTTTGTTTCACGTAATAATCCTGATATTCCGACTGCATACCACTGTAAAAAATAACTTTATAAATAGTTTGCTTATGAATGGTCAACGTCAAATAAAAAAGTCGTCTAGCAACCTTTGAAATTTAATGTTAAAAAAATTATAATACCAACACCAACGTGTTCCTTGTTCCGTTTAGCAGTTAAATCAATCAAATAACGTGTCAAATAGCTGTAATGCGAACATGATTATTTTAAAAATAAATTTCAAGGGCTTATTTTTGTGTCCCGAAAGTAATAAGCTGGGGAAGTATTGTAACAGCCGGGTGAACAGGTACAGTCGCGGACAGTGAATTTCGTCCACACAATTCACGCGAATTCACAAAAATTCACTGTAGTCGGTGCTTTATTGTCATGATGACTGACGTAAGTATTGTCAAATTTAATTTAGCTGCGAACCTGCCATCGATTAGTTATTTTAATGAAGGTAAACTAATATCCCTTTTCCAAGACGGGATGTCGCTACACTTTTGGGCTTATCGCGGATGAGTGTTAGTTATCATATAAAAAAATGTTTGCCCCTTTATGTCAAAATGACAAAAAAAGGTTAGAAAGATCTAAGGGCTAATTTAGAGTTTTTTTCTGTCAAAGAAATTGGGTGGACGAAATTCACTGTCCACGACCGTACTAGGTTTCCGTCTGTACTCAGTTAATGATTTTATTTTAGATGTATTTTTGGAATATAAAATTACTTTTATATGTTTACCTACTCAACAAAAGACAAAACAGTAACCTCGATATAAAATCATACTTACAAATGAGATACACGTTCTGTAGATTTTGCCAGCAGTCTTTCATTTCTGAAAGTTCGAATACTATTGGAGTTGGGGGATTAACGAGTAACTAAGACAAAAATCACACAATTTTAAGTTATAAAAAGTGTAATTTAAAACCAACTTTGACAATCTGGTGTGAGATTTGACAACCACAGTCAGCGCAATAACATTTTCTTGACTGAAGTTGAATGCAACTAGAGACAAAAGTTCTATTGTGTATGCAACTCTAAACATAGAATTCAATTTTCCCCTTGTCGACGAAAGAAATAATTTTTTGGCCCATTGCGTGACTGTCGCTCGAACTTCATCAAATTACAAAAATGTTTTTCCTTTAAAGCTTTTCATCAATTTCAGTCAAGTCCGATAGAAACAGATATATCGGGCCTTAATGCGCCGATCAATTATGCGTTACCACGATGAAAAAAAAAAACGTTCGTTTTTCGACCCAATGTTTCAGATTTGTGAATTAATCGCATCCAGAATGTCAGCATGTAGTCGCATTACTTTAATTAATTTTTTATAATAATATCCAAATAGTAATATATAAAAATTTTCTAGTATAACTTTCTTGTGATAAACGAAACCAATTCCTTTGTTTCTATTTTATTTGTAAGTTCTTTAGTTTTAGCATCTCTTGTAATTCGATTGTATTGTATACTGATTTTATTACTTTTATTTTGTAAAATGTTATTTTTGTTATCAGAATTAATCTATCTTTTTGGACGTTTCATAGTTTTTTGTAAATCCTTTTATTTTACAAGCAACTTTACCTTTGTTAGTCTTATAACAATAACTCTTTGGTCCTGTTGATATCCAATCAATAATAATCCATAAGCCCTTACCATTAACAGCGGCGCGAAATCACATTTGAATAATTTGAATTTGAAGGAAAAAAATTCAATAAAAAAAAATCGTTAAAAAATAGGTAATCATATATGCACGTAGCGTTTGGGGTAGTTCTGCATGTTTTTGTTAGAGGGCGGTAGTCGGGTTGGTAGAGGTGAGCGGCAAGTTGAACGCATGGGGGGAGGCCATTATGTTTCTGTTCGGTGTAGTGGATGCATGGTGAAAAGACGCTGTAAGTAGCTAGGTTTAAATTAGCTTTGGTAGTTAATAAAAGGGAGGAAGCCTTTGTTTAACGGCAATTAATCGTAACGCCGACGGCGCCCAGTTTTCCCAATCTGCTCGGCTAATTCTTGCGGCTTTTTAATCTGAAAAGTGTTAATTTTCGGAACCAATGCGGACCACGTGGTGTAGATTTGTTTTATTGTTTGTAAATTCACCAATCAAGTTAGTCTTTTTAATCGTCAGCTAGTGCTAACACTTGCTAGAAGATTTCATGAAATTCACTTAGTCAGGATAACACCTTTGTTGTTTAATTACAAATAAGTTTCTGGATGCATATACGTAAGTGTTACATTATAACACTTTATAATTCTTCACACAAGATTGCTAATAGTTTATTTTTGGCACTTAAACTAACTAATTCATACCGCGAACTGACGGGGGGGTCCCTTAGGCGGTTATCATCGTTATCATGATTACATCATCGAGGCATGTCCTCACAACGCTAAAGATTGATTACTTTATCGAGGCATGTCCTCGCAACGCTAAAATTTACATTACCGAGCGTTATTCCTTGCAACGCTAAAATATACATCACCGAGACGATGACTGGATATTTTTGTGTTTATTTATTATATGTTTTGTTGGGGTAACCAGTTCGCGGTATTTTAAACTCTCAAAGCAAATTGTTTTTAAGTAACCAATCACTTGGATTATGACATAATGTAAACTCTCGTTGATAAAGTGTGGGAAATATTAATCTCATGTAAATTCTGTTAACTTTGCAATTTTTCACCTTATACAATATTTCTCTATCTCACAATTTTAACTTCTTGTAATTTTCTTGGTTGTACAATTTTAATTGAACGTATCTTTTGTTTTATAAATCTTTGCTAGTTTTGTTTTGTAAATATTTTGTTGATTAATGTTTCCATCGTATAAATTATTTGATGTCCAATTTCAATCATTATTTGTTGTTTAAAATTTCACAAGATTGTATGGCGAATTTAAATGTTGTTTATTGCTCTTTGATACTTTAATACTTGTTCAGTTGTTGTTAATATCAGAGTTATAAGGAATTGAACATTTAAAAGAAGCGTAAGGCGCGGCTCCTAGTGGGGGCTAGCGGGATTTATCGCACCATCTACACAAGGGGTGCAGGCTTTGTATAGAGTCAGTGGGAACGGTCTGGACGATGTGACGCTGTCAGCCTTGACATCCAACCAATAGTTTTCGACCGTAACGGCCTAGTTAGGATGGCGTGTTCGTCATGGAGATGTGCTGTGCGGTAGGCTTACCGATAGATAGAATAACCGTTCCGGGGGAGACCAGCCCGGACCGGGAGCCCCAAACTCCGCTTGTGCTAGAACGCCCCAGGGGTATTTTTGCTGTGCTCCTGTTAACTACCGTAACTTTAAATTTGACGCCACACGCCCGTAAAAACTTGTGTATTTGCATCCAGCTACTATAATTCAAATTTTGCTTTGTTTTATTAAATTTGTGATATTCAAATATTTGCATTGATTCAAAATATTAGCGTAGGGCTTTTGTATTTGTTCGGTTTCCCATATGTGTATGTCTGTCAATTCGCGGTTGTCTTTTCTTTCATATTTCAATGTGTATCATTTGCGATGTATTATATGTCGGTGAATAGATCATAGGAGGTTTTTGGGGCTGAGGAGTGAATGCTCGCAGCTTCTTTCCTCCTGAGAGGGGTGCGCTTTTCGCCCCTTCCCAAAAATTTTGTCTATTATTTCTTGCGCTCTCGACTCACACGCAATGTATGCTCACTTGTATGAAAGAACGTCTTCCCGCCGACGCGGCCAGAAAAGAACTTCACTTGAAAATTATCTTTTGAACCGTGAGGGTGTAACAAGAGAAAAAGCATGAAACCTTTTGTAGAAGTTAGGGTGCAGAGCTCAGACCGACCGCCGTAAACCGTCAGTACCGTTTTGGGTCTTCTGCCCCTACCACCGTCTTCTCGTTTTTTTGTTGAACACGCGCAAGAAGCTTCGTTGAGCGCCAAGACGACGCCACCGTCCGTATTATTTCTTGTTGTCGCGGGCACTCACGAGACCACCTGGAGATCCGTGTTTCCGGCTTTAGAGCCACCCCGGTGCTCCCTCCCCGAAGAGGGATCTAGCGCCCGAGCACCGCCGCTCCTGATTTAAAGCACCATCCTCTATGGCGTGAAGGTGACCATATAGCCTAGGTTGGCTAGACGTGTTTGTTTTTAACGCCACTAGTCGGCCCAGGGCTTGGCACCGAGGTACGCCACCTCTACGCGATATTGGCAAAACTCCGGACCTTCACCGACCCGCTGCTCCCCGAGTAGGGACCTAAAGTGAGTCACCCCCGACCGTTCGCCGCCACCAGCTACGTTTATCGTCCGCTATCAGCGTGACACCGTCGTTTTTGTGCCGACAGAACTTGTGAAGTCCCAGGATGGGCAAAGAGGACCAAGTTCGGCCGTATCCAGCTCCGCTCGCCACATGGGAGCACCAGCTGCAGCGGATGTATCAATAAAATATGTAGAACCTCTAAAGGCCCAACCCTTTAAAGACTCGAGATTTGTTTCCGCATATTTTTTAAATTTCTTACGACTTTTACGCCTTGTACTGGCACTTCTACCAAACATTCTTACTGGCACTTCTACCAAACATTCTTCTTCAAATTTATCTATAAATTTTCGTAAGTGTACTTTCTGGAAGGTTTTTAGGTACTCCCAATTTGCATTTCTCTAAAAGTTAACAATGGAAATTTATATTAAATAATGGAATCAACAACAATGCATATCATATTAACTTACAATTTCCGCTCCTAATCCCTCTTTCAACTGTTCATGTTTCATCGTCTTTTTCTTTTAACAATTGCAAATAGAATAACTTGTACTCTAGTAACGCGTTCTTGTGCTTTAGTTTCTTTTTCCGCAATTGAGCTCTGAGTCCACACCTTTTAAGTTCTGGTGTCATCTGAGAGTCAAATGACATGTAACACTTTTCCTTACTTTAAATTAACCCAACTTTTTTAACGCAATGGTGAACACAACTAGACTAGACTTAAGTCCTCACTACTTAGGAGCGCTTGGGAAACTCAACTCAACTGGCGGTCCTGTGCAAATCACAGCTGTCATCCGTAGGGTTGTGGAGGTGCCTCAACACCAAATTCAATTTGAACAAAAAAAAAAGTCATAAATTAAAACGGTATTAAGAAATTAAAAATGTAATATAAATAGGTTGTACAGTTGGTTGCATACCATTCAAATAAAAAACTTTCTTTAATAAAAATTCAATTATTGGATCGATAGATAGAAAAACTGTTTTGTGTTAATGGGTTTCTAAGTTCTAAAATTATTTTTTTCTGTCTGAACGACACGTTCCGAAAATTTAAAAGGTTCAAATAATTTTTATTATTAGGTACCTATTGATATTTTTTGTCTATAATTCGTTTAATATACCTTTAAAAACAGAACAGAAGCCTTTAAAAAGTGTTGTGTGTTAAAGGGGCCCATATAGAACAGACTTAAAAATACCTTGAAAAAGTGATTGTTCGTAACAGGCCCATTTAGTAGTTTTAATAGTTAGGATCTTTCTGTAGAGATTCAGGTTTAACATGTGTTTTTTTAACTCCGAAAAATTAACAAATTATTGGAATAACCGTTGTAATAACAATTATAAATTACGCAATCGGACTCTTGGGGTATACTTGGAATAAAACGATGATATTTTCCTGTGGAAGTTAGATGTTTTTTAGCTGTATTTTGAAATCTCATACAACATGACGACCGCGAACAAGTTATATTTGGGTGCTTAGATACTACCCGTCGTCAAAACAGGACATGTAATTTTTTTCCGACTGCAATACCGCGAATTATTCATTTGCAACGTATTTATTTTTTTTGCACGCGATTTACAATGTCTGATACCAAAAATTTCGATGGAGTTTTGAATACTTCGGAAACAAATGCGGAGCAAAGGGATTCGAAAGTAAACGCTGAAAATGGAGTCTCATCTGCTAGGCCATCCATGGTCTCATCTGCGGAACAAAGCGCAGAAGTTCCTGCATCAGCTAAGCAGTCTATAGCTTCAAACATGGATGAAAAAACTATTGCATCGGAAACAACTGGAATTAATCCCGAAGCGAATATTAGAGAATCTGTTATATTGTCCCCTAAGATACCACAAAGTCTTTCCAGTTCTCCAGGCCAGTCATTTGGCACCGCAAAGTCTCATACAGAATCTCAACTTCCAGGGGGTATTAAGGTTTGAAAGTTTGATTTAATTTTGATTTAATAAAAAATTTAGATGACAGAGCTCGAAAATCAGTCAGTTTAAGATCTGCAGTTACGGAAGGAAGTGCGAGTGCATTTAGTGGTTTTTCCGGTACTAGTAAAATTTAACTTTTGCACAAATTAATGTCGATAATACCAGGTACGAGAAGCCTTACTCTGGAAAAAAGTAGTGTGGGGTCAATTCCCAGCAGTGGTAGCAGAGCATGGTCCGCGGGACGCTGTAAGATTTTTTTTGTTTCATTTATTAGTACGCTAGTTAACTTTATTAGTTGACAATGACTTACTAGATAAGTAATTTAATTTAAATATTTTCAGCTATAGAGCGAAGAAGTAATGCAAGTGCTTCTTCAAGAGTTAGCGCAGAAAATTCCAAAAATCATTTAGACGGTATAAATTTTATTTTTCTTTAAAAGAATGTTTTCCTTATTCCTGTTTAGACCTTAATAGCACTGACTTAATCGCAACTGTAGAACAGCTGCAAAAAAATGTTAAACATCTTGAATTAGAAAATATAGTATTTCTTCATTTTTTGGAAAAGAACGACCCCGATTTAGCTGCAGGTAGTTAAATTTTGCATAAATGTTTTGTTGGTTTTGACACAATGTTGAATTTACAGGGCTAGACACAGCTGTAAAATTTGAGCAAGTAGCACAGGAACGAGCTTCAATTTCAGCGCGAAAACTCACACTATCAAGACCCTCAAGACGAGAATCCCTGTTTTTCGGATCTACTACTAGTCTCGTATCACCATCAGGGGTTGGAGTACAAGAAAAAGAAGGCCCAAAGTAAGTTTCAACATAATATGCATTTAATCATCACCTGACAGAAACTGACAATTATCATTTACATATTCTATAACTAAATTTTCTCCATCTATAATTACACTCTTAGCAATAAGTTCATCAAGGATTTCTGCAACATTTACTGTGACAATTGCACCACTTTCTTTTTTAAATAATCTTAATTTCTTACAAGAGCTTTTATTATTGTCATTTTGTAATTTCAATTCATTGGCAATGGCATCAATAGCACGACCTACACTCCATAGTTTTGACACAAATAACGGAACATCTTGTTGATGGCCAAGATAACTAACACTGAAATACAATCTATCAGTAGTAGGTATTGTATTGAGACCTTTAGCTTTATTTTTAATTTTCATCAGTTGCACTTTATTAGCTAAATTGCTCTTTTTTGCCTTTTTTTTTGCTTCCAACAAATTCTGTTCCACTTGCTTATCTACCACAAGTTTAGCTTCATTAAACTGTCTAATTGGGGCAGCTATTTTTTCTTTTTCTTGGGCAATAGTTTCTGCACTTTTCTCATGACACTGTGTGAGGTGGCGATGTTTTACACAAAAATGTGTATGACATTTTTGACAAAGCATTTCAATAAGAGAGGTATCATTGCACCCAACATGGGCACATGTGTAAACATTACTGATTTTTTGTGGTTCTGCCTGCAAAGTGATGCAACTCTCACAGACTTCAACATGTATGTTTAAATGTATTGAACAAAACAGTTTCCCACATTTACACTGTAGTGGTAAAAAATCTAACTGCTTACAGTCCTTATGTGAACAATGCTGACCCAAGTTTGGCAATTCCATTATTGATGTTCACTTAAGGCACTAAGGGCGATATCAGTCCACTTTTGTTCCTGTTCTTTAAGGGTTAAATGAATGTCACCGGAGTCGGCTTCGGGATCAGCCAATTCGTAAATTGGTACAGTGATGTCGTCTTGTGGTAATTTATCGGAACGCCACTTATCGTCAATTAAATCGACAAAGTAACCATCGACAGACACTGAACTATCCATTACTAAAATATTAGGTTATGTTAATTAAGATAGAAACGGATTGTGTAGTTGTATACAATACCTTATGAAATATAAAAAGGCACAACAAGCAAATGTTGAAAACAATCATAAAAAGGACTTGTTCAAAAATATAGCGTTTTAAAAATGAAAATCACGGTGTTGCAAATATCTCTGGTTGCAACCTCGACTTAAACAACAGAAAGAAGATGGCAGCAGTGTTGCTCCGAATGGAATTTCGGTAGATATCGTAACATTTCGGTAAATTTAAATTTGCCTTGCTTAAGCTTCAAAAGCTTTTGTTTTTACTTTATTTTAAACAAGTTAAAAAAAAAAAGAAGTTGAAAAATCAGCTTGGTTAAAAAAATTCGAATTTTTGCTATACTGCATAAATATTGTTTAAAATTGTCATTATTAAATGTTCGCTAATAAAGCCACACATTTCTAATTACATTCATTAATTTTATATTTACAGAAAAAAAATACTTTAAGCCCATCCGTTAGCTGAACTACTACTCTTTTTAGGGTTAACATAACACAAAAAACGGATATGGTTTTAAAAGAGATAGACCTTATTGAGGAGTCATTGGCCCAAGTGAATAAAAAATGCCATAAAATACGACATAAGTTGAAGGCAGAATTAGAAGAAATGAATATTAGAGAAAGCGAAATTAAGGAAACAATGCAAACCTTTGAAGATGTTTTTATCAATGGAATAGTTGATAAGTATCCTCAAAAAAATCCAGCCGACAGGTTTGCGAGGTGAGTATTTATATTTTACGAATACCATATGATCGGAAAAAAGTCCTCTTATTGTGGACTATGAAATTTATTTTTAAATTAATGTTGACAGTGCAGATGTATAACTGTCATACGGAACAAGGAATTATTTTAAAAATAAATTTCATGGCTTACGAGAACATTTTTTTTTTCATTCATATGGGACTTATCTGCTACTTACTAAAATTTTTATCGTTCGTTAACAAACGCGCAATTCCAGAACAGAACTTCCTCCTGTACGTAAGATGATAGGTACCACATAAAAGTTTTCTTCCGTTTCGTTCAAAATTATTCCTAATATTTTTTCGCAAAACTTACATCAAATATAATAAACAAACAATCGGTCGTAACAACCATTATAAAATCTCTGGGTGTTGATGAGTTGGATCAAATTACATATTATATAATAATTGTTTTCCGTATAGATTTATGGAAGAAAATTTTAAACAAAGTCGAACGATAACAGATAAGCTGCGATTGAGAACCAGTTCCTTGAAGGTTCAGTACCACAAGATTTGTAGTCAGCTAACCCAAAAAAAGTTACTTGGAGAAAATTTACAAGAAGTAGATTTTGACCAACTCCAGATTTCCAATACACGCTTAGTGGAAAAGATAGAGAAAAGAAATTTGCTTCTTTTGGAACTCAAAAAAATGCATGGTCACGCCAACTTGTTGCTTAGCCGCACTAAAAAGATTTTATTAAAAAAACTGAATGATTTAAAAGATATCAAAGACACAATAGCATTCAGAGAAGTTATGATCGTTAAATTGGACGATGAATCCGAAAAAGTTGCTGCTGAATTGGAAGAAACTAAAACGGAATATGAAAAAATCAAGGAAAAAAGTGAAAATTATCGAGTTAATTCTTAAAATCTTTTGGTGAATAAAACTTTATCTGTTATTATATTCTAGGTACCACCTGTCTTAGACTATGTAAAAGCAAAAGCTGAACTAGATGTGCTCAAGAAAAACTTGAAAATTTGGGCTAGACGAAAACAAATTAAAGACGTAAGTACTTTTTACTTTTGTGTCACAACTGACATTTTTTTTAGATGGCATTAAATGCCTCTATTAGAGAAATGAAATTTACTACTGGGCTAGTGAGGCCAAAGTCATCGTGGTTTATGTAGGTTTTGAGTCGGAAATGATAGCATAAATAAAAGATTTAACGGATTTTACAGAACTCCTGAGGGTGGCGTTGGCTCTCAAGATGAATTTGAATTTATGTTTCAAAAGCAGAAACAAGTAAGAGCGGTCAGGAAAAAGCGACCTCGTAGGAAATAGCGATTTGCTCTTCGAAGATTTAGAAATAAAAACATTTCCGAATAGTAGATTCTTTTAATTTGGTTATTAAATTACTAAAACTGTTATAAGTACTTCATACAATGTTTTTAAAAACATATAAATAAGCAGGTACCTATGTATTCTTATTTGTATTGCCTATTTATCATAAAATCTTATGCACGTTAGTCAATTCAAAGACAGTATACAAATGAAAATACTAAGTACAAAAGAGCAGACTCTTCGTTTTAATAACAATAATAATAATTTACTTTTAAATGGTCCAGTACCTGATTGTTAAAATTCGAAAAGCTGATGTTATGTTTGAACAAAACTATGTAATGGACATTGTTAGTAAGTTTCTCAAATAGTCTGATCATGTTCATCAGGTGGCACATGGATAAATGATCCGTAGTTATGCGGGGCCCAAGAGGGTGTATGCTGTATTTCTATAAGATCTCAAAAGTCGTTTTCATTTTGTGATAAAATATGTGATTATTGAATTTCCAAACTTGTGTTTGATAAATAATAATAATAAAAATATATATGTATTATCTCATAATAAGTAGTAACACATGTTTTCTTAGAAACCGTTTATTTTAAATTTCTCATCATTAAGATTACATCTAATTATTTATCTAATTAAATATACATAAAATATAGGTATTATCAATATAGCTAAAATAATCTAACAAGGAGCTACTTTCTGTATTTTTTCAAAACTTAGTCAACTTTTCATAGCATTTTAATAAGTGTTGTAGTCAGTGTAGTACAGAGGCGTGTTGACTGCCGTTTGAGTTTGGCGGGAAAATTTCCCAGTGACTTCAGGGCTACAGCCGTGCTTCAGGGGCACCAAATCACTACTGTCAATAAACTGTTACTGTTCCCCTGATCAAACAAGCATGGTTTCGAATTCATAACCTAACTAAGCAAAACCGTAGTAGCATTAAAACTATTTATATTAATAAATATTAATAATGGATTATGCTATTGGAAGTTTATCGGATTTAATAACGGGTAAAGTTACTCCTAACAAACGTAAAGTGGTGAAAAAACAGATTGAGTCGCAAAACATTGAAGAAAATATTCCTTCAGAAAATGCGAACGGCAGTGCCAGAAGGAAGAAAATTAAACGCTTGCCCCAACACACAACAGATGAAAGTCAAGGTTTAGATAGTTTGGTAGAAAATTCTAACACGTCAGGATTAGAAGAAGATGAACCTGTTAAAAAGAAGAGTAAAAATGCGAAGAACGCAGAAAAAAGATTGTCATCAAAAAACAAGCCAAAAAAGCAGGAAGAAGATCCTGAACTACGTTCCAGAACCGTTTTTGTGGGGAACTTGCCCATATCTGTGACTCCAAAAAAATTTAAAAAATTGTTTACGAAATATGGCCAAGTTGAATCTGTTCGTATCAGAGGAGTTCCTGTTGCAGACCCTAAAACTCCCAAAAAAGTTGCGATTATAAAAAAAGAGTTCCATCCAGATAGAAAAAGTTTTCATGGATATGTAAGGTAGTAATTGTAGAATATTGCATGTGTGCAAGTGGATATAATTGATTGTTTCAGATTTCAGGAACGTGAAGGTGCAGTTAAAGCTACAGCAATAGATGGTATCTTGTATCAAGACCATCACTTAAGGGTACATTTATGTGATGTAACAGATAAACCTGCAGAGGACAAGGCTATATTTGTTGGAAATTTGAGTTTTTGTAAGTGTTGTTGCATTATTTGGACTGCTTTAATGATTGTTTTCTTTCTGTTTAGATGCTGAGGAAGATGATTTATGGAAAACTTTTGAATCTTGTGGACCTATTTTGTCTGTACGTATTGTGAGAGATCCACGAACAGGAATGGGAAAAGGATTTGGATATGTTAATTTTCAGAACTCAGATTCTGTTACACTTGCGTTAGAAATGGAGAACGTTAAACTAAAAGACAGAGAATTAAGAGTTAAAATTTGTAATATTAATGGCGCTAAAAAGAATAGCAAGAAAAATAAAGGAAAAAAGGTTAGTGCACTTCAATCTTGAATTTTTTATAATTTGTCTTTTTAGATAAATCCAAGAAAACGGAATCAACAAAAAGCAACAAAATCTGAAGCTACAACTCAAATTGCAAATACACAGGAAGAAAAACCACAGATTATTCAAACAGAAAATGCATCTTTTCAAGGAGTAAAATTTGCAGCAAAAAAGGTAGTCCATCAAATTCTATTTCACTTAATTTTTAAATATTTATTTTTTAGAAAAACAAGTTGAACAAAGGTTTACTCGAGAAGAGAAAGAAGATAAAACAGATTGCACCTAAATAAGTAAATATTTTGGTTGTGTATTTTATTCTGAAAAAAAAAATTATAACACAAATTCATGTAATAATTCTGTTTAATTTTTCTTGAACATTTTCAGGAAACATACTAATACAGTCCTTTGCACAAAAGATGCAGTATGTACCATCATAATATATGCTACAACTGCTATCTTTACAAACACTTTTCCCACATTTTACACAATGAGATCCTAAAATAATAAATTCATTTTGTTTTGGTGGAACAAATGGATCTTCTATAATGTACGCATTTTCCAATAATTTGTAATGTTTTGTGTAAGGTGGATCCTTCCCAAAGTAATCATAACATTCACATAAGGCACAGTTTTCACAACGAAAATACTTTACTTCAGGTTTACTCTCAGTGGTAGCTGGTTGGTCTTTACTGTCTGTCTGTACATCATGTATTACTTGTGTGTCCTGTGACGTGGAAGGTTTAGAATCTTCACAGTCAAATTTTACTGGTTCCATTTTATTATTCACTACAAGCTGCCTTAAACTGCAGTACTATTTTATTGTAATTTAGAGATATTAATTTTTTCTTTTGGTGCTTCAACAGGCCACCAATTAGGTCTTGAAACTACACCAATCCCATCTCCTAATTTAATTTCTTTAATGGCTAAAACATTACTAACCCTCAGTACACCTAATCCAACGTCTTTTTCCACTCCTCTCAACTTTCCTAAATTCACTTTATCTTGGACAATCCTTTTATCAGGTACTTTTAAAGGAATCTTAGTAAAATGAATAGGCATTAATCGTTTTCTAACAACCCCAGTGTGATGAATTCGCGCTGTTAATTCTTGACCAATATAACACCCTTTGTGAAAACTAACACCATGCAAATAATCACAGTTACACTCCAGAGGAAAGCAATCGCCGACAGGCAAGTCTTCTACTCCTTCTCCCACTCCCAAACTATATCGTAACCAGCGATAGTTCACTCCACTTGTGTTTTCTTCCAAATTGATGACCTTACTTAATTTCTCAAATACATTTACATCAGTTTTTGCAATAACTCGTGATCCTAAATGAGTGATTCTTGGATCTCGAAAAATATTAATATCTTGATCACTTTTAAACAGTGCTGTGGGTTGTGATTTATTTAATTCCTGGCAGGGCGCTATAGAACCACCTGAAAGTTGTGAGTTATCACTAGTTGTATTTATTTTATCATTACTAAACACAGCGTAAATTTTTAATTCATCTGCTAAGCTTGTAACATCAATTTTGCGTCTAACTTTATGTATCTTCAAGTGTTTTTGTAAAGTCTCTGATATTGACTTGTCACATTCAACAAAGTATGTATTTTCTTCCGAATTTCGATATATAATTGTATCATAAAGAACTCGACCAGCAGTATTTAAAAACATGGTGTACATGCTGCCAGGTCCAGAGCTAAGATGTTCAATATCATTAGTAATTAAACCTTGGAGGTAATTCGATACTTCTGGTCCGGACACACGTATCAATGTTCTGTTATTCAGGTGTTCCACAATATTACTCGGTGACGTAGATACAAATCGATAGAATGAGATATTAGCAAAACACTTAAGTTTTAACATGTTTAAAGAAACTTAACCTACAATAACGATGTGATTTTATATTTATATATGAGTTTTTTGCAATTACCTCAACTTTTTGGCTTGGTGTTTCGTTACTTATTTTGTTCTATTAGTGTCTACAAGATGAACCGAGTCTTTTGTGATCTTGTGTGGAAACAGAAGATAGGTTATGAACACTCATTACCGCACAAATGTCAAACACGTCAATGTCAAATTTTGACGTATTATCCCGCCAATTTAAAATAAAATATTCGTTTATTTATTTACTGATAAAGTGTTTTTGAAACTGATCTAGGTATAGTCTTGTAAAAGAACCAGAAGAAAATGGAAGAAAATGATTAATTTAAACATTTCATTATTAATATGACTTGATTAGGCTAAACAGAGATATACGAGTATGTATAAATATCTTCTTAAATTATTAATACTTTATTTTTATTAATTATTGCAGTTTCTGAGGCTAGAACTCTAGAATATTACGATGAATGAAAATTTTGAGTATTCTGATACCAATCGTTCACAAGATACTTTTACTGGCAATATGGAATGTTGGTTGTCTATACCTAATAAAGATACTGAAAATTGACCACATCATCAGAACTATTTATTGTTACGCTCAACTGGAAAAAAAGAGCTCGCCGAAGTTCCATACGAAATATTAGAATCAGTGATAAACTTGATTGCATATTTACGTTGTTTCTTGAATGTGTTTTATCTTGAAATAAGAGTGTTTAACAAAATTTATATATTACAAAAATGTCTTCATATATTTGGCTAATTTACGTCACTGATATTAAAAGAATTACACTACATCTGCAAAACACAGCTTAATCATTTGTAGGTATTAAAACATTTGAGAAGTGAAAAAAAAAGCACCGATCAGTATTTTGCTCATATGTACATATAATATTGTAGAATTAGTTAGTAGTGTTAGATATATGGTTTTGCTTAATTGGTGCCTGGCATCTGCATCATTAATTCTTATGGTGTCCGGTAACTGTTCAAAAAGAACACAGTTTTTCCATTTGCTATTTTATTTTAACGTAGTTTTGCTATCGCGTGACCGGCAGCACAATTGTAGAAGTTCGTCGCAAGCAGTGGCCTGTACATACAGGTACCTTTTCCCATTGTTCAAATCTAGGTATGTTACAATAGTTGAAATCCATCAAATACACCAAAATGCAGAGCAACGACTGAGTAAATACTATTTGGTTAATTAATGTTGTGTAATTTCTAAGATATTTACTGGAAAACTTAAAAAACTAAACCACAGGTAAAAAACTACGTTACAGTGTAAATTTCAATGGAAATTTACATAACGAAATTTAGAAACAATGTCGTAGAAAAATTTTCCGACCGTCGCCGTCGGGATGCCACAGACAGACCACATACCACAAGCATATAGATAAACAAACGGAAATATGAAGCTTGTCATGTCGTACTTTATGAACAGTAAAATCGATGCCTATGTTAGGTGTTTCTCAGTGTAGTAATTTAAAATAGAGTTGATCTTGAGTCTTCATAGACTTAAAAACTGTAAGTTAATTTACGTTTATAATATTGGTATATGGAGATTTTTTCTTACATTCATATATGTAGCTAAAAATGTACTTTTCTATTTTCATCATAGTAACACGTTAGTAACAACATAGTTTGTTTGATATGTAAATCCCTAGTTACAAACATTGTTACGTTATGAATGAAACTCTTATTAATAGTATAAATACTTATTACTAAGTAATAACAGTTTGGAGAAATCACTAAAATTTTTATATCCTGTTAAAAATGAATTCTTTCTTGGCTAAAAAAAGTTGTGAAGTCATTTGTTTTACTTTTATGTTATTTTTCTGTTCTGTAAAAAACCCAAAATTGTTGTCAGACAAATAAAATATTTAGGCGCGTCTAATCCTGTAAATTCTTTCCATTTGATGAAATACATATAAATCTTTGACAGTGATATCATGGTTACTTTTTTTTAAATAATTCTTGAAGATACTGTCTATATTAAGTATATTGTTTTTGTTCAGATTAATTAAGACTAATTTATGTAGATTTGTGAATGCCTTGATTTCAATAAATTCGATTTGATTTTCAGGTAGAATTAAGGCAGATAATAATTTTTGCATATCTTTTAATGTATTTTCAGCAATCGTTTGAACATTGCTTAAAGTAATCCATAATTGTTCTATTTGGTTTAGATATGCAAAGACGGTTGATTGTTCCATACCAGTCTCAAATATACCTACATTGTTCTAAATACAAAATTTTAAGGAAATTTAACTTTTTAAATTGGTTTCTTCCACTCTTCTGACAACGATATTTGTCACGGAGAGTTCCATTAGTTTAAATTGATTGTCTAGAGAGTTTTCATTAATTTTTGTCAGTTTGTCAGTCAATATATTTTTTATTGAAGCTATGATTTAACAACTAAATGACAAACTTCAATAACACTCGTAAGTTATAAGTTCTACTTTTTTTTTTTAAATAAAACCAATGCCTATTTTATTTATCAAGAGGTTTGCTATTCCTTCAGAAGAATTAATTAGATCCACTTTGGCAACGTTTATAAAAGTGACTCCATTACTTCTAAGCATGTTATAAAACAAAAGACGATAATCAACAACCAATAATAAATACAAAAATTATTTTGAATTTTTTAGAAAAGTAAGGTAAAAATTTTAAAATCCACATCTTTGACACAGCGCTTGAGCTTAAAAATTCGTGACTGGAAGTTTTAACTCTTATCAATTATCTCTGTTTCTCCAAAATAATTTGAGAGTAGGTATAACGTTGTCGCTGACTAATTTTAAAATTCACACCAATAAAAAAAAACGTTCGATGAAAATTTTAACACCTGTTTTGCGTTGGTAATAAATAAAGGTTTTTATATTCCGAGAGTAAGTTGAATATCAACTGATACTCCTATAAAATAGGAGTAACATGTTTTTTATTTCTTTTTTTATAGGAAATACTTACCTACTATGACAAAACTGTAATGAATATTGTTTTCAAACAATATATTTATTATAATAATTAGATGAGACATGGATTAAATATTAGAAGTCAACTTTTCAAATTTTATTACGCACATATACATTTTTTTCAGCTTTGAAATGTATATAGTGTACATTTATACAATCACAGAATTCGAGTACACACATTGTCATGTTAAGAGTTACAGTATTATTTACAATATAAGATTTTAGACAAAGAAAACAAATTTATGTTAAACTATAAACGCTTGAAACAAATTATTTAAATAAATACAATTTATAAAAATACTGTTATCTAGGCACTTGCGATGTTACAGAGATATAGAAAGTGGGGTACCGAAATTAACGATTCAGAACTTTTTTTATTCTCGATACATTAACATCTGTAAGATTTATGGAAAGAAGTTTTTCCGAAGAAAACTTATTCATATTAATGAAAAAATTAACTAAGAATCTATTTTTAATTTTCTTTGTTTTCTTTTGCTTCCCTTTACTTACGTCTGAAAGATTGATATTTTCATCCTGTTCCTTAGGAATCTTTTCATCGAAAATGAGCGAATTTTTAACAATACCCTTAGTTTTGTACAATATTTCAACAGTTTTCAAGAAAATTAAAGTATTTTTGCAGCCCACAATTTGAAAATTCTTTTTTAAGTTTTCCGAATTTTGTTGTAGATATGCTACTGAATTAATAATTGTCATTACAAACATTACTCCCACAAACACTCCAAAAACGAAAAGCAAATAGAAAAGTGGAGTCATTTCTTTTATATCAGTTAAAAAGTTGTTTGAGTAATTGATATGATCTTCTTCCCATATTAAGTAAAATATATGAAAAGTAGCACCAAAAAATACTATTAAAGTTAAAATATAGAACAAATACGTCACAAGATGAGTGACAATGTTAATTAATATGGCATGAACCTGTGGAAAGTTTGGATTGAATTGCCAGAATAACTGAAAAGAGACCGTCATAAATATCGTTGCTATTAAACCTAAATGATATTTAAGGATGTTACTTGTAAAAAAAAATGATACAAATATCAACGTCGCAACGAAGATATTTACAATTTCATAAAATTTGTTATTCAAACTGAAAGTTAACCAAATTCTAGCACCGTAGATAAAAGCTAAAGGTAGAGCTAAATAATTCAGCAAATTTAGATTAATGAAAGACAAAATGCTAATTATATAAAAGATTACGTGAAAAATAAACAGATATTTGTAAGTAGGTTCTGCGAGTTTCCATTTGATATTGATAAATGATGATATGAGCGGATGATTTAACAAATCATACAGCTTGGGCGAATTACATATTTTATCAACTATCGTAAGTTCTGAACTTACCCACGTGTCACTCATATCTATTAAGTTCCGATAATTTAGCGCCACCTCATACTTTCCGTTATTGATATGGTTATAACCATCTGGCAGTATACATTTGTTGAAGTAATTTTCTAAATCTTCAGAAGATATGTAGTCTAAGGGGCACTTTTTGGAATTGTTTTCAACAATTAGTGACGCACCTCTTTGAAGAAGAACTTGAATTGCCTCAGTACTTGACAAGATAATAGCATAGTGCAAAGGTGTATTTCCATTGTTGGACTTTAAATTCACATCCAAATTTTTATACTTCAGAATTTCATCAAAATATTTTCCTTTTATGTGTTTAGGGCGACCACGCAAAAATATTAGAAAAAGTGGTTCATCAATAACAATCTTGTTCGTATTCAGAATAGCTTCGAAAATTTCTGGATTATTTCTTCTTGCTGCTAATTCTAGAGGAGTCTTGGGATTCCTTTCTGTGGTCTTGCATACATCCACTCCCTTCTGGATTAAGAACTTAGCTGCTTCTTTCAAGTTTTTTTCACAACACAATTGTAAAAATGTGTTATTTCCGTCGTCGGCATCCAAAAGTTTTAACAGTTCTTTGGACTTCATGAAAGATTTCTCATCGTTATTTATTAAGAACTTAAATAACTTAACTTTGTCGTTCTCAACCGGAGATTTTTCTTTATAGTATTCCACATCATTAAATTGAAGTATTCTTAACAAGTCCTTTACACTTAAATCGGAGTTTTTCAGTTTTAATGACGCGATGTCAATTGTTCTTGTTTCAAGAAGTATTTCGATGCACATTTTTAAATTTCTTATTGCGAGGTCATCTTTTACAACTCTATTAACATGCCTGCTGTATGAAGTGACGAGGAAAGAAATGGGATTATGAGAAAAATAATCATTTCTGTTGACGTCTACTCCAGCATCTACCAATATTTTCATGCATTCCGGATATTTTTCGTCAGTAATGTCACCATATTTAATTAAAAACATAAGGGAAGTATCTCCTTCACGTACTTGATTAATCCCTTCAGGGTTTTGTTGAAGAATATTGTTAATGCAATACTTCAGTTTGTCTGTATCACACTTCGCAGCAGCAAAAAATAACAACTCGTTCACATTATCTTCTTCCATAAATAGCAGAAAACCACTGTCCATAACCATTTTAAGAGCCTCGTTGTTTTTGGGAATTCTTCTGGAGAATCTTATCCTTGGAATCAGCGGTAGAAAATTTATTAAACCAAAGTTGTACCGAAGAATTTCTTTATTTTTTAGAATAATCTGCTGAGCTTTCTCGAGTTCGCCTTTTTCTAGATGATCTAACACCAACTTTGTTTGTTGTCGGATGTGAATTTCTGTGGCTTGGGTCGACATGGTCTAGAAAAAAATGGGATATTTAGTTAAATTAACAATATTAAAATTGTAAAAATTACCTTTTTTAGTCGCACAGCAATAATAAATAAATAAATAAATAAATAAATACAATAGAAACGTTCTAATAGCCGATGTAGCTTTCACTGAGACGTTTTATTGCAAACGTTGTTTATATCTAAGGTAGACAAATTCCAAGATAACACATCAGTTTTCGGAAATCTGCGTCAAGACGATTGGTTTAGATAGTGGGACGATGATTAGTTATTTTTATGTACACAGTGTACTTATAAAATGAAAAACAGTTAGTGCCTATGGATAAATAACGACACAATACAAAAAATTATTCAAACATTTTCTAAAAGCAACCATTTGTAGTCTAATTTTTTATTGATTACTGAGGTTTCGAGAAATTGAATTATTACTCAGCAATCATTGTAATCGTACTGATAAGATTTTTTGTGTTTATTGTTCCCCAATTTCCTGAGAATACTACGTAATACCTACTCAAACGGAAAATCATGCACTAACGTCAATTCTTTTGAAGACTTTATTCTAAGCCTGTTTTCGATGAATATAATTTTTATGTATACTAAGTAAATATCAAAAGTATGAGTAATCTTATTGGAACTTTGTAATCCAATCATAGATGTTTTACCAAAACTGAAAGAAAATCAACGTTCTTCCTGTAAAGATCATTATGTATGTTGTAGAGATGTGCCGACTGCAGTCGGCCGACTAGTCGGCTTTGTCAAAACCGGTTAAAATTAGTTTAATCGACCGAAAATTGGTGTCAAAGTGTAGATAATCTTCCGCTAGTTACGATTCTGAAATCGCCGTCACGATATATGGTCCAATAAACACGCAAAGCGAATTTAAAATTTCCAAAAATTTTCCAAAAAAGTGGTTAAAATTGGTTAAGTATTGTATAAACTGCCCTAAATTGTGTTATTCTTTATTTTTGTACTGAGTTACTACAAAAAATTAAATGTTAAAATTATCCAAAAAAATTTAACACATTTTTTGGAAAAAAAAGAAACTTCAGTTATTCCTTTTATTAAAATAAAACAAGTTTTTAAGGTAGTCAGAGAAACAGAAAAAAAAACCCACTGTCTGTTGCATTTATAAACAGTCGGCCGACTGTAGTCGGTACATCTCTAGTATGTTGACGAACTAAAGATTGCGATTTTTTTAAAAACGTTGTAAGATTGTGTTATTCCAGTAAATTTAAATGTGCGTAGATTATCTTTTCGCTATTGTACCTTTCAATACAAATTACTATATTACACAAACTCACCCAAATTAAAATGTTGTAACCTTTTTGATACGTACTCATTTGCCCTGTTTTGCTCTAGTTTGACGTCGTCCATTACCAGTAGAAAGAAAATGATATACAGGGTGAGTCACTAATTATTATTAGAGATACAAAACAAGTCAAAGTTGTACGGTTCTTTAGGGACTATACTCTAAAATTATTTTCAACTATACAGAGTGTTCTATTTTTAAGGCGTAACACACAACTTAGTATTTTTAAATGTAATACTCCACATATCTTTATTTCGATTGATTATTTCTTACCGTTTACAACCACAGTTTACTTTTGAAATTCCACTACGATGTTGCCGCGTTATTACAATTTTCTTAAAATTTTTTGGCAATGGAAGTGTTCACAAATCGCAGTAGGCTTCTTTTTAAAGTCTGTCTTGCAATATTTTGTGGAAGGATAAACAAAGATATGCCTGTGTTGTGGCATGAACTATATTTCAGTTTTTTCAAATGGAAAAAAAGTTAAAAATCGCAGGGACTATCAACTTTAAATATAGAAAATACTCAGCGAAAAAGAGAATAAAATATAAAATAAGATGCAGTAATAAAGTATAGGTGTTCTATTTGAAAAAACTGAAATATCGAGATTTGAAAATTGTAATAATGAAAGCATTTTTTTATAAACACCTTCTATATCAAAATTTAATCTTATATACCACAACAGAGTGCATACCTTTTTTTATCTTTCTACAAAATGTTGTAACATAGATTTTAAAAATAACTCTACTGTGATTTTTTGTGAACCTTTCCATTGTCAAAACGTTTCAAGAAAATTGGAAAAACGTGGCCACGTCGCACCGTAATTCAAAAACTAAACCGTGGTTGTAAAGCCTAGGAGGTCAGTCAAAAAATGCAAAGATATACAGCGTGTTTCATAAAAAAAACGAAGTAGTGTGTTACGCCTTAAAAATAAAATACTCTGTATAATTAAAAATAGTTTTAGAGTATAAAAGAAAAAGTCAAAGAACCTTACAATTTTTTTAATAATAATAACAATAATAACAAGGTATTTATTTAGCTAAAGCTACAATTTTGTACATAGGAGCTTAATATTATTTAAGGAACTATACTATACATTAAATTAATACAAGTGGATAATAATAGGGCATGAATGTATCCTAAATATAAAAGTAAAGAAAAATGGAATTATATTGTAAATTATTACTAAAAGTATTATACAAATTTAAAAGTTATTAATTTCCTCAAAGGATTTGTTGTATAGTAATTTCCTAACTTGACGCTTGAATTTTTTTAAAGTTGGTTGACTTTGTATACTCTCTGGTAACGTGTTATATAGCCTGATGCCCTTGTAAAACAATGAATTTATTGAAGACTGTTTTTTTTGACGTTAGATGTAAATTACCTTTTTGTCTCGTATTATAACTATGTTTTGCCTTCATATATTGAATTATTTTGTTCAAATACTCAGTCCCATATTATTAATTAATTTGTGTACCTACTAAAATTAAGGTCTGCAGCTTAATGTATCAGATACATCCAACCACTTCAAGACTCTCCTCATACCAGATATTCTTGTATATCTACTGCACTGTAAGATAATTCGCATTCCTCTATTTTGCATCTTCTGCAAGCTTTCCATGTCCGTTTGGCACAGGAGATACAAAATGGTTGGGCAATACCTAAAATGTGGTAATACAATTAAGGCACTAAACATCGACAGTTCATTCCTAATTCGCTTTAAAAACCCAATTTTTGTGACAATTTTTTAATAACGTATCTGGCATGCTCTCTGAATCTCAACTCATCGTCTATTTGTATTCCTAAATATTTAATTAGCTTAACACGATTTATATTTTGGTTTCCTATTTTAATATTTAACTTGAGTCTATTATAATTCAAGGAATCCATTAACACTAGCATTTTCTCATCTAATGTATTTAAATCTTTGCCTGATAGGAGGAGTAAAGTATCATCTGTAAATAGATGGATAGTGCATTTGTCCATAGCGTTTATTATGTCATTAATGTGTAATATGAATAATATTGGACCTAGAACGCTTTCTTGGGGCACCCCATATTTTACATCTACTGATTCAGAAAGAATATTGTCACATATTACTCTTTTTGTTCTGTTTGTTAAATAATTTTCTATCCATTTTATTACATTTCCGTCTATTCCTAACTATTTTTTCGAAAACTCTACTGAAATCTAAGAAAACTGCAATTGTGGTTCTGGTGTTTTCTATTTGTTCCTTCATATCTGCTATTACATTTTGTAATGTTGTTTCACAGTTGTGTTTTTTTTTCTAAATCCAGATTGATTTGCAACTAGGATTTTGTTGTGATCGATAAGTTTTAGTAACTGATTGCAGTGGTGGCTCGTGACGTTTTGAAATGGGGGGACACAATTTGTTTGATGAGTTAAATATGAAGATATAAAACAGGTTGCTATTACCAACTAATAGACGAAATTGTGTGGGGAAAATAAATACAAAAATACATTCAATAAAAATAAAAAAAGAATGTCTCTACATACCGTTTTGCCTTCAGCCAAAATTTTACGTTCATGGCATCTAAAAGTTCATTTTGGACAGTTTTAGGCGTTCGTTTAAAAACCGTTGCTTCTTTCAAATCAATCAGACCTCGAAATATACCTAGATTTTGTGATTCCTTACTTTCGTCATGTCCACGTAAAGCAAATTCAAACACTCCACACAATTTATGCACGTTACCAATCGGCGTAATATATGGTGATTTTTGTCGATCCTTGGTTTATTTGCCCGAACATTATTAATATAAGCGGTGTGTGGTTGTTTCCGAGTGTCTGTATTACCGAGAAGATTATCCAAGAATATTTATTTTAAGTATTCGCGCAGAATGAAAATTAAAACCCGCGATAGTAACTCAATCCTGCCGAGCACGGTCGCAACAGGACTGCAGTCCAGGTGAATCAGGCGCCTAGGACGTGAGGTTTCCATGGCAGCGGTGTAATTACAATACAACGTCTAAATCAGCCATGATTCGGTTTCTGTTCCTGGCTTTTATCAGCATTTCATCAGAAATAACATATCATATATCCAAGACACGTCTTTAGATGTAAGTGGATGTAAGTTTTGATACATTGGAGCGAGATAAAAAAAATTGTTTTGATAATTCTGACACAAAAATTCTCCGGATAATTTTTTAAATATTGCAAATTACTATTTGTCCAGTGTGTTTGTAGACGTTGTAATTTTGGGGGGCACACCTGACCTGACCTGACCTGATCGGACTGATTGTACACTGCCGTCTCAATTATTGTTTCAACTGTTGGTAACATATTTATTGGTCTAAACTCATTCTGTTTGATTGTTCCTTGTACTTTTCTTATAGGTACAACTGTTGATAATTTCAATTTTTTTGGTATCACACAAATAAAATAAAGATGTGTTTACTATATGTAATAATGGTTCTGCAACTGCATCAGTTGTTTTTTATAATGTCTATATTAATATAATCCGGACTACCTTTACTTTTTAATGACATAACAATGTTTTTTAATTCTCGCATGTCAAGTATTTTGAAGTTATTGATCGTGATATTGGACTCTTGAATTTTCCATGTTTGTGTTGGTTGTGGAATGCTATTGGATAGTTCATCAATGCTATTTATATAGAATTGATTTAACTTTTTTGCTATTATTTCTTTTTTATTCATTATATTTCCTGAAAAAATATTTCACTTATGTCTGTATTACACTTCTTTGATCCTAATGATGTTTTTAGAGTTTTCCACATTGTTTTTTGATTATATTTATTTCCTCCTATCACAGTTTCCTAATATTCAGCCTTTTTTGTTCTTATTAAGCTAACTACCTTATTTCTATGTGTTTTATATTCTGTCTAGTCTTCTTTATTTCTTGTAGTCTTATTTGGTATCTCTTTCTTTAATAGCCTATCTTCACTAAACTAAGTGACTAACTTCACTAAACTAAGTGACTAACTAACTTATTGGTGCAACTACATCTAATATTTTTTCAATATTCGTAGTCAAGTTTTCATATTTGGTATCAATATTATTGCACTTATATGTATATACTTTGCCACTGTACTAAGATTTCCAGCAAGTTTTTGGTAGTTAATTTTTCCCCTATTGTAGAGAACGTTCTCTTTTCCACCGGTTTGATTTTGAGATGATCTAAATAGTTGATTAATATTAAACTGTGACCAGTAATCTTTGGTTCATCGAGTACGTGTACATTGCTTTCTTCATTGGTCAACACAAGATCAATGGTACTTTCACTTGTGTTGGTTATACGTGTAGGTACGTCTATCAACAAGTTGTAGCATATCATATTCCTCAATAATTAATCTCTTTAGTTTGTTTCTGTAAAAATCATTACTGTCAGCCCAACCAATATTAAAATCTCCTACTATTACCCACCATATTTATACATTCTCTAAAGCTTCATCTAGAATTCTAGATGTTCCAAGAATTCTGCAATACTCACGCTTGGAGAACGATATAAACATGCAATTATTACTTTCCCAACCCCTTTTACATCTAAACTTATCGCTGCTACCCAAGTGCTTATCCCCAAACCTTTTTCATATATGTATTGACTTTTATGTTCACTTCGTATATAAGTTATTACACCACCAGTATGTCTGCTATACGAATTATTTATTTTATTATCGAGGAACGCGCAGTTCGTGACTCGCCCTGTATAAGCATAAAATACTGGTGAATTTTTCTCAACTGCGAATTCAGATAGCAATAACGCAAAGTGACAAAATTGTCCGTAAAGTTTATCTAATAAAAATGCTGCATTTCGACTACTGCTTGGCAAATTTAGATTTTAGATTTAAACTTTTACGAACTTATTAACCCTCGACCCAAAAAGAGAAGAAGCCTTTGTGTGTCTACGTGTATTTTTGTGCCATCGTAGCTCCCAAACACAGTACAATTGGTCATTGATTAAACTGGTATAGGAATTAGCTCGGTTCGCGTCGACCGTCGCAGCGAATCTTAACGAATTTCAGACTTTTTAAAGGTTCATTTTTTTTATGTCGGGAGTTTTTTACTATTAACACTTATTTTATTAGTTTATTAAATAGGAGTATAGTTTTGTTAAAATCACCATCAAAATTGCTTTTTATTTTACGATTCCACAGAATATGCAATCTGGATAGAATCTAACAGTGATGTTAAACCCAGAAAAAATACAATCAAAGACAACAATAGATTTTTGAAAACTTGTCTCTAATAGAATAATTTTCGTCTTGTCAGATTATATTATCAATTTGAAACTTTGAGCTGAAAGTGCAACGATCAAAAATCTGTGGTTGTCTTTGATGGTGTTTTTTATTGCTCTCTCGGTGTAACAGTTTTGCGAACATTCCATTTAAAATCCGAAACTGTGGAAATTAAGTTCTTATAAGTTTCTTAATGGCATCTTAAACCTTCATCATACGCACAGTTTAGAATTTGCGTATACTGTAATTAAGCCAAAAAAGTTGTTTTAGCTTCTGTAAAGACGAAATTTTCCATTCTGGTGAAGACTGCTAAAAGCGATATTTTATTCTACAGTAACCTTTCTGGTATTTTAACAGTCAGTGTGACACGTATAGTTCACAAATAGTGCTGCGAACATTACATAATTAAAATTATCAAGTGAACTGCAAAATCCTGATTTCGATATATTTTCAACCTAATATAAATGTGCCCGTAGTAGATTTAGGCAATTTAAACAGACATTAGTATCAAAATTTGTGTTGTACTCAATACGTATTAGAATTGAGATCCTCACCTTCCAAAATGCTTTTAGGAAAACCATATGGAAGCAATATCGGCGTAGCGTTGAGCAGCTACGAAAAGCAGGCAGGAAATTACCCTTCGCCGTTCGCAATATGTCAGACAGGACAAACATTGACGTCAGCTTGTGTAAACAATGTACTCATTATTACATGTGTCGCGCCTCTGAAACATTGACCGTAAAGAAATTGAATAGAAAATTATTGTCAATTATTAACTAATTCGGAGATACTAAGTAACATTAGATTTTATTTTGAAGAAGTAAAAGTCAAAGCTACACGATTTTGTCTTAGCGAACGCTATCGTGCAGCTGCAGATCTACATGTTGAGTTTTTCCATTTTCCGAGTAAAATGACGAAACAAAGAGTCTTGAAAGTTTAGTGATTTTGTCTAAAATAGCGCCGCAGTGGCAGGCAGAAATTAATTATTTCTTTCATTAGTAGAAGTTTATTAATTAAGGAAGCGCTTCAGATTCGTCTTGTTGTTTGTTCAGCGTCATCTCAACCCTTTGCCTCCACTTGGATGAGACCAACTTTAAAATGGAAACTTATAAGAACGGCTCGCACAACAAAATTAATTATGTATCTCTAAATGGAATATTCATTCACTTATGTCAATATGAGGCTTATTAAAAATTATAATGTTTTTTAGCTCGTAAAACATTTCTACCTCGCAGTCATGTTGTTAAGAGCTCCTTTCGTTCTCTTCAAGTTAGACTATATCGAAAGCTACTGTGCTTTGAAAGACATAATATGTTCGTCTTAAACTTTGATTTATACAACTAACACCAACTCGTCGAAGAGAAATTTTAATTTTTCTTTGATGATTGTACGTCAAATACATCCAGAGCTTGATTTAAAAGGCGTAGCAAGCACGCATGTGTATTAAGCACATATTTGATGTTTGCTGTGGAATCGCGGCAATAAAGAGTGAACTAATACGAAATAATCGCATTATTGGCGTCGTGGCGCTTTAGCCGTCTCTTTCTAGTTCGTGCATTAAGATATAGAGGACGCCAAAGGTTCTGGTTGTTGATTAGATCGTACAACAGGTAACAGTCAACAGGCTCAAATATTTGCAAATCCGTCTCGAATGTAAATATCCTCGTCTAAACCGGGTGGATCTGTTGTTACAATGTCAGACAATGCAGCTAATCTACCTTTAATTTGATAGATGTCTAGATTATAGGTTCTTTCGGTCTTCATCAAATGGACATGCAAAATTTCAGGCGTGTTTCTTGATTATTATACAAGCTTTGCTCGCTCAAAAAAATAAAAGAATGAATCTTACTCGAAGAAACACAAACTGAAAGTTTATTTCAAAATAATGATGTAAAAATATTTTCAGTTAAAATTTAGTTAGTAATGAAATTAATTGAACATAAAACTATAAAATCTCTACTGCAACAACGATTGTTTCGTAATAACTCTTCTTGTTTCTTATTTTTAAGAAGAATTGTATGAGGAGCGGACTGACTTCAAGTATCAATCGTGGTCACAATCCTTGAGCCCGTGATATAATCCTTAGCTAATTTTAAAAGCTCTTCACTTTTTTTTTTACTTATTAACTACCACAAAAATTAAAATAAAACAATTTTGTAATTTAATAGTATAATTTAATTATATAAATATAAATGGTTACATAAATTATTTATTGGTGTCAAATTCTTACTTATCTTTTTCTTTTTTCATGGTTTTCCTTGGTTTGGAGTCGAAACTGCGTGTTTCATTTTTAACACATTTCGCTTTTACTTCAGTCAACATTTTTGAAATTTCCTCCAATCTAGTTAAAATTTCTGTTTCGCTGGGTACTTTTGCTAATTTATAATAATGACACCTTATTTTGGTGAAACATTCATTGTCCACTTTTGAGGGAAATCCCTCTTTTTCCTCAAACTGATTTCCCTTATTTACAAAAAAATTTACTTCACACTTTTCAGGGTTGTGGAAAATGTGCCCATGGTCGTTTATTCGTAAAAACAATAAGGGGTTTACAATATATTTTCGAATTTGAGATAAATATTTTATAGTGTAGAGATAATCTATGAATAACATAAATATGATGACATTTTTAGAGGCATTGATTTCTGAGTTTTTCTCAATTCTTTCTATGTCAGTTACTGCAACACCAGTCCAGAAATTAACTATAACTAAAGCCATGCTCATAGCGAAAAGAAGAAATAATAAATAGCCAACAAAACCAGAATGATCAAAGCTACCAGACTCTTCAATATTGAATTCCCCAGTTGTCATAATATAAGTTCTAAAAATTGACGTAAAGAAATTTTTGAAAAATTCATCATCAGGAAATAAAATGTGAAAGCCAATGCTGAAGGAAATTATTATTAGAGAGAAAAATATTAAAAGTACAGTGAATGTTTTAAAAACTTGTTGTAACATAAGCGACCATTTCGACAGTTTTGGATGGTAGCCAGCAGTGAGTAGAAATGAAATTGCCATTTCTACGAATACGAATGCACGAAACTGATTTTGGAAAAAACTTCCAATTAAAGTTACTATTAAAAGAATTTCAAGGGCGCCGTGTAGTGCGGCTCGTTTTAATGCAAAGAATACAGGAGCTTTGTTTTTAATTCTAAAATACAAAAATATTGGTGCTTTTAATATAATATTAACAACAGCAAAGAAAATACAACACGAAAATTCCTCCGTGGACGCTTTAGGAAGACGATAAAAAAGTAAAGATAGCACTATGAACATAATTGCTTGCAAGAACAATATAATCCAAAAATAAATCTTGATTTTGAACCATTTTAAAGTGATAAAAGTGTGAATGAACGGATGTGTTAGAAGATGTTCTAAATTGGGGTGTTTGCCAACCTTTGAAACAACTTTAACTTCCCTCGAACTTTTGTCATCAATCAAACAGTTAAAGCGAAACTGCATTTTGTAATTAAGATCGCTGAAGTAGGGAGTATAATTATCTAAAGCTAGACAAGAGTCAAAATATTTTTCAAGATCTTCAGAATCTATAATGTCTAGAGCACTATAGTCAAGTTTATTTCTTACAATAAGAGATGAATGCAGCTTGAGCAAATTCTGTATCGCCTTCTTATGAGAAAAAATAATGGCATAATGTAAAGGAGTATTTCCGGTTTTGTCATACGTAAAATTGGGATCTAATTTTTGTGATTCTAGCACGAGTTCAAAAAGTTTTACTTTCATTGATTGCGAACGCCACCTAACAAAATTATTATACTGTTTTTGTCTGATTTCTGTTTTTTTATGTTTTAAGATTTCTTCAAAAATCTTCTGGTTGTTGTTCATTCCGGCCAGTTCTAAGGGTGTCAGATAATTCAATTTTGTTGTTCTATTTGGATCTGCTCCGTTTTTCAGTAAAAACTGTACAACAGGTAACATGTTGTCCGTTTTCTTACAGGCAAGTTGTAACAATGTATTTTCCCCATTATCTTCATCTACTAGTTTTTTGATGTCTTTAAAACCCAAGAATTCGTCTGTTTTGTTTTTAATAATCCAATAAAACAACTGCGTTTTTTGATCCATGGTACTAAACTCGTATTGTTCAACGTCGATTTTCAATTCCTGTGAAAGAAAATCCAATGTTTTCTTGTTGTCAGGTTTATAAATTCCTTTTCGTAATAGCAATCGTGCGACTTCTCGCAACGCTTCTTGTACATTAGGATCGTGCTTATTATACTCGTGTAAAATACCAACGTAGTCAATGGCTGTTTTTCCTTTGATGTCAAATATGTTGATGTCGACACCCGCCTCAACTAAAATATTGATGCAATTAAAAAAATTTTCGTTTTTTGTGTTTCCATATTTTAATACGAAAAGGATGGCAGAATCCGAATACCTTGTTTGATTAACGTTTTGAGAATAAGTACTAAAATCTTTCTTCAGTTCTTTGAGAATTTCTTGCAGTCTTGTTAACTCAAATTTTGCAGAAGCAAAAAATAATAATTCGTTGTTATCATCTTGACAGTCATTGTAAGAATCTAGCAACAATAAGTCTATTACGTTGTGTCGAAACTCATTTCTTGTTTCTGCTTTTGTAAGTGTAGTTTCGTTTACTGTCTGCAATGCTGGAATTCTTTGTAAGGGTGGATTATTAACATAAAGTTTTCTTATTTGGGAGAGATTTTTTTGATCACATGCGTTGCTGATAATTCTAACGATTTGGTATATGTGCATTAGTTTGGTTTTCTTCTCCCCAATTTCTGAAAAAAAAGTAATAGTGTTTTACAAGTTAGTAATAAATACAGTAAAAACCAAAATCATGCACTAATGTTATAAAATTTGTATACGTAAAGATGGCCTAAGCCTTTTATCAAAATTTAGAGCAAGTGTAACTTACGTTTTTAACATAAAAAGTTACTTAGACAGAACTTCCTTCACCCATGAAGTACATTCAAACAGATCCAGTTTTCTGCGGATTTTGTTTTTTTATGATAAGTTAAAGTAAAGATACGTGTGGAAGTGGATTATTCTAGAGATGTTCTATAAAATAATTTGTACACTTTAGGCAAGATTTATCCCATAAAATTTTGAGATGACGTTATCAACTTTTTGAAAGAGACAAATTTTAATTGACAATTTACTATACTTATGATAGCCTTAAAATTTTTACAAGATTTCAAAATATTCAGTTTTGTGGTTAAATTGTAATAATATTATTTACTTTACAACAAATCTGTCTAAGTTAAAAAATTAGGTTGTATTAATAAATCAAAAATAAAGAAGTCAAATTGTTGGTGGGGATGATGAGAGAAATGTTGCTTAACATTTTACCAACTACACGATAATCCTTAAACACATTCACAATTTTTACAACAATCGATCTAGTAATTTTGGAGAATGTATGTCCAATAAAATGGCCAATAGACGACAGACCGACTTTTTCTGTCTGTCGTCTTTGTTGATATTTATCAGATAAATAGTCTTCGAAGCTATTGAAAATTTTATAGGTGTTAAACCAAAACTTGTCTAATCATCCCTGCCAATAATTTGATGACATTACCTCAAAAATTTGCATGGTGAATGCTATTTAAACTTTATAAAATAAAATACTCCTGTACTCGTGCTGTATGAATCCGCCTTGATTTTTTTTACTCTAGGCATCCAGATTTTTACAAAAAATAAAAACTCAAAAACATTTTACAATAAAATTTAAGGTGCAAAACTGCAAAACGGAATGCTCGCGGAAATTTCGGAAACGTTTTAAGGTTGTCCAAAGTGAGTAAATTGTTAGTCAAAATTTATCTTGTATACCTTCCTCAGAAAATTGATGTCATCTCAAAATTTTGCCGCATAAATTCTATCAAAAAGAGCAAAATATTCTGAATCTAATCTTGTGACCTATCCATGCATTCATATTTTTTTAATTTATAGGGGTAGGTGTACAAAATTAAAGCAATGTATTAATTTTTTGAAGAAATTGGATTTGTTGGACTATATTTCTAGGGCGAGTAAAGTTCTGTCTAAATAACCTTAGATCAATTTTTACCATTTGTAATTATTTTTTTGCATACAGATTTTATCACTTTACTGCTTTAACATTGCATGTATTATGTGTTATTGTTATTACACTAAAATTTACCAAGCCTCATTTATCTTGCTGGATAGATTAATATCGTTAGTAATTTACCATTTGATGCCACATTTATTGTTTTGATTGGTGGATTTTAGTTCAATGTAGATTAAATTAATAATGGTTTATGTGCATTTAAATATTTCACGGGAGAAGCTATCAAAAATTAATAAGCAAAAGGAAAATCGGTTTAGAGTTTCTAGGAAATCTTTTATTATTTCTCGAGCGTAAACTAAGAAAGTACTGAAATAGGGTCCATCTGGCGAATGTCTACTTTCATGCTTTCTCGACGTTTCATGACCCATAAGTATGAAAAAATAGGTCTCCCGTTTCCGTCTGTCTGTCGTCTTTATAGATTTTTATTAGACAGATAATTTTCTAAACTAAGAGCTGGATTGTAGTCAAAATTTATCTAAATGTTATAAATATAATAGCTGTTAAATAAAATGTTTCTAATTATTCCCACCAACAATTTTATTTACCTCAAAACTTTGCATGGTGAATGTTATTTAAATTTATGAAGCAAGTAAGTAAGTTTACTCCTGTTCTTTTTACCCTAGGGATCCAGATTTTATAGCTCGTTCATTGGAGGGTGTGCTAATAACCGGGAGGTCGTTGATTCGATCCCCTCATGGACCACTTCTTTCCTTACACTGTAAGTAGTACTTTTTTCCTAAAAAACTGAATATGTTTGATTGTGCTTCAGGGCCGAAGAAAGTTTTGTCTAATAACATGAAACCTTTTACTTTTAACTCGGTTATTATACTTAAAAATGCCAAAAATTTTATCTAGACACTTGGTATTCGACAACAATAACTCTATCAACCGATAAACAATTTCGGCAAATTGGGCACATCACAATCTTTTCTCGTGTTTTGTTTATTTCTCTAAAATGTGTACATGATTTGTAATCTGTAATCGAGCGCTATTGTTTCACGAAGTTTTAAAAAATACACTAAATAATCGCAGACTAAATTGTGAAATTTCACGAGTTGAACTTTTTTTAGAATAACCAATCGCTACATGTAAAGTTGAAGGTATAGGTGGATATTAAATCATGAGTAAAACACTGTATTCCGCACAGTCATTTAAAGTGAGGCCATCTTCACAATCACAGGAAGTTTGCGAAAGCATAAAATGTATACATAACACAACACTATATCTTTTATCTTTTCAAAGAGGTATGAAATGTCAAGAAAACACAAAATTATACCTTCGTCCAATATTTTGTTTTAGTCACCACTTTAGCAGTACCAGTAGAAAACCTAACACTGTGTATTTAATATACACTTTTTTTTGCTCAGAATGGGAGTACTCGGGTCACGTAATTTATGTAAAAGAATCTTAAAATTCCCATGAGTGTCTGAACGTAGCATTCATCACGGTCACCTGTTGTGACGATGCGTAAACCTTGACATTACATGCTTGCATATACTGTATATAAATACATTGTCACGATCACCACAGTTCTTATTATTAAACAGCGAAAGTTCGTAAGCAGAGAGATAGTAAAATTTTAAGAAATACCTGTGGGGGATATGTCCAGCAGAACAGAACCTCGCTCCATGTTTTAATATTTTTCATGCAGCCCCGGCGAACAGTCGCGGATTAAAGATCAAAGAGTACTGTGTCAATATCAGATGATCAACTCATTCAAGACTGGTTTTAAAGCAAAAATTTTTATGAGGTGTCTGATAAAACTAAACATTCGTTGCTAAAAGTGCTGTGGCCGCATGTTTAACCGGGGAATAACCACTGTCTACTTATTATTAGTTGGCTAAAATTGGCTCCGCAACACACTGGTCGTTCAAACCAAATCAGCACGTACACAGTCTAAATATAGTACAATCAAAATTCAGGAAATTCGCGAAACTCGGATTAATTGTGACTACAGCGGTCTTTATTGTCGTCACAGATAGATAAGTTATCAGAAAAATGGGTGGTGCATTTTAGTTCGGAGAACATATTAGATGATTTTTAAATAGTAGAGCTAATAATGACCATACTAATCGAGAGGTACGTGTCCGAGCCGGTGACGTATACAACTGTGTTTTCACAATTCATGGGAACGTACGTACGTACCTTGTGGAAGGAAACCCAACAACCTTGACATCCATTTGTAAAACTACAATATTTTTTAAATAAAAATTTTCTACGTGATGTGATAGTTTGTTTGAGTTGAAATATAGTGAAAATTTGTGATAAATATGATTTTTTATTTTTAGAGAGTTTGAAAAGATTACTACGAATGCGTTCTATGTGGTTAACCTAATCAACAACAATTGATAAGATAAGGTTATCATGTTGGATGTAGTGGGTTTCTACGTGTACAACGCTTTCTTTAGAACGAAAAATTGTGTGTATCATTGTGTTAAATTAAGCAGTAAGTTGTCGTTTATTAATTACAACGTTAGTAATATGTGTGTGTATATATGCGTAAAGCCGTTGAAATCAACAAAATTGTTGTGAGACCAGATAAAACAAACGCTAGTCGTAAATATGTTCATGTATTTTTAGTTACATAATTTACTGTAAGCTCACGCTGAGTTTGTATATATAAATTCATTTAGAACACAGCTTTGTTTTTTTTTTGGTCGCCTTAAAATTATCAGTAAAATAGAAAATTTTACGGTAGTGAATAAATATCGTTATGCTTTGTATTTATTTATGATAAGAGTCTGTAAAAAGTGGTACTAATATTTTTGAATTTGGGGAACTTGAACGAAATTCTTATAACTAATATTTTGATATAATATAAAATCTACGCCGTTTTTAAAGCTGGACATGTGTGACTTTATGTAACAATTATCGTTTGTTTCGATCTGTTGAGATTTCTTTCAGTTTATTTTTTGTTAAAAATAAAACACTAGTACATTTTTTAAGAAAATTCATTTCAATTTTCCGCAAATAGCAAAAAAAAGTTTAGTTCAGGTAATCATAATCTTTAAAAAAACACGTTTTTACATAGTGTCATTACACATTGCTACGTCAAAGAATAAAATATGAAAAAAAAGAATCTCAGCAAGAAAACTTAAACAACGAATAATAATTTTTTTACGAATACTCTAGTTAAAATACTAAAATCCTCCAAGTTAAAATAAATTTATTAAATCATTGGCAAAAAAGCGTTATTAAGATGCATGTTTCAGGTGAGATTTATGTACTCGATATAATTTTGAGAGACTTTCGGGGGGTAAATGTATTATATTATTTTGCCCTACATAGTGTAGCACTAAGAATAACAACACTATTTCTTCAAAATTTCTTAAAAAATCCTTCATTTATTCCTGTGTAAACAAGGCTAAAAAAATGGAAACATATTACAGCACAAACAACATTCTGTCTCGAGCTTTATTTCTTAACAACGATTTATTGAATACATTCAAACAAGGTTATCAACTTTTTAGAAGGAACGAATAAATCATTTTTAATCGATATTTTGTAGGTTTTGAGATAAACTGTGGAAATATGTTTTACACTAACCTTGATGCGAAAGATATTGATAAGCTATTTAGGCAATAAAGTTTTGTGGGAACGAATAGGAAAATTTTATTGGCTTTATACTACCTTCACGAAATTTTTAAAACACTAAAATAGTTTCGGAGATTATTTGTCCAACAAAATCGCCAGCAGACAAACGACAGACAAGCAGGCGGAAACGGGAGACTAACAAAATGCATGATATTAGACATTCGTCCAAATTCTCTTATCAGGAATACTTACTCTTTAACTGGAAAAATCGGTACTTATGATTTGACGCTCAATAACATCAAATATAAAGTCTTCATCGAAAAGATCTTTATGATAGAGCTTTCGAAGGAATTAACGTCATTGCATGATTTTGTGGCATGATTTTATAACATTCTCAAGAAATTAATCAACAATATAGATAAAATATAGCATCGATAAGGTTAAACTGATATCTAGGTAGGTACTTAGTTTTTTGAAAACCCTCTTATCAAAAACAAACGTAACAACAATACGTATAAGATACACGGAAATCATGGTTTTGTCGTTCCTAGAATCTGTTAAGGAGTAGGTGAAAAAACTGCAGTTATTTCTTTACGGTTCAAAGACTGCAATAATATTTTATAGTGTGTTCAGATTTCTATTTTTGTTAAGTTGAGCGAGATCGTTCTATTTTATATTTTTGCGCCTATTATGTTTACGTGTTTATTGTTATAACCTTGTGATAATAGCAAGGTCTACCGTCGAAATACGAAAAGCAATATACCTTTATCAGTCATTAATTACGGAATTAAGACTTAAAAACAAGATATTACCTACTTTTTGTTTCTACGAAATTTTTTTGTCTTACTTATCTGGTTATTTATCTATAATCACTTTTTGTTTTCTAGTCCCTAGACGATAATAGGTAGTTGTAGTTATTAATTTTCTTGGTTCTCTAGAACTGCGTGACGCAGATTTGTCAAACTTATAAACAACCACTGAAACAAAACGTCTCAGTAGCTGTTAAATCAGGGTATTAGATTGTTCTTAATTTTGTACTTATTTATAAAATTATTGATTTAAATATCTGTGTACGAACAAAAGTGGTAAATTTTTTCATGTTAATATTGACAATGTAGTTAATCATCCCTCTTTTTTTAGGTCATGTCTACTGAAGCTAAAGAAATACATGTCCGAGAAAAAACGAAGCTAGTGTTAGACCACCTAGAAAAGGCCGAAATCGAAAAAGCTCAGCAGATAATTCTAAAAAACAAAGAAATCCTTCGATACAACTTTGGTTTAATAAATTTTATACCGTTGATTCCAAGGATAAGATTCTCCAGAAAAATTCCAAAAAATAATGACGCCCTTAAAATGGTCATCGACAGTGGCTTTCTTATATTTACGGAGGAGGACAATGTGGACGAATTATTATTTTTTGCTGCTGCGAAGTGTGATATAGACAAACTGAAATATTGCATCGACAATATTCTTGAAAAAAATCCTGAGGGGATTAATCAGGTACGTGAAGGAGACACTTCCCTTATGTTTTTAATTAAATATGGTAACATTCCTGACGAAAAATATCCGGAATGCATGAAAACATTGGTAGATGCTGGAGTAGACGTCAACAGAAATGATTATTTTTCTCATAATCCCATTACTTTCCTAGTTGGTTTATACAGTAGATATATTAACCGAACTATTAAAGATGATCTCGTAATACGAAATTTACAAAAGTGCATCGAAATACTTCTTGACACAAGAACAATAGACATCACGTCATTAAAACTGAAAAATTCGGACACAAGTGTAAAGGATTCCCTGAAAGCACTTCAGTTTAAAGGCGTGGAATATTACGAAACAAAATCTGAAGACGAAAACGAAAAAGACATCTTATTCAAGTTCTTAATAAACAACGATGAGAAATCTTTCGTGAAGTCCAAACACGTGTCAAAATTTTTGGATGCCGACGACGGAAATAACACACTTTTGCAATTGTGTTGTGAAAAAAACTTGAAAGAAGCAGCTAAGTTCTTAATCCAAAAGGGAGTGGATGTATGTAAGACCACAGAAAGGAATCCGAAGACTCCTCTAGAATTAGCAGCAAGAAGAAATCATCCTGAAATTTTCGAAGATCTTCTGAGTACGAACAAGTATATTATTGATGAACCACTTTTTCTAATCTTTTTGCGCAGTCGCCCTAAACATATAAAAGCCAGATATTTTGATGAAATTCTGAAGTATAAAAATATAGATGTGAATTTAAAATCCAACAATGGAAATACACCTCTGCACTATGCCATTATCTTTTCAAGTACAGAGGCAATTCAGGTTCTTCTTCAGCGAGGTGCATCACTAATTGTTGAAAATGATTCCAAAAAGTGCCCTTTAGACTATATATCTTCTGAAGATTTAGAAAATTACTTCAACAGATGTATTATACCGGATACTTATAACGACATCAACAATGGGAAATATGAGGTAGCGTTAAATTATCGAAATTTAATTGACATGAATGAGACTTGCATAAGTTCTGAACTTACGATAGTTGAGAAAATATGTAATTCATCCAAGTTGTGTGATTTATTAAATCATCCGCTTATATCGTCATTTATCAATATCAAGTGGAAACTCGCAGAACCTACTTACAAATATCTTTTTATTTTCCACGTAATGTTTTACATAGTTAGCATTTTGTCATTCATTAATCTAAATTTGTTAAATTATTTAGCTTTACCTTTAGCTTTTGTCTATGGTGGTAGAATATGGTTAACGTTTAGTTGGAATAACAAACTTTCTGAGATTGTAGATATCTTCGTTTCTACCATCATATTTGTATCATTTTTTGTGCCAAGTAACATTCTTAAATATCAGCTAGGGATACCAGCAACGATATTTATGGCCTTCTCCTTTCACTTATACTGGCGTTTCAATCCAAACTTTCCACAGTTTCATGCAGTATTAATTAACATCTTCACCCATCTTTTGTCATATTTATTTTATATTTTAAGTTTAATAGTATTTTTCGGTGCTGCATTCCATATATTTTGCTTAATATGGCAAGAAGATCATACAAATTACTCGAACAATTTTTTCAATGATATGAAGAGCATGTCTCCGCTTTTCTACCTGCTTTGCGTTTTTGGAGTTTTTGTGGGTGTAATGTTTATAATGACAATTATTAACTCTATAACATACTTGCAACTTAATTCGGAAAATTTAAAAAACAGCTTTCAAGTTTTAGGCTACAAAAATACTTTAATTTTTTTAAGAAACGTGGAAATTTTACGTAAGACTAAGGGAAAGGGACTAATTAAAAATCCATTCATTTTTGACGAAGTTGTTCCTAAGGATCAAGATGAGAATACAACTGTCGCAGATGTTAACAAAAAGAAGCAAAAAAAAGCAAAAAAAGTTAAAAATAGATTCTTAGTTAACTTTTACGTTAATACGAATAAGTTTTCTTTCGAAAAACTTCTTTCCATAAATCTGACAGATGTTACTGTATCGAAAATAAAAAGAGCTCTGAATCGTTAATTTCGGTATCTCCACTTTTTTTGGTATATGAATGAGAAGATCCAAGACACCCTACACTGAAGTACCTGGAGAACAGTATTTTTTAAACATTGTACAAAAAGAAGGTTTTTTTTCGAGCGTTTATATTTAAATTTAGAATGAGTCAAAACAAAAAAGTATTGTTGAAAGTTCAAAGGGAAATATATCTGCTCGAATTTTTTGACTGTATTCATAGAATATGTAGAATCTAAAAAAGTTTGTATTTGTATAATAAAATGTATACAATGTGTCCTCTGAGATTTAATTTGTCGCCCATCTAATTGTTTTATTTATTTATAGGCTGCCAAAATTCGGAACGTCTGGAAATATTTTAATTAATCAAAGCAATATCTTTTTACCGCACCTCGTTTGGTAAATCTTACAATCTTCACAATTTTTGAATAATGTTTTTGTTGAAAAGTATGTCTGAGAAACAACATTATTTGAGTTTCAATAGTATTATAATAGATAAGGAAAATATCACGAATATGTTATTTTGGCCACTTTGTAGAATACAAAAATATAAATTTCTGTCTGGACTTGTCGGCCAACTTCTAGTGATTTTATCAGATGATATGCATTCAGTCTCAAGTTTGAATTATTGTACATATTAAGATAGGCAACACATAATATTTATATGTACAAAGTTTTTCAATCTTATAATTTTGTTACAAATTGTCAGAAATAATTTTTAGTAGGATGTTGTGCTGGATCAATACAGTATAATATCATAATATCAGTAATATCAGCACTGCATTTATAAACATTTTTGAAATATACTGTGTAAACAGTGAACAAAATGGAAACTACATGTACGTATAGAGAATTGTTATAGAATTTCGTCTAGATCTACATCTATATCAATCTACCTTGTAGTGGCGGAGATCACTTATCCAATAAAATCACCGACGGGCAACAGACCCTAGACAGACGACAGATAGACGGAAATGGAGTACCTACTTTTTCATATTTTACGAGTGAGGCATAAAATTGTATTGATGTACAGCAACTAAGACTTTGTAGAAATTCTACCCGGTGAAAAATGGAAAATATTTTCAGAATCAGTTTGAAAAAGTAGGCACGGAACATGCAGAAATAGCTTGTAGGCCAGTGATTTAGTAGCACAATGTAACAATTTTTTCTCATTTAACCTTACATTTGTAGTCAATAAATTTTGTAAATATGTTTCAGTCAAATATAACTAGTAATTATTTTAAATTATTTATACAATATTTGATAGATTGAGTAAACTCGCTCCTTTTTCGGTAAAGCGTAATCCATGCACAAATTAGTGTGTATATTGTGTTGCATATGCGCAAGGTAATTATAGCTTGGAAATTGAGTTAAAACGTAAAAATTCAAACGACAGTAATTGTAAACATACATCTATCACTAAATATCGACCACTGTTAGGTTCAGTTCACACATACGCAAGGCCAGTGGGTGGTGTTTGATTGATGAGTACATTGTTTGGACAAGTTCCATGGGGCATTTGCTAGCTGGGCCGACTGGTAGAGTGTTTACTCAGTGTGAGGGTGAAAACGGGGATCTCCCTATCAGCCCTGTTCCTGCTGATAGTGCGAATGCACTTCGACAGATAGCGGAACATTTCAGAAATACGCCATGAATATTTTAACATGGTTTATTGAATACTGAACCAAATTATTACAAATTTGTTTTACCACATCCATTTTCCTGTTCGTCGTCCGCACTGTCTTCTCACACCGCGATGTTCAACATCTTCGACTCCGTCACCAGTTAGAGGATTGCGGCTCATATTAGAAACGGAAACTATTGATTCTCTAGATTTAGAAGATTTGCTACCAATCTCTTCGATATTTTCTGCTTCGTGTTTTTCATCGCCAGCTGCACGTGTTTCAGGGAGCTCTGCATGGTCATCAGATTCGAGAGTTTCGGGTGAAGAATCACAAACGGAAGCAGTGTCGGTGATTGTTGCATCGTTCGGTTCATCAACTTTAGGGCAACCAAACTGAAACACATCACTTGTGGTAGGATGGCGCCTATTTATTCTTGAAAATGATGAACCGTTTACTGAGAAAATTTGGCTACCGTCGTTTTCACCAAATTTAGGTTCTTTCAGACAAAAGATATCGCTTGAATTCCGCATTTTGTTATCTACTAGATAGATTGAATAAATGTCAAATATGTAACTGACTTGATATTACTTTCGTATTTTGTTATTTATTCCGTCGTTCGGGAAATAAGAACAAAAATTCCATTGGGCCAAAGTCTACTGAACAAGATATCTATCTTATTGTAAACAAAGATAAACTAGTGTACTAAAGGAGCAACATTTCGTATAGGTCAGAAATTTAATAAAATCATTTTGTGAAGTAAGTTGTTTAGAGACACGATTTTCTAGGACTAGTTTATTTTTCAAAAAGGCACAAATTGTTTCACTGCCGACTACATGTCAGGTACTGGGGACTACATATATTGTCTACATTATAGTGGCATATATTGAAACAGTTCAACTAGACGAATTTAAAACTTCATTTGATACTAACGAAAAAAGATCCATTTTTGACGTTACTAGCAGGGTAGAAAATTTAAGTAAATGGAAATGTTTACGCAATGTGTGCACTTCACGCACGACGGACGTACAAAAACATCCTCGACACTGTGGAAATTGTTAAAAGGGGAATAATTGAGCTTGGAGGATGCTTTCACAAATTTTAATAAATTTTATTCGAGGGCTTTTTATTACGAATATGACAATATATTTTACACCGTGTGTGCCACAATTACGTGTTTTCTGCAAACTCTGTCCATAATTCATGAATCTACTAAAATGGGATTTTATCTATTAAGACAAGTTTTTGACACTTGGTTTGTTAACCCTAGTCACTAAAATTTTCACTTTAGCAAAGTACATATATTAAACATACAGTATAGTACGATAAATTTCAACACGAATTTTTTAAGATCCAAAAATTGAAAAGAAACAGTTTACATAAAACTTGTCCGTTTGTGTGCCTTGTTATTTTATATGCGTAAATCATGCTTCCGCATTTTCTACGTCTATTCTGCGTTTGAAATGTCATAGAAAACACCTACACGCTTCGTTACAAAAGACACGAGGGACAAACATCACCTTTTTAAATCCATTTCACAAGATTACGGTATGTTTCCTATTTTGACTTTTGTACAAAATAATACAATACGAACTAAGTTGTATACAAAACAAACTCCTTTGTATATTGCGTCGGATGTTCCGGGTATTTGTCCACTACAAAATATCACACAGGTATATTTGTAGATATAACATTAACGTATCCTTTTTTGTGAGAACAGGGCAAACTGAACTGTGGATGTCATATGAAGAAATTAACTTTCAAACGATAAGCGTCGATTTAAGTGTAAACAGTTTTTTTTGTAAATTCAAAGAGATTTCACATTAACTATTCAATTTCATGGAAACTGTAATGATGTGTGTTTTAGCTTCCTGTATGAGGAAAGAATTCATGATATGATTGAACATTTCTGAAATAATGTCCCAATGTTTTTTCTGTTCATCCGATGCCAATCAACGATTCAAGAGTAAACTGTCATGACGGAAAAAATGGAGCAAATAGATAAATTATAACTGAGACGGTTATTATTAATCATATAGCTTGATAGACATATAATAAATACTTACATAAAATTCTAGAATAATACAAATTGCACTAATTTTAATTGTTGGAATAATTATATAGGTAAATCTCGCCACAACGCTGATGCAAATACTGATGCTATTCTATTAATGATTATTATTATTTCATGATTCAGCTATAAATCTTGTCAATAAAAGACATACGACTTCTTTCTGCTGGACATAAAAGCATCTAAACATACCAAATCACATATAAATTGGTATCGGAAACGTTGTAAAAGTCAACAGAACATGAATAGAACAAGCGGTACACAGGACATTCAAAAAGTTAACAGGCTGGGAAGGCCAGGTGTCAACAGACAAAGCCTCCGTGAAATTCACCCCACGCCCCCTAAATTCGGCGACAATAGCAATTAAGTAAACAGAAAAGTGCAGTTTAAAGCGTTTGTACATAATCTGCAGTTAGAAAAATTTGTGTAGGAAAAGAATTAATTCATATTTTCAAAACCAAAAATAACGAGAAGTAGACAGTGATGTCGAAAAGTTCGTTTCTCACACTTTCATTCATATATTGTCAACAAAAATAATTTAGAGTGGCTTACCATGTTTATAATAACCTTAAAATATTTGTAAGATTTCAGAGCATTATTGTCTGCAGTTTCAAAGTTACATTGTAAAAATATTGTTAAAAAATGTGGATGTCTAGGGTAAACAGTTTTACTACGTAAAATTTTTAAGTATAACGTCATCAAATTATTGATAAGAATGATAAGACAAATTTTGATGAGCGTTTTAGCATCTTCATGATATTCACAAAATATAAAATTGGACAACAAGCAGAGTTGGAGATTATCTATCTAAAATAATCGACATCCACGGAAGGCGACATACGACCGACAAAGAAATGGAAATAGGAGACTCTAAACTCATAAATCCTACTACAACACTTCCTTAGCTGTGTAACAAGTAGAAAAAAGCTCAAATTTTAAAGTTACATCTTCAAATTTTGCGACTTTGTTACGTCATTCGATTTTTTAAATTTTCTAGCAATGTTTATAAAAAATACTACAATTTTCAAGTGTCGATATTTTAGTTTTTTCAAACAGAACACGCTGTGTCTCATTAGCGCATTTAACTTTATTTTGTGTTCACTTTTTTCAATATGTGGGTGTGTCCCTTAAGAAAGTAAAAATCTCAATAACTATCAAATTTAAAATAGAAAACATGTAACAGAAAGAAAGCAGTAGCGGCTCGTGGGCTTTTCGTTAGGTGAGGCAACATTTTCGTTTCAAAATCAGCAGGTATTAATTAACATGTGCGCAATTAGGTACTTTTGCTAAAAGACAAATTGTTTATTCGTTTTAATGAAAACAATACAAATAACTCTGAGTCAGGAACATGTCTCTATATGCTTCACACAAACCAACGAGAAGGTGTAAAGACTACAGAATTTGCTTTATTAGCATTAAATTTTAATTCATATGATCTAGGGCTGATTTAAATATATTAATCACTTAATTAATAAAGTTCTGCTCAAATCTGGATGAGAGGTTCTAAATCTTTGACATACAATTTTGTGCTTATATGTTTAAACTTTATAAGAAATTCTGGAGATTAGAGATTCTTATGTTCCT